AAATTGATATTTCATATGGTTTTATGATAGATAAGCATTATATTCCCACTCATTATATTCGTAAATTTGAGGTTTATCCTTCGCTTTTAAGATCATTGAATTTGATTTTTATATAAAATAGTTATATATTAGAAAATAATATGAGTTTATGTGATATTATTTTTCAGAAGATTTCATTCTATATGCCTATGAAAAGTACTCTCAAAACTAACTTTTCCTAATTATAATTAAATCTAGAATATTGTATTATGCTTAGTATTATTTCATTTTTCTCATTCAATTTAGAATTTACAAATGTCAAAAAATTGAGAGCTGTCACTTTTGATGAATTTCTGTTTATTACACATCAATTTGATTTAACAAAAATTTTAACAAATATATAATTAGAATATTTACACGAAGTCTTGTAAAAACTCGGATCTTTAAGGGTGCACACGAGAGAATCATGTAAACTTCAGAATTTAGAACCTTATTTTTAGACATTATCTTGGCTACCTATTTAGGCTCGAAAAGCAAAAAATATCAAAAAATACAACTTGACTCCATTATGACCCTTTCATGGAGTAGTTTTTATCCGCTAGTATTTTCCCTTTGAATCTCTTTACAATTCGAAATCAAATTCAAAACTCAGTAGAAGAAAGGAAGAATCGACTTACTACGGTTGTAATACGAATAAATACATATATTTAATTATTTTTATTTACATAATAATTGTTTGAAGCTCATATTCCATCAAATTTTTAAATAAAAACATTAAAATGTTGAAAATGTTCATATATTTTAATAGGGTTTTGGCACTTTATTAAGGAATTACTACATACATAGTCGAACTGAACTTGATATTTTGAAATTTAAATTATTTATCAAAATTAAAATTTAACTTGAAATTTATAATTATTTAGTCATATTTTGCATAATTCTAAGTAGATTTTGTAAAAAATCAAGAAAGAAAAATTTTAACGTGCTTTATTTTTTCTTTTTTATAATAATACATATTATTATATAATTAACATATTCATAATGTTTCACCCTTTCAAAAATATAATCCTCCTCCTCTCAAATAAACGTACATACGGGTGGCCTCTTTTTTCAAAAAATTAAAATTTGAAATTTTGGGCTCAAATATTAGAGATTTTTTCAACCTTCAACGATATATGTTGTCTATATCAGACCTCCTTTCTTTTTGATACTTAACATTGTTCCTAAATTTAGCCGTTAAGGCTGTTCTGAAAATATTTTTTTTCGAAAAAATTCGAAAAAAATTCTTAAAATTCAAAAATCCCTTAATTCCCGAGGATTTTGGAAAAAAGTTTTTACATGAACATGTGTATATTATATGAAGTATATTGATAAGGTAAAAATCAAATTTTATTGCATATTCATCGAGAAAATAAACTAACGAATCCCTCAAAATTGAGAGGGTAATCCTCCTCCTCTCAAATAAACGTACATACGGGTGCACCCTTAATCAAATGCAAAACCGTAATTTTCAATTCCTACAATTTTATTTTCGTTATGAGATTATGAAAAATTTCGTATTGTGGAATGATTGGAAAATTTTGTTTTGATCAGATATAATTTGAATTTGTCAGATATATCAATTCTTAAGTAACCATCATAGATCTATAATATTAAATATCGGTTCGATCGTCAGATTGTCAAATCAATTAATCGAATTAGAAAAATTTCGGTTATTAATTCTCAAAATCATATATCTAATCTCTGAGTTAAATACGTAATATTTTACTTTAACCGCTATTCACAATTTTTATTGAATGATCTCTATAATTCATCGTATAAATTAATGACAATATATAATTATAAACTATCACTTGATCTTACTGACAAATTTCGGTTTGACGTCAGATCTGAATCAAAAAAATGTTTGCTCTTCTTTTGGGCTGTGCTGTCTCTAGGCGCTCCTACAGACATCACATGATTCATTCTCCATATCATTATGCTGAAGCTAATGGCGCTGGCACAGGTGTCGTCTCTGCAGGCGGCGTCGGACTTAACATCAGAAGCGGACCAGGTACAAACAACCCAGTTATTGGCCCCGCAGCTGATGGCTCTACATTATCAGTTACAGGATACTCAAACAACTGGTGGCAAGTCAATTTCAACGGCAGAACAGGATATTGCTCTGCTGATTACTTAATCGTTAATGGTCAAGTCAATTCTAACATCGGTGTCAACATCCGTGCTGGTCCAGGCACAAACTACGGTCGTGTTGGTGGCCTCGGCAATGGCGCCGGCATCAAGATCAAGGGAATTTCCAGCAACTGGTTCAAGATTGACCAGGGTTGGGTTTGCGCAGACTACATCAACTTAGTTTCCGGACCAGCTCCAGGCCCAGCTCCAGGACCATCCGGTCAAGTTATCCGCCAAGGCGATCCAAGATTCAATGCCAACATCAGACGATGGGGCTGCGGTTTCATGTCACTCTGCTGGCTCGGTGGCGTCAACAGCATCGACGGATGCAACGCTAACTACAACAGAGCCATTGCTAATGGCTGGATGAGAAGCGATTGCTACATTCTCAGCTGGGAAGCCATCAAGCCACTCACAGGTGCCAGAACATACCGTTATGGTGGCCGTGGTGCAGGTGCTGCTGGCAATGAGAAGGAAATTCTCCAATGCCAGAATGCCAGAACATCAATGCACTTTGTCGTCGGCAACAAGGCTGGTGGTATCGAATACGATCCAGCTTACGTAGGCTCCGTCGCTTACAACGATCACGTTTCTAAGCGCTTCTACGGTTACTAAATCAATTAAAGTGGACAACTTCTCTGCTTCGCTACTATCTAGTAACATAACTTACCTTTTTAAAGTGAACAGATTGCGTATTTTTATTTAAGATTTTTTTTCCTGTGTTTTATGCTTTTATTAATAGTTTCAGATCACTAATTTGCGTCTAATTTATCAAGTTTCAGAGCGAAACTCGTTTTATGTTCAAAATTTCTTAATCATATCAAAAACGATATGTTTTTATGAGGGATATATTCCGTAATATTCAATTTGTATATATTCCTTATTCGTTTGTGCATTCCGCAACAACAAATATTAGTTTACGATCAATTCCTTCATCGTAAATTATATTTCATGCTTTCAGACTTATCTATTTATTTGTGACAATAAAATTTACCTATTTCTCGTAGCGAAATTATGAATTTTGCAAGATAATTGATGTTTATCAAAGGATCTTAGATTTACAAGATATTTCGAGCAAGATCTACTGTTACAAGATCACTCTGCTGAAATGTTATATGCATTTGATTTACTTTATTTCAATATCAAAGATTTTTAAGGGTGCACCCGCATGTACGTTTATTTGAGAGGAGGAGGATTACCCTCTCAATTTTGAAAGCTTCGTTAACTTAATATCTCGATGAATATTGGATTAAAATTGAATTTGCCCATACCAATATATCTGATACAATATCCTTAAGTTTTACTAAAAAGAATTTTTTAAAATCCCTGCAGATTCGGGGATTTTTAAATTTTTTGATTTTTTTCGAAAATTTTTCGAAAAAAAAATATTTTCAGAAGAGCCCTAACGGCTAAGTTTTATGTTTAATGTTGAGTATCAAAAAGAATGGGCATCTGATATAGCCATCATATATCCCAGAAGAAAATAAAAATTCTGACTTTTTAAGCATAAAAAATGAAATTTTATTTTTTGCAAAAAACAGGCCACCCGGATGTACGTTTATTTGAGAGGGGGAGAATGAAATTTTTGAAAGCACTAAAATTTGTAAATATGCTAGTTATATAATAATATGCATTATTTTAAAAAATAAAAATTAAAGCACGTTAAAATCTTTTTTGATGAATTTTTACAAAAGCTACTCAGGATAATGCAAGATATGAGTAGTTAAACATAAATTTCAAATCAGATTTTACTTATAATAAATATTTTAAATTTCCGAAAATTAAGTTCAGATCGACTCTATACGTAGTAAATACTAAATAAGGTGCCAAAAACCTATTAAACAGTACCAAAACTATCAAGATTGTAATGTTTTTGAAGAAAAATTTATAGAATTATGGACTTCAAACAGATATTATGTAAATAAAAATAATATAATGAATTTATTTATTCGTATAATAGCAGTAATAAGTCGATTATTCACTTCTACTTCTGAGATTTGAATTTAATTTCGACAGAAAAAGAGATTCAAGAGGAAAATACTAGGGGATACAAACAGCCACCATGACAGAATTATTATGGAGCCAAGTTGTATTTTTTGATATTTTTAGAGTTTTCCTACCTATTTAGGTACCAAGTTATTGCTTAAAAATTAAGGTTCTTAATTCTAAAGTTTACATGATCCTCCCGGGCGCACCCTTAAAATCATTGAAAGTTTAGTGCTTTAATCAGTTTGTGATATTTTAGCTATTTAACAATAGAACTCAGGTCAGGTAAGTGGGGCTTCCAGGCGCGTTGCGCCCTCTAGCCCATAAGAAATTTTGCCCAAGACCCAAGAGGAGGACCGAACCCCAGCCGACCAGCCGGTGACAAAACCAAAACCGTTGTTATTTACATCATATTAATGGTGTCACTTTTTAAAATGTCACTTTTGTGTCACTTTTCACAAATTATATATGTTTTCATGTTTTGTCACTTTTCTATCACTTTTCGGGTAAAAACAGTTTTATTATTATATATAAATGAATTTTACAAAACCGCTGTTACCGTTCTTTGGAAATAAGAGTAGATGTAAAGATATTATATTGAGAGAACTTAAGAAACTACCGAATGGTCTAACATTTGTAGATTTGTTCGGCGGAAGTTTCTATATATCCCATTTATGTCATACCGTATTTCCTGACTCAAAGATTATATGCAATGACTTCGACAACTATATGGACCGTCTCAAACATATTCCAGACACAAATAATATATTGAAAGAGTTAAAAGAAAAGATACCTATAGGTAAGATGGAACGTATACCATTAGATAAGAAAAATATTGTGAGAGAGGTTTTGAAAAAAGCAGAATATATAGACTGGGATAGTATATCTGCTAGACTATTATATAGTGGTGCTATAAGAGTTCATGACATTGAAACACTTATGTCAAAAGTTTTATATCTTAACTATACAAATGTTTTCAAAGAGGACATAGAAAAATATATTGAGGGTATAGAGTTTGTGAGATGTCATTGGACAGAGTTGTATGAAAAATATAAAGACAAGGAAAATGTTTTCTTTATAGTGGACCCGCCGTTCTATAACACATGGGATTTTCAATACCAAGTAGACTGGACTTTGAGAGACTCTTTAGAAACTTTAGACGTTATACATAACCATCCATGCTTTTACTTTACATCCGATAAAAGTGGTTTGGAAACCGTTATGAGATGGTTAGAGGACATACATGACTATGAGTTTATATATGACAAGATAGAATATGAGAGAGGTCCTATAAACCGGAGAAAGTGTCACAATAAAGAAATTTTATTAGTAAGTAAATGTGGTTTGAAATAGGACTACTTGTTTTAGGTTTTTTCCATTGTGTCATTTATTTATTTGACGTGGCAGAAAAGTACAGAGAATATGAAGATGAACCAATGCCTGCAAATGTTCAGCATATGTACTCGTAAGAGATATTTTTATCTAATATTAAATGGACGCACAGAACTTAGCGAATGCACAGCAACCTGGACAACCAAACCCAGAGAATATTCCAAATGAAGTTAGAATACAAACTGCAATGGCAAACTATGGTCAAGTGCCAACAGATGTACAAATGCAAACTGCCATGTCAAATGACGCTGCGTTAGGTTTGCCACCATGGTATGCAAATATGAGATGGAAAGAGTTTTATACAAACCCTGAAGTGGGATATAAACAACTTTATGCAGATGACGCGAACACAGGAGTTGACCCAGAATATGTTTTCTACCAGAGGAGAAACAGAATGTATGAGCTCCAGTTAAAGAATGCTATGGAACTCAACAGGAAACGTAAGAGACTAGGCGGACATTAGATTTTTACATATAGTAAAATGGGTTTCTTCAGTAAGATAGGAAACTTCTTTCGAAATGTTGGAAGAGGTATATGGAATGGAATAAAATCTGTCGGAAGAGGAGTATGGAACAGTGTCAAAAATATTGGTAAAAGAGTAGGTCAGTTTGTTGGTATTATACCTAAAGACCCTGAACCAGAAGAACAAGCTCCTGTAATACAACAGCCTGAACCTGCACCACAGTCAAGTTGGCAACCACAACCGGTATATTAAAAAGTTATATTTTTATCGTTCGATAGTAGTTGTATATGAAACTAAGTTCTAAGTAAAACGCATGGTATAATGGAATTATTCTTTTTCTTCCATCTGTAGTAAACCATACTTGAAAGTCTGAAATACTTCCACTTGGTGGTTCGTATAACTTTGTATGTTTTTCGTAAAAGTCATTTGCCAAGCATAAAAAGAGTTTTGGGCGCCAGAAAATGAAGCATGAACAATAATAGCATCTTGGTCGAAAACATCTTTAAATAAATATGGTTCATCTCTTGCATATCGACTGTAGATATTTGCTAAAGGAGGTTCAACTTTCTGATTTAACATTCTTTGCAAATAATACCATGACATTGCAGTGAATTCTGTATATATTTGTTCGTCTTTATTTGGATTGTCTTCGTAGATTTGAAATGACACTTGTGAATTTTGTTTGTCATATACAATTCTCACATAAAGTGTGCTATCGGTATTCGCATATTCATCAGCATATTTTGCATAACATGAATTTATTTTATCTTCTATATTTTTTAATGCAGTCTGTAGAGAAGATGAGAGGTCAACTTGTATTAGCTCAATTTCTTCCCACATTTTTCGTTGCCCTTCAGATGTATAATCTATATGAAACCTTACAATAAATGGGAAACCATGTATGGCTTCTGAAATGAACTTCATTCTACGAAAGCCAATAGCTTTTGTGACAGATGGGTCTCTTAACCATCTTAATGGGTAGTCAAAACGATAGCCTTCATGCTTTACGGTATCTATCTCAAACTTTTGACCGACATTAGTAAAAAGTTCATCTAATGGTTTAGTTGTAGCAACTCTAGAATTTTCTTTTTCTATTGGAAGCATATTTTATCTATAATAAAAATGTCAAATGAAACAGCGTCTATGAGAGAAATACAACACAACCGACAACTCATTATGCAAGCTCTAAATAAGAACACAACAAACTTTTCAAACTATTCTAAGATATCTGAGTCATTGAAAGAAGGAAACTTAAAACTGACAATAAACCCAATGACAGATGAGTTTCTATTTCAAGACAATAAGAACAATACTGTCTGTATAAATCCAACAAAAGGAACTTTAAACGAGAAACCTATAAATGAACTTCTTTTGAAAGCAGATGTTGACAACAAAGCTGACAAAGAATATGTAGACGATGCAATAGCAAAAGAAGAAGAAAGAGCTAACAATGCTTATGCAACAAAAGAACATACTCATCCTGAACTAGCAGACAAAACATATGTTGACAATAAAATGTCAAGTGAAGTGACAAGAGCTGAAAACGAATATTCTAAAAAGACTCATATACATTATATTAACCAAATACCAAGTCTTAAGGAAACATTAGAGACAAAAGCAGATAAGACTCATACACATTCTATATCTGATATTACAAACTTACAAGAAACCTTAAACAGGAAAAGTGACGTTGGACATACACATACCATTGCAAATATTACAAACTTACAAGAAACCTTAAACAGGAAAAGTGACGTTGGACATACACATACCATTGCAAATATTACAAACTTACAAGAAACCTTAAACAGGAAAAGTGACGTTGGACATACACATACCATTGCAAATATTACAAACTTACAAGAAACCTTAAACAGGAAAAGTGACGTTGGACATACACATACCATTGCAAATATTACAAACTTACAAGAAACCTTAAACAGGAAAAGTGACGTTGGACATACACATACCATTGCAAATATTACAAACTTACAAGAAACCTTAAACAGGAAAAGTGACGTTGGACATACACATACCATTGCAAATATTACAAACTTACAAGAAACCTTAAACAGGAAAAGTGACGTTGGACATACACATACCATTGCAAATATTACAAACTTACAAGAAACCTTAAACAGGAAAAGTGACGTTGGACATACACATACCATTGCAAATATTACAAACTTACAAGAAACCTTAAACAGGAAAAGTGACGTTGGACATACACATACCATTGCAAATATTACAAACTTACAAGAAACCTTAAACAGGAAAAGTGATGTTGGACATACACATACCATTGCAAATATTACAAACTTACAAGAAACCTTAAACAGGAAAAGTGACGTTGGACATACACATACCATTGCAAATATTACAAACTTACAAGAAACCTTAAACAGGAAAAGTGACGTTGGACATACACATACCATTGCAAATATTACAAACTTACAAGAAACCTTAAACAGGAAAAGTGACGTTGGACATACACATACATCTTCTGAAATAACAGACTTAAACGTTAGCCTTGAAAATAAAGCAGATAAAACATATGTCAATGAAATATACCAAAGTTTGATAGGAACAAAAAATATTGAAACTATTGTTGGTGACTTTTCTGTCAATGAAGAAAATAAATATTTTAGATGGCAGTTGTACAGTCCTTAAAAATGGTACACGGTGTAAACTCATTCCGAAAAATAACAATGAAATGTATGTAAGCTATAAAAAGAATGATGGTACACAAGTTAAAGTTCCATTAGACAACAACTGCTACTTAAACTTATATGGAGACGAACAAAAGAAATATTTAAGAGTTTATGAAATGGTGGATATGACATTGCCTGACCCAGCTCCGGCACCACATTATTATGACTATGGAGATGACGACAGAACACCACATGTAGATGAACAAAAGCTAACATTATATTTAGATTATTATAGATATAAAAGATATAATGCAATAGAAAAAACGAGAATAGTATATTATTATACAGATGACAGAAATAAATATTATAGTCAAGATTTTACCTACCCTGAAAACATAAGATTATATTATAAAAAATATTCTGACACAAACCAGAAGAAACCTGAAATAGTTGCACTATATTTTAAGTTCAAAAGAGACAATCTCTTATAATATCTCATATGTTTGATTTAATGAACCCAGTAGGTTTATTTATACATCTATGGATGCAAGAGGTCCTCAAGTAATGTTTGGTGTTGGTGCATGGGAACAAATAGTCGACAGGTTTTTGTATTGTGCAAACTCTTCAAAGGAAACAGGTGGAAGTAAAACGATTTCAGGTGAAAATTTACCTGCACACAGTCATTACATAGATTTAAGTACATCTCAAGCAGGTTGGCATAAGCATAGATATTGGGATTGGTCAGGAATGACAAAAGGTAAAGGATATGATGTTAAAGACGACGTTAAGTTTGCTATAAATTGTTACTGGGATGACACGCAGGGAGAAGGAAACCATACACATTTCGTTTCAGGATATACGCAAACAACGGGACAAAGTAAAGAATACATGCCACCTTACATGACAGTTTACGCATGGTATAGAATTGCTTAGTCGTCATTTTCAACTTCTTTAGCATATTCGTCAGGAGTTGTCTTATATTTGTTAGGAACTGTCTTTGAAAGTATACCACCTTGAACTTTGACAAGTTTGAAACGAGGTCTGACAATAGTAGTTTTATCTTCTGCTTGCAGTCTGTACATTTTGCCATGTTTGCCTAAAACTTCATAATATTCTCTTGTATACTTTCTTCTATTTTTACGAACACGAATGTGAGTACCTGTCGAGTTCCCATTGTTGTCATAGTCAATAGTATTTTCATATGGGTCGCGTTTAGGTATTTCTATTTTTACTTTGTCACCTTTCTGAAGTTTGAAGCCCGGCATTCTTTCTTGTTTGTCTCTTTTGACTAAATTATTAAATATATAGTCTTTCTCTAAGTCAGGGTTGTTTTTCATTTCTTCGGGGGAGTGGTTTCCCAAACCTTTTTGTTTACGGTTATTGTAAATATTTAAAACTTGTCTCATCTTTGCCATGGAGAAGTGTCTATACTTGTCGTCATATGACATTTCATTTGCTTCACCACCTTGTGGTTGGTTTAAGTCTCTTAACATTTTTATACACCGTCAATGACACCAAGAGCAGAATGGTTTTGGTCGACAATGAAATATTGGTTTACATTTTTTGAACGCAGATAGTTTTTTACATCATCTGATTTGAAAGAACTTTCACAGTCAGATGTCAGTTTTGTTGGATGGTATTTGTCAACGAATATTGTCAAAGCTGCTAAGATATCTAAAATAGCTTTGGACTGTAATGGTATGGCTTCACAGTATCTTGTGTTTTGACCAACAAATATTAACCAGTATGGTGGTCCATCTTCTCTATACCTCGGAATGTTTTCCAAGATATCCATAAACCAAGCATTTGGTGTTGAACTAAAGATTTTTATCATGAGTGCTTTCTTTGTCGCTTTAGAAACATAGGGGTCCTTGTTCGGATTCGTCATTTTTTACCCTATAAGAAATGGGTTTATTTGGCGCATTAGCAGGAGTCGCATCTAGATTTTTACCCGCAGTGGGAACAATAGCCAGAGGTGCATTTGGAATTGGAAGGAAGATTTTGAGTACATTAGGTATACTGAAAGAGAAAGCACAACCTATTATACAAACTGTACAGAAAGGTTGGGATGTAGCACGAGATGCAACAAATCTTATTCCAAATCCTGAAACAAGAGGAAAAGTTCAAGGATGGATGGACAATGTAGGAAGACAAGCAGGAAACTATTATAACAAAGCAAATGACTACTATAACCAAGCAGGACACTATATGGACCAAGGTGAAAGATTCTTTAACAGAGGATATAACCATGCACAACAGTGGGTAAACAATAACCAACCTCAACCGCCTCAAACGTGGGGAATGTAAAGTTTTTTATTGAGATGAAATGAACAATGCAGCATTGAGACAAATGAGTTCAAGATGGATTTGTCGGCTTCCAGCATTTAAACCGATACCATATAGTCAGGCTCAGCATGTGAAACTGAATGATATTATTAAAGGAACCATCCCACCTCCACAACAACAACCAGTTGAAAACAAACCAAACTAAAATTTTTTACTGAGATGAAATGACCGAAGAAGTTGAAACGGTAGATTTGACACCACAAACAAAAAGTTCAGAACCATTGTCAAAACCTGTCAAAGAACTTACAGATGAAGAGAAAAATTCAATAATAGAAAGTGCCAGGTCTGAAATACAAACCCTAACTATAAAGTCACTTTTCATAGAAATGGAACGGCTAGTATCTCAAAAAAGAAACAGACTCTCACAAATAAAATATTGAAGTCTGAAGGAGCTTTCGAGACAACAGATGGAAAAGTTTACTTCACTGACCAACAGTTCATTATAGAACATCTCATTGACTTAGAGTCGAAATATTCTAAACTTTACAACAAACACAAAAAGTTGAAAGGAAAACAAAAACAAATGGCATATGATATTTATGAAGATGTTGACGACACAACTGTTCCTGCAAGTGAAGTAAAGTCAGAGGAACCGAAAAGTGACGAAAAACGATAGAAGAAGAAAAACCAAAAACTGAAGATAAACCAAAACCAAAGTTTAGTTTCCAAACTAAACCAAGTCAACCTTCATTAGCTGGTATGGGTTGGCGTCAAAGACTTATGGCAGCAGGCGGTTATGTAAAGTAAAGAAAAAAATATTTTTTTATTTTTATAAAAATGCCCCCATATAGAATGGATAGAAAGTCTGCTAGAATAAAAGCAGAGTTACAAAGATATGGTTGGAGAGTTTCGAAGAAGTTTAAATATAGGAAGGGAAGACCCATAAAAGTCTATGACAAATTGTCTGGTCTTCGCTACGAAATTAGATTTGGAAACAGCACGTGCCAATTATCCAAACAGACTAGAGAGGTTAGAAGAAGAACGTCTTATGGACATGCCTTTCGATGTTAGTGAACCTCAAGTTGAAGGACACGACGGCTTTGCCAGATTCTACTGGAAACATGACGAACAATTGCATCTTTGAGAAGGAAAAAGGAAAAGGTGAAGACGCACATGCTCCCATGGAAAGAACAAGATATGCATATGAAAAGTATCGTGAAGTTAGAAGTCAAATTACATCTGGTCGAACCTTTACAGTAAACTTTGACGAAGGAAAGAACAAAGAAGGCTTCATGGGAGTACTTGCTGCAATTCAAGACGGAAATAAGAAAGGACACAATCTCAGATTGACCATAACAGATTTGGATGGTCACATTTACTATGCACATGGCAATGAACAAACAGCCGCAAAACTTCTTGACGCTTTCAAGACTACAAAGAGAGAACAAATGGTTGACTCCGACTCAGACATTTTGAATGCAATTGAAGGAATTGCAAGTGTCAAGTTCGAATGGTACCAACCTAACCCTCAAGCAGTCAGACAACATGCTGGATACTTCCCGTTCATAAATAAGTCTGACATTGACTTGACAAGGTATGGAATTTACAATTCAATTGAAACAATTGTCAACGAACCTTGCATTCTTACATGTCTCAGGAACTCTGGTCTTGTTACAGATGAGAAGATGAAGTATCTTGAGTCATGTGTGAAGACAAGGTACATTCTCAGAGGTCAATTGGCAAAAATTGCACCGTTGGCAAATGTCAATATCCGAGTCAACATACCTACAGCTAAAGGTTCTTCACATGACGACTATGTTGTTGACAAAGACTTACCATGGTTGAAGATTGTAATTGTCCACAACCACTTCATGTTGAACGAAAGTCTTACAAACCCATTCTTTGGTAAAAGTAAGTGCAACATTGTCAGAGCTGTAAACATTCTTTTCGAGAAAGGTTTGTTGGAACCAATTCCAGATGACAAGCTGACAGAAACTTTTGTACCAAAAGACGAAACAAACTTTTCATTGTTAGCAAGACCAAAAGTTGTTCCAGACAAAGTTCTAGTACAAAAGAAGTACACAGTTCCACAAGGGGTTGGTATGTTCGGATACCAACCTGAACCAGAAGAACTTCCAATGAGGTTGCAAGAACTTCAAGATGCTATAAACAAACTTCCATTGAGACATCCAATTGACGTCAAATTGTATTGGAGAGCATCTGAGTTAGGTCAGAAGGTTTTATATGAAACAGGTTGCTTCGACGATGTTTATGAGATAACAGGAGAAGTTTCTCAGAAGATAAGAGACTCACTTGAATTTCCACAAACTGGACCAATTGGTTGCGACAAGTTCGACTCAGATGAAAAGATATACTATGTCGACCTTAACGCTGCATACATGAGGTTTGTCCAATATATTCCGACTGGAATTCCAAACGAAGATGGTGAGTTCCCGGGAAGGAACTATACAGTTGGAAAAGTCATACAACAACTGTATGATATTAGGAAAGCTTCAAACCCCAAACTTGCAATGACACTCAAATTGCTTATGAATTCGACATGGGGATATTCCATTAAGAAACCTCAAGAGATGAAGAGTAAACATTATGAGAAGGTCGACAACTTTGTTGAAAGGTTTTCTCCTTTTGTTTTGAAGTACGAATTCACTCAAGGTCAAAGTGGCTTAGTAACCACATTAAAACCTATTGTCGAACATTGGTCTTACCTCAGTTCGCAAAGCAGTCCTTGACGAGTACAACAAATTCTTCTCCGAAGTCAAATCCAAAGTCAAGGTTTACTATGAGAACATTGACGCACTCATGACGAACGAAGAAGGATAACAACAAACTCATTGAAATGGGAATGGTCGGTGAAAAGATGGGTCAATTCAAATTGGACAAAATTTTCACCGAAGTTCATGTCCTCTCCAAGCGTAAGTACTGGGGTGTTAAAGAAGATGGTGAAATAGTTAAACATTGCATGAAATAAAAAATTTATTTTTTAAAAAAGTGACATTTTTTTAATGGCGTACATCCCTGAGCGCTTCGTCCAGTTCAACCAAATGTTGGTCTCGGACCAGGCAAGAGATATTCCAAGCCCGAACTCGACCGTCTCTTCAAAGAATGGATTGAAGACTACAGAGGAGACGAGTGGTTGACAATTGAATTTGCTCGGGCTTGGAATTGCTACAGAAGGGTCTTAGACGTGGACCCAAGACTCACGTACAGAGGTTGGGATGTGGTCTTCACATTCCAAAATTGGTACGAATACCAAAAATAAAAACTTAAATTTACTTGGGTTTCCCCCTAAAATAATTTTTTTACTCTTAGAACCACTCGAGGTTCTCCTTACGGTTGTTGAGCTTGTCACCGTCAATGTGTCTGACCTTCGTCTTCTTGTCTGGATTTGGAACCCATTGAATTGCGACAAGCTTGCCCATGGAGATTGAACCGCGATTCCGAAGGTTAAGGTTCAAGTGTCCCAAGTTGTTGAGAACTGGGGTAAGAACCTTGCCTGTCTCCTTGTTGCGGATTTGGTATGGGTAGGGTTGGGAAATTTCGTAACCGTCATCGGCAACAAGGGTTGCCCAAACTTTCTTCGTGTTTCTCTTCTTCCTCTTCTTCTTCGTGTTTCTCTTCTTCTTCCTCGACAATTCCTTCTTCAATTTGGTACTCACGAAGTACGGTGTTGCATGTTCTGTCCTTTCCGAGTACCTTCCAGATGGCGTCTATCTCTTCGAAGAAACGGTAGATGAGTCTGGCAAGGTCTCGGTTCTCTCTCTCGTAATTGCGCAAGGTTTCCGCGAAATCGTTCAGGCATTTCTCATTGGAAGCTTGGTTCATGAGGACATCGGCTTTGAGATTGGTCATCTCTGTCATAAGACTACTTTGGAGAGTCTTAATGGTGTTTGTCAGATGAGCTTTCAATTGGGCAATTTGAATTTGAATTGGGCGCTTGTCTGGCAACCTTGAAAGGACATCTGCCATTGTGTTCGGCTTCGGTGCTTGTTCGGACATCGAAAAAATGAAGTGGTTTGAGAATGACGGTTTTACTTCAAAAAGCTGGTTATGACAGTTAAGTCATACAACAAGTTTAAAATAATATCTTGCTCTTCTTCTGAACGTTTGTTGTCTCTTCCGATAAAAGTTTCGAACATGAGAACCAAAAAACGTTTTTTGAGGAACCGAAAGAGTTCAGGCAAATTTTCATATTCTGGATATGTTGGGAGCAGTTCAAAACATCTGAGCTGACTTTCGGACAAAATTGGGACAATGTCAGAAAATTCATCTTTGGTCGGACTGCTTGAAGGTAAGTCCCTTACATGTAAGTAGCTCTGGTAAAGTCTTCTCATTTCTGCTAACTTTTGGAGTATAGCTTCGTAGTTTAGAAGTTTCAATTTTAATTGTCTTATTCCACTCTTTACTTCTAAACGGTAAGTATCCATGAGGTCAAGAGTAGCTTTGGTAGCTTTAAGTGGAGCTATCTGTTCCTTGACTTGTGCAATTTTGGTTGCAATTGTGGTTTGAGCTCCTTCAAGTTCGCCGTCTATGTCGTTCTCAACACCTTCAACCATAGCTTGAAACTCTTCATCGGTCCATTGAGTTTGGTGTGGGACGAATTTAACTTGCTTCATTCAAAAAATGAAAAAAAATGTTTTTACTCTAAATGTGCCATGTATATGGCTATAAGAAACTTACCAGAAGGCTTCTTCTTCACATGAGTCTTTGGCAACTTGAGAGTTCTTGTTGGAGTTGGGTCTGGAATTTCAATTCTCTCTCGAGCGCAACAACAGATGTCAGAATAACATTCCCCACTGTCTTTCTTGCCACCATAAACTGTGTATTGACCGAACTTGCATTTGCAGGAAGACCAGTCACTACAAGGTTCACAGTTGAAATAGTTGTACTCATACTTGGTGAGTACGAGTGTGAGTAAAAACATAAAAAAAGTGAGTTAAAATGAGATGTTTACTGAACTGGCTGAATGTCGCCTTCACAGGTTATGTAGAACGGCTGACCAGAGAAGTGAAGGAGAGACTGAATTGCCAATTTCATATGGGGTAGGGGGTTCTCCTTGTTTGGTATTTTTATCCAAGGACGTTTGTTTAGGAACTTAACAAGAGCTTCTCTTTTGGCGTCCTTTATGCCATCGTAGGCTGTCCCGTCTGGTATTTGAATTGGAATTCCAGTCGAAGTCTCGAGCTGAAGTGTAGACCTTCCAGAAATAGTGATGAACTTGACCTTGGGCTTCATTACCTTGCGCAAGTAGTCTTTTACGCAGTCGTTAAGTTCAATGAGGTAAATTGCCTCGTCAAGTCTTTCTTGCATTCCAAGTTCTTCCATCCGACAGGAAAATATTTTCCCGACAGGAAAAATTTTTCCTTCCGACAGGAAGAACTCTTCCAGTTGTCCGTCCGTAAACCATTCAAATTTTCGAAAATTGAGAACTTTTTGGTCGAACTTCAGAAAAAGTTTTTCCTTCCGACAGAAAAAGTTTTCCTTCCGACAGGAAAAATTTTTCCTTCCGACAGGACACAAACGGATGACTGACGTTCCTCTTCCTGAATGCCTTCCAAAGCCAGAAGAACCGAAAGCTGCAGAACCACAACAGTCTCCTCAGCAACCTCAGTTCCAGCAAGTACCTCCGAATTACTACCAATTTCCACCTCAAGGTTACTACCCACCACAAGGCTTCCCGAACTACCCTCCTCAGCCTATGCCTTACTTCCCCAACCTTGGATGTTTAGCAAACCCTGCCCACAATTCCAATCTCAATCGAAGAGAGACCAAGACTTCGAAGAAGGTCTGAAACGCTTACGCAAAGAGTATGCTACAGCTCCAATGGAAGACGACAGGCTTTCAGTCTCTTCCCTCAAATCGACCGATTCGACTCGTACCACAGATTCGGTTCGTGACCGTGAAGACTACCTCAAGCAGTCTGAGAGACTCTTCATCCTACAACCATTTACAGTTGGAGCTCTCAAGAACATGCGCAATTACGAAGGTCAGACACCAGCTGGAGACCGCAAAACAGACGTACTCGCAAGAGCCGTCCAGCTCGTCAAAACAAAGACGGAGATAGTCGACTTCATACTTGCAGCTTGCCCTTACAAGTAAAAAAATAAACAATTACGAATTAAACTTTTACTCTTTCTTTTCTGAGTTGTTTAGAGCTGGTTTCTCTTGTAGAAACCTTTCGTACTCTTCCATGGTCATGTAATTGCGAATTTGGTACGCAATTCCAGGTTCGTTGTTTTTGAACCTGATGTATGTAACGCTTCCATCCTCCTCAGGGAAGTAAGCTGCTAACATCTGACCAAGTTTTCTCGGTGACTCGGAGCTCATAAAAATGTCACTTTTTAAACGTTAAGTTTTTAGTCTTAATTTACCCTTTGTTTGTCAAGGTAGTATTGGAGTGCAATTTCTCCAAATTCTCTGTGTCGGAGTTCTTCAGCATTTTCCAAGGTGTACCTGGAGAACTCAAAGAAGTTGTCAAGAACATACTGCCATGCTGCTCTTCTGAGTTCGTCGGTATTTTGGAAGTGTTGCACCTTCGAGTCTTCGGACATGAAAAAATGACACTTTTTCTATTAAACCGTTTTGGCATTTCTCATGAGTGAGTATAGTTCTGCCGAACCATTGGAAGAGAAGAAGTACCCTTGCTGGCAAAAGACAAAAATAGTTGCCTTAGTTGTCATTGCAATTGTACTCGTAATTGAATTCATTGTACTTCTCTTCACGTACATAAAACTCAGCAATGGTATTTGCTTTAAGAAGCTACCATCTTACTAAGACTAAACACTTAGATTTTTCAAGCTTGACTTTTTACAATTTGAACTTTGTTTGCGTAGATATGAATTCTGAAAGAAGTATGAGGGTCTTGTATGACTTTGTACTTCTCCCATAGTTCATGTCTGTCAAACTTACCTGCCATGGACTCTTTCATAAGTTCCATGAAATCGTCTTCGGACAATCCGGGGAAAAGTATTATGTCAGTAAGTATTCTTTTAACATCCTTACTTAAACTCTTTGCTGTCTGTACACAAATGACAACTGAGATGTTAAAGTGTCTGAGCTTCTTAAGAATTCGACACATATCTTGTTCTCTGTTCTTTAACAAAGGATGAGAGGCGAAATCATCTAAGATAAGAAGACATCTATGAGGGTAAGTCTTCCAATCGTAAGATTGCAATTTCTTCGAAATGTATTCTATCTCTTTCTGTTTGTTTCTGAAGTGTTTCTTCTCTAATATTCTCTGCATTTCCTCATTAGGGTCTTTAACTTAGAATTTATATACTCATTTATAGCATTATACTTCAAAACTCTTCTTTGGTACTTCTTTATCCAATCTAACAACTCAGTATCCTTTATACATACTAACTTAGACTTCTTTATAATATCTTTGAACGAATTGACGGTTTGGTCAAATTGACCAGAAGTCGAACAAATAACAACTAACTCATAGAATGGGTTCTTCTCATCTAGTTCTTGTTGTTGTGCAGCCATTTTAAGATAAGTGAAAGTCTTACCCGACCCAGGTGGTGCAATTAGACCTGTTATACCATTCTGAGCAAATAAGAACTTTCATGTATAGGCTTTATCTGAGCATTTTCTAACTTCCTCTTGTTCTTGTTTAAAACATTCTCAAATTTCTTGTCAATGTCAGCAAACTTTTTTCTAACATATTTTTAGAAAAATTAAAATTTTTATCTTTTAGAAAATGTCTAGCGATTTCGCTATCTATATTCGAGACAAACTTTTTGACAGCAAAACATCTGTCGACCATAAAATCTTACATAGTGTAAACAAGAAAGGTGAATTTGTTCTAAAGTTCTGTTTCTGGGAATATGACAAGAACCATAAAACATTACAAAGAGCAGTCTTAAAATTTGTCAATGACAGACTTGTTGACAGAGATGACGCCGATTGGAAAGATGAAGTCCAACAAAAGTTCTTAGAATGCAAAGAAGACACATGCGGTGTTCTTGAAGATGAAATAGAAAACAGAATAGATGAGCTATTAAAGGACAAAGAACTTTTACAGAAATATGGTTCTGAGAAATTTGACATATCTCCACCAGAGAAGAAGAAGAAAGAAAAGAAAGAGAAAAAAGTAGAAGAGAAGAAAGAACCTGAACCAGTTCCAGAGAAAAAGAAATTTGACATGTAAAAATAAAATTTTATTTTTAGAACATTTCTGGGTCAATGTCAATGTTCTCTTCCTCTTTAGGAGTAAACACTGGCTTAGACTCTAAAATCTTTTTACCCAATTTACCTTGAACTTCTACAACTTTAGACTCATAATATTCATAGTCGTCTGTCTTCTTTGGTTCATAAGGTATAACAAGTTTGTATGCTTTGCCTTCTTTAAGGTTTGAGAACCTTCTGTCAAAACTTTCTTTGACTGTTAACAAACCTTCTATGTCTAAGTCTTCAAATTTCGCACCATTTTTAGTCACAATAGCAAACTTAACTGGTTCGATGTTCCAAACTTTGCTGAATGAAGACTTTTCAAAATGGTAGAAGTAAACATTCAAATATGTGAATGGGTCTAGTTCTTCTTTAAGTCCTGACATGTACTTGTTTACTGAGATGAATTTCGTCATCTTTTCTATCGGATAAAAAAATATTTTTTTTAAAATTTACTCAGAAAAATTTTTCTTTGTATATACACCATTCTGTACGTCTAAAAGACTTTTGACATTTGCCAAGAATGTACGTTTAGAAGCTGCCATATAACCATATTCTTGACAATATTGTTTATATTCATCATATAAAGACTTTTCATCTAAACACTCAAAGTCGCTTTCTTCTATGAACAGTTCATATACACTCTTGTTTGCTTCTAACAATGTTTGTCTCTCTTCGGTATGTGGAATTTGTCTTGGATTGAACTTAGAAATATCTAATGTCATGAAATATGAGAACAAGTGGTTGTAAAAGTCAGATGTCAAAGTTTCTGCTAAGTCGTCAAAATATTCTGTATCTTGCATATGAGAATCTGACGTTCTGACAACTACATATCTTCTGTCAGAACTTTCTAACTTCATCGGAACAGCATTGTTTGAAACCATAATGAAGTTTGCAACATTTTCACAAACTCTTTGGTCTTTATACTTTCTTTCAACAACTCCAACTTTGTCTGTTATAAGACTCTTCAAAGCATCTGAGTTCAAAACTTTTGTTGTATCTATACTTTGAAGTTCATTGCAAACTATAAGTTTCATATTCTCTATTGAGGAGTTAAACTTGCCACAGATGTTTTCTAAGTTTGTCATATTAGGGTTCGAATAACCTTCTAACAGTTTGCATAAGATATCTGTAAAGAATGTGTTCTTACCTGTTCCTTGTTTTCCAATTATAATGAGAGCAGTTTCATTTTTAGCACTTGGATGTTGTAAGATGTTTGCAAACCAACATAAGATATACTCATAAACCTTTTCGTTTCCATTGCATATAATTTCTTTGACATGGTCTAACCAAGCTTCTATAATATTTTCTTTCCATTCTACTTGTTCATATTTATATCCAGTGAAGATAGAATAGAAGTTTGGAGAAGGTGTATAGAACTTTATACCTCGAACTGAAAAATCTTCTAACTTTGACAATAAGATATCCCAAGCATCTAACATCTTCATTCCAACTTGTACAACTTTTATTTTCTTAAGTTTCTGTCTACATTCTTGTTCAGACACTATTGTTGCTCTTGGTTTGTTAAAGACAACATCCCATTCTTTCATGACATAACATTCTGGGGCAGAGTCAACATAAATGACTAAACGTTTCAAATTCTCGACTGCTTTGTTATAGTCTCTAAATGGACACATATTTCTGAATGCTTGGAAGTCATAAAAATCTGAAACATCTATTCTGTACATTTTTATAAAAATAAAAAAATAATATTTTTTTATTCTTGACTTTGTTGTTCCATTTGTTGCATTTGTTGTTCTTGAGCTATTTGTTGTTGAAGTTGTTCTTGTAATACAATACTTTCACCAGTTGCATCTTCCAATTCGAAACTTTCTGCCGTCATTGACAAATACATAGGACATAAAAGTTTTACAGGAACAAAGTTTGCGTCAACTAATGTCAACGTTATACTTGCCAAAGTGTTTGAGTTCACTAAGGTTGAAAATTCTGCATTCGAATGAACAATAGGCAAACCAGCAGAGAAAGTATTGTTTATACGCATAAGTATCTTTTGGTCATAATAGTTTCTGTCGACATTCGAATAACACTTTGAACCTAAGTTTGAAACAATATATAAGATTGGTGTGCTTAATGTCAATGGAATAGACATTCCTTGTATGACACCTTTTCCTGTTATAGGAAACTGTTGGTAGTAAAAACCAGATATAAGTTTTGTATTATAGCTCATATCGTTTATAGTAAACTCAGTCGGACATCCAAACATAATGAAACCTGCTCTAGTTGCAGCACATGTTACACCCGTACTTAAAGTATTAAATAAGTCAACAAAACCTGTTGGTGGTATATCTGAGTAAGTATCTTCAAAGGAGTATTTTTTACCATTCACAACAATAAAGTCTTCTGGTGTCAAAAGAGCAAAACAGGCTTTAGTCGTCATTGTGTTTAAGGTTAGTTTACAATATCGTCCTTGAGGACTTTGTAAGTTTGTTGTTATAGAATTATATGACTCAGGGTTTTTAGTCGTAATAGTATAAACCATTATGTCTTCTGCCATTTACTTAGCAAATAAACTTTAATGAAATGTTGTGGTCGTCAAATATTTTTATAACGTCTGGGAAACTATATTTTAAGTTCAACGTTTCACCTCCTTTCATAACGTATATCTTGTCAATGACATTATATGAAACACCACAGCAAGCAATGTCGGGTTCTATTTCTTTGATGTTTATATCGTCTGCCTCTGTCAAAAGTTTCAATAGTTCTTTCAAAACTTCATGAGGTGCAATGACATATGAGTTCACTTTTACAGGGTTGTGTTCGACCAAGTTTAACATTATACTTAAAGCTTGACAAATCTTCTCCTGAGTTTGAAGTTTGTCTTTCAGTTGTTGGTAGTCGTTTCGAATATCTGCAACAGAACTTAAGTCTCTGTTAACTTCAGGATATGTTGGTTCTTTTACAGGAACAATTGTTATACCATCTTCGTCTTCGTATGGTTTCCCCACTTCAACATCTCTGTCTTTGACATTGACAACAACACTTTGACTGTTTGTTTGAGTTGGTGAATTTAACTTCACATCTGCCACCGCCATTAAACCTTTTGAAACACTTACGCTTCTATTTTTCGGAAATGACATTTTACTTAGAATAAAAGATGGACGTATTCGGATATCTTATTGAATTGAAGCAGAACAAAGTTTATACTCACAAACAATACAAATACATTGACAGAATAGTTCTTTACACAAACAATGGAAAATGTTATAGAATAGCAGTCTTTGCTGAACCTAAATATTTTCATAAAGCAAAGAAAGTTGGTATAACTGAAATGGTGAAAGTTCTTGAAGCAGACAAAAATATAACTTCAAAACTTACAGATATTACTAAAGGAAAGTTTATAATACAATATTATGTCAAAACTGGCGTACTGTCAATATTTGACGGAGAGAAGTCAGTTCAAGAACAACTTACTGACCTGCTGCCAAAATCTGCTCGATGGAAGCTGTCGTTATGCCAATCTGAGGAGCCCCAGCAGGTTTCATCGAACGAATCTTCAAAAGAGCATCTTCCGTGAAAAGTGCTATTGGTTTTGTAAACTTCTTTGCTCTCAATTCATCTGGACCGTCTCTGTCACCAGTATATTGTATTTGTACTGTACCAACAGTTGAAATACCACCCATAAAGTCTTCTGAGTCAGCAAATGGAATGCCAAGCCAAAAGTTTGAACAGTCTCCATTTGTATATTGAGTTTTTTGACCTCCTGTATGAGTCCATACTTTCACATATGGCATAATAGAACTTTGCATTTCAGGGTTAATAGTTGTTGTGAAGTTGTTGTTAAAGTTCATAGCATCTAATGTCAAGTTGTATGACCTCATATCCTCAACTGTAGAATATTCTTCTCTTGGATAATATTTGCCATCTATGTTTATATGATATTTAATACCAGGGTTGTAGAAACAAGAATAGTCATTTATAGTTCGTCTGAACAGTACAAACATAGTATCTGCATGTTTCATTGCAGTTGTTAAAGCAATATCTGTTCTTGCACCTGCGGCTCCTGGATTTTGGTTTCCAACTTCACCTGCAAAGTCTTTGACAGATATTTGGTGTATAGGGAACATAAGTGGAACTGCAATATATTTGGCAGCTAAAGCATTTGAAATATCTGGGTCCAACATATAGACTGCAAGTCTGCTTTCTATTCTCTTGTATTCAAACTGTTCGCATGTGAACTTAACTGAGTCCCATACGTTTGCACCACCATTATCCTTCATATAGTAGTTTACTTCATTGTTGAAGTTTGAGAAACCAAAGTCTAAGTCAACTTTGTTTTTGCAAAAGGCAGTGAATGTTTCCTGAGCTGTTGCTTTGGCTTCAATAGTGAATGGGTCTTGTGTTGGTGCAATGACTAAGTTATTTTTGCTTGGAGTAAGTTCAATAGAAATTTTTCCTGCCCAGTTTGGTAAGTATCTTAAAAACCTGAAGATGAGGAAAGATGACAAAGGAACTCTAAGTTTCAGTTTTACTTTGGTTACTGCTGCTGCAGTTTGTCCAGAAAGGTTAACATAAACTCCTGGAACGTTAGGGTCAAGTCTTCTTATTTTCTCAATGGTGGCATACTGGTCTGTTTGTTCTCTAGCTTGTGGTTGTACTGAGTTTCTCAAAGCGAACCATTCATAGTTTGCCCATGTTACTGTTTGAACTAAGTCAGAGTTAGAATATATCTTATATCCCATGAAAACTTCTGGAGCATATTGGTATCCGACATAGAAAATTCCATTGCAACCTTTCTTGTCAGACAACTTGGCAGAAGGTTTTATTTCAATGTCTTGTTCCACGTATAAGAATGAGTTGTCAATAGAAATAATATGAAACCTGTCGCAAGCAATATCTACTGTTGTTGAAGAACCTTCTCCAAACTCACCTACGTTTCCATAAGAAACAGCAGTTGTATATTCGTAAGTTCCATGAACTATTTCTGACCTTCTAATGGCATTGTCGCATTCGTTATACCATTCGGAAACATTTCCGTTCATGGCATCCAAAACTGTTGGCGTTATATTCTGAGCGGCGTACATTTCATATGGGTAAAAATATAGAATAGTTGGATTTATATGTCATAATAGAACCCACTCGGACCAAGCTTTACTTTCTTCCTGACTGAGTTTTTAACTGAATCTTTAACTCTTCTTTTTCCTTCATTGCCACTACTTTCACTAGATGAAGTTACTTCTTCACTACTTTCACTTTGTTCTACTCTTCTCTTCTTCTTTGGTGTCGCTTTTGGTAACTTGCCCTCTGCTTCAAGTTGTAGCATCTTTGCCTCATGTTCACCTAGTATGTTGTAAATTTCCCATGTCCTTTTTGCCTTTGGGCTCTGGTCGCCCATCTCAGGTAACCTATATCCTAGAAAGATTTTGTCATAGTTTGTATTTGAGTCTTCGCGTATTGTTTGCATGACTCTTTCCTGAGTTTCCGGTTCAAGCTCTTCAAACAGAGCTTGTCCATATGGAATAAGCTCGTTTCCAAATATATGTTTTTGTAGCCATTCTGGTTTTCTTTCCATGTAACCAATAATATCTTTTGTGAATGGGAAAGCTTTTACCCAACGTTTCAGTCTTGCGTCATTTATTTCTGTAGTTGGTTTTATTTTATCATGGAACATGTTTTTCAATACTAACATTTCATTTGGTACTGTCCATTTGAGTTTTCTTAAATATTCATCCCTTCTCGGTTCATTGTCTGCAAAGTAAGTTTTTATGACATTTTGCAAACTTTCGTTTGCAAGGTCATGTACAATAGGTTCTCTTCCTTCTCTCTCCCTAACTTTCTTTCTAAACTCTTCACCAAATATACCATCTCTATGGTTCTGTGTAGTTCTTTGAGATAAATGTTCTAGAACGTCAGGTGTTATATTTCCCTCAGCCATGTTCATTTCATACCGGTCCAAAATATCTGCATCTTTCATATCTTTCAATGGCATTAAAGCCGCGCTGAAAATACCAGTTATATCTGGTTCACCATTCAATTCCATTGCGTCTACAACTTCTTGGAATTGAGGTTGTAAGTTTATGAACCACCTATCCGGATTAGCTTTATGACCCCATTTCATTGTAGTTCCATAGTCTGCAGAAACAAAAGTAGGTTTGTTTCCATATTGGTTAGGTTCTGAATGAACTTTAAACAATGTTTCATTTCTATATGTTTTGTTGAAATTTAACCTTTTATTTTCACCGAGTTCAGCCAAAGCTTGAACGTTATATGGTCGTAAGTAAAAAGGATTATTGTATTTGCGTACATTTTCTTTCAGTACTTCCATTCTATGCTGAATATTTTCATCTGATGTTGGAGTCTTTTGTATGTCGGTGAACATTTTTCGATATCCTTCTACTATGTCAGCCGAATTTTTCTTAGACTCTTGGAAAGATTCCATATTCTCCTCATACTCTTGTTGAGGGTCAAGATTTTTCGGCTGTTCCAAATCTTCATCTAGTTCTGTGAAGTTAGTTTCCAAAGGAGGGATTTGTTCGTTTCCTTCAGGCTTTTCTAGCTGTTGTTGCTGAACTATTTCTTCCATGTCTGGTTGTATCTGAACTTCTTCCTGTGGAGTTTCTTGTACCTCATCTGGTGGCATTTCATATATTCCGAGACCGTTTTTAACAAGTTCCCTATCTAAGTCATCCGGACTCATAAACCTTTCTTCTTTCGTTCCGTCTCTATTTTTTACGCGTTTCATGAAGAGAGTTGAATTATCATTTAGCTCTGACATCAAATATCTCGGAGTAAATTCATTCATGTCATTTGGATGATATGCTATTAAATCATATCCCTTAGCGAGCTTGTATTTTCCAGGTTTGAGATTATATCCGATTTGATGCTGAGCCATAAAGCTAAATAGGTTCGGGTCAGTATTTCCTTCCTTGAACTTTCTAATAGCTTCTTTATATCTGTCACTAAAGTCAAGAGTATCTGGGTAACCATAATCTTCCTTAAGCATTTTTAAGAATTCTTGGTTTCCTTTTTCTCTACTTCTTTTATGTCCTTGCTCTGTTTGTGGTTGTTGTTGTGCAGGGTTTTGAACTGTTGGTTGCTGTGCTGGTTGTGGAGGTGGTTGTTGTGCTGGTTTTGGTTGTGGTGCTGGATTTTGAACTGTTGGTTGCTGTGCAGGGTTTTGAACTGTTGGTTGCTGTGCTGGATTTTGAACTGTTGGTTTTGGTTGTTGTTGTGGTGCTGGATTTTGAACTGTTGGTTGTTGTGTTGGTTTTGGTGCATGCCTGTGTCTGTGTCCATGTGACGATGTAAATGTTTTAGGTAGTCCTGGTGCAGGTGCTTCTCTTGGAGGGTTTGGTGGTATATAAGTTCCACCAGCTGGCACATATGTTCCATCTGCAGCATAATGTCCTACCTGACTTTTCGTTCTTAAGAAAGCATTTACTAGGTCTGTTTTGGTCTGTTGTAACTCTTTTTCTTGACTTTCCACAACAGTTGCTCTAACGGCGTCATAGGCACTTTGAACTGCCTGTCTCGTTGCTGCATCTGTTATTTTCGTCATATTTTGTGCTACTTCTCTTAACTCTTTGTCGAAACCTTCAGACTTCAGTTTCTTTCCAGATGAGAAGTCGTTCACTAGTTTCACCTTACTATGAAGAGCTTCGAAGGCATTCTTAAAGTCATCATTCATTAAAGCTTCATTTGAACTGTCTTCATCCGCTTGTATTTTTGTCCTTATTGACCCTATAAGTTGGGCTGCTTTAGCGTTGGCTTGGGCATCTAACCAGTCATTATTAGCTTTTATATATTCTGCGCTTTTCATTGCCTTTTGCATGGCTGCGTCGTTATTTTTACTTTCTTGTGCTAAGTTTTCATACTGTACGGTTTGGTTTTGCAACTGTAAAATTTTTTCTGCCATTACATTTGCTTCAACTTCTTTTTTATACTCATCGCTATCCATATATGTCTTCATGGCTTTTTGTTTTATCTCTTCATCTTTCAGTACTTTATATTGAGTAGTATGGTTTTTCAAATTTATAACATCTTGTTCCATTTTTGCTACTTCTGCTGCTTTTTCTGACACTTTTTTCGCATATTCCTCTGTACTTAGTTCTTTCAGTTGTTCTTCTTTCTTATTTTTCTCTACGTTTAACTCATTTAGTTTCTTTGTCTGTCTGTCATATTCTAGTTTCTTTTCGTTTTCACTTATTTGTTTCTGTATGTCTATGTTTGACTTTTTGACATCTGTTATTTGATTTTTGAGTGAACTCAAATTCATTTGACTTTGAGGGTTATAAGCTGTTCCGTCTGCAGCTCCACCATAGCCTGCCATTTTCGCTAAAAGTGCCGCTCTTAAACCTCCACTCTGTGCACCAATAACTCGGTTTAAAAGCATAGGGTTGCTTGACATTTGTTGCAACATAGTGGGGTCATTCATCATTTGTTGTTGCAACTGTTGTTGTGGTGTCAGTTTTACTATTGGATGTTTCAATGCTCCCTTCCTCTTATGTATATTCTTACGTAGCTTACGTGGCATTTTAAGTGAAGTTAAAAAGCGGTTTTTGACAGATGTTTATATGACACTTTTTGTTCAGCACAAAAAACTACTCGGTCAAAGTGTTATCAGTTTTGTAAAATAACCGTCTTATCTCATTCTATAAGGGGGAAAAGGCTTCTCAAAGTATACTTCCTTGGAACGCCTGTAACTTTTCCTGTAGCGATGATAGACCCTTACTTGTCCGGACAAAGTTATACTATTTTGAGTGCTCTACAAAAAAGTCAACGGCTGGCTCGTCCTCAGAAATTTTTTATGGGCTAGAGGGCGCAACGCGCCTGGAAGCCCCACTACCTTTTTTTTATTTATATTGTTTGCATGTATCTTTGCATTTGTAGCAACTAATCTTTTCAAAATAACCAATTTTTTAAAAAAAATTAATTAAAATTAGATTATGCGTTGTAATTAAAGTACTTTTGAGTTTATAAGAAATATATGTTAAATAGCTTAACACTACCATTCAAAATCACGTTGTATAAAATGTTTCAATTAAATATCTGCATTTCATCAATTATTGATACTAACATTATGTTTGAATTTATGATCCTTGATGTATCTACAATGATAAAACTCGAAATCATATATTTTGAAGATAAAGAGACCGTTTATTAAATTAAATGTCGAAGACCCCGCGGACTCCTCAAACACCGAGGACTCCAATGACTCGTTCAATCGAAGTCCTCGACGAGCTTATTGGAGATGTTATGGAAGATGGACAAACAACATTTGAGTTTATGAGAGAAAGTCGAATCAAAAATCTCGAAGAAACAAAAGAAAGCTTCAAACGTCAACTTGAAGAAAAGCAAAAGTTAATAGAATTATTAAAATCAGAACAAAAGAGTTTTATAGCAAAGGTCGACAAAATAATTCTAGATCTCCTTAGCGCTTCTGATTTACAGAGCCAAAACGAAAAGAAGCTTAAGAAAATTCAAAACAATAAGAGTGGTTATGAAAAATCTATGAAACTATACCACTATTTGCTCGAAAACAATCAGGGTGGCGATACAAGCTCAATTGAGAGATTAGTTGCTCAAATCTATGGATACTCCTGCCTCATTCAAAACATCTGCGACGGCAAAAATACACCTATCAATTTCCAGGAAAAAATTACAGAAAGTGATAAGGATTCACTCAGAACAATTGCAGCTAAAACTACAGAATCTTTGCAGAATATGATGCTTGATACAACAAGTCCCCTTTATACTGTTAATGATGCTCTTGATTTGAATTTTAATCCGAAAAACAGACTTGATCAAATTAATTCTTTCCTTAATAATGGAAAATTCTCTGAACAAGAGCTTAAATCGATGCTTTTCCAAGAATATGTACTTGTTGATGTTTTGAGACAAAGCATCGACGAAAACTCCAAATCTCCGAGGAAATCACCTCAAAGCAAAAAGGATATTGAGGCTGAAGTTGAAAGGCGCTTACGTCCACAAATTAAAGAAGAACTCAGAGATTCTCTTGCATCTGAAATTGAAAAGAAGCTCAGGCCAAAGATCGAAAAGGAACTCTCAAGAAAATTGAGTCCTTCAAAGGAAGCCCAACTTCGCAATCAAATTGCTGATGAACTTCGAGATTCAATTCAAAAAGAGCTTGAATCTTCTCTTCGTCCACAAATTGAGAGTGAGTTATCAAGTAAACTCAGATCGCAAATTGAATCCGAAATTAGATCCCAAATGGAAGAAGAGGAAGACGATGCAAGGGAAAATCTTGAAAGAGAGCTTACAATTAAGCTTACACCGCAGATTGAGAAATCTCTTCGTCCAAAAATAAGAAAGGAGCTCGAAAATTCTCTTCATGATGAAATTGCAGATCAAATCAGACCACAAATCCAAAAAGACTTGATTTTAACACTCAGACCACAAATAGAAGCTGAAGTCACACAGAAACTCAGACCACAAATTGAAAGTGAAGTAAGAGCAGAATCATCTCCAAAGAGAAGACAGCTTGAACGCGAAATTGCTCAGAAGCTTAGACCACAAATTGAAGAAGAACTCAGACCAAAGATCGAGGAGGAAGTCAGAGCCGAAAATCAGCAAAACAACGATGCAATGAGAAAGAAACTCGAAAGAGAAGTTACACAGAAGCTTAAACCTCAGCTCGAAGAAGACCTCAGTAAGTCAATGGAAGCATCTCTTCGTCCTTCAATCGAAAAAGAGCTCACAAAGAAGTTAAGACCACAAATTGAATCCGAAATCAGACCAAAGATCGAAGAAGAGATTAGAGAAGAGCTTGAGAACGAAAATGAGCTCAACAAGTCTCAACTTGAGAAGGATTTGACCAAGAAATTAAGACCTCAAATCGAATCAGATCTCAGACCAAAGATTGAAGAAGAAATAAGAGAAGAACTCGAGGATGAAATCAGAGAACAATTAGAAAATGAAAACTCTCTTAACAAATCCCAACTTGAAAGAGATTTGACAAAGAAATTAAGGCCACAAATCGAATCCGAGCTCAGACCAAAGATAGAAGAAGAGCTTAAGAAAGATTTCGAACTCAACAAGTCCCAACTTGAAAGAGATTTGACAAAGAAATTAAGGCCACAAATCGAGTCAGAACTCAGACAAAAACTTGAAGAAGAGCTTAAGAAAGATTTCGAACTCAACAAGTCCCAACTTGAAAGAGATTTGACCAAGAAGTTAAGACCACAAATTGAAAACGAATTAAGACCGAAAATTGAAGAAGAAATCAGAGAAGAACTCGAGAACGAAAACGCTCTTAACAAGTCACAACTCGAGAGAGACTTAACAAAGAAATTAAGGCCACAAATCGAGTCAGAACTCAGACAAAAATTTGAAGATGAAATCAGAGAAGAACTCGAAAATGAAAACGATTTCAACAAGACACAACTCGAAAAGAAGATGAGACAACAAATAGAAATAGAGCTCAGACCAAAGATCGAACTAGAACTCGAGAATTCCTTCAATAAATCTCAAATCGAGAAAGATTTGACAAAGAAATTAAGACCACAAATTGAAGCAGAATTAAGAGAACAAATTGAGAAAGAAAATTCATTGAATCATTCTCAGATAGAAAAGGATCTTTCCAATATGTTGAGGCCACAAATCGAAGCAGAACTTAGACCACAAATTGAAGAACAAGTAAGAGAGGAAATCGAATTAGAAAATTCACTTTCCAAAGCACAGTTTGAGAAAGATTTGTCTAAGAAACTTAGACAACAAATCGAAACAGAACTAAGACCAAAGATAGAAGAAGAATATTCAATCAATAAGTCACAATTAGAAAAAGACGTTTCAAACAGAATTAGACAACAATTTGAAGCAGATTTAAGAGAAACAATTGAAGACGAAATCAGAGAAAATGTTGAAAAAGAAAACCAAATCAAACTCAACAAATTGAAGTTGCAGATCGAAAATGAAGTAAGAGAAGAATACGAACAACAGAACAAATTAGCTCTTGAACAAATGAAGAAGAAACAGACTTTGGCAAGATCACAAATTGAAGATCAAATTAAGTCCCAAGTTGAATCCGAAATTAAACAAAGTTATGAAGCGAAATTTGCAACTTACAAGAGAGATTTCTCAGAAAAACTTAGAACACAAGTTGAAGAAGAGCTCAGACAACAATATGAACAAGAGAACTCTTTGAACAGAAAGAAACTCGAAAGAGAAATTTCCCAAAAGATGAGAAAACAAATCGAACAAGAACTCCGTCCAATTATCGAAGAAGAAATGCAGAATTCATCAGACTTATCAAAGAAGAAGATGGAAAGAGAGATAACAATGAAACTAAGAAGCGAAATAGAGAGTGAAGTGAGAAAAGATCTCGAAGAAGAAAACAAAATCATCAGAAAGAAGATGGAAAGAGAAATCACAAACAAAGTTAGACAACAATACGAATCAGAAGTCACAAATGAAACAAGACAAACTGATTCTTACGCGTTCACTTCCAATGGAAAATTCGCTCAACAAATCGCAAATGAAGTCAAACTTTCTCTTGGAATCTCCGGATTTGATGAAAAACAATTGGAAGATGTCCACAAAGTTGTTCGCCAAGCTCTTGGTCTTTCTTACAAGACATACAGCGCTTACAAGTTCGTCAATGATACAAAGAAATTGGCTCAGGATTGTGTTGTTGCAAGGAAATCTTACAACGTTCCAAATATGTCGATTTCATCTTTGATCGATGATCTCGCAAAGAGAATGCAATCTCTCGACGAATTGAACACACACAACAGAGGATTACTCACTGCACAATCAACTGAAATTGCAAGATTAAGAATCGAAGTTGGCAATGGAAGATGGTTGAAGTGGTCGTCGAGTTTGTTCAAGTTGTTGACAGGAAAGAATTATTACGGAAATGACGTAGCAGAGTTGAGAGATATGATTGAAGAAGCTGCTTTGGAAAATGGAGAAAGAAATAGAATATGGAATTTGGCAGAAGAAAAGAGAAAAACAGAAGAGAAGTTACAGGGTTCGCCGCCGGAATTGACGCCATCGCCACTCAGGAACTCTCTTCAGTCTGGTAGTGGTTTGTACGCAACACCTACAAAGTAATTTTTGTATATTTTATTTTTTTTATTTGTTCATTTTTTTGAAATATAAAACTTATTATTTAAATTAAAAATGAATGACGATATTTACTCGATGCGGATGCTATCTCATCTATGTGATGTCTTTTAATACTTTTATTATTGTCAACCCATGTTTCTGAATAGAAAACACTGAGATGAAACAAATATAAATATTACATTTGAGCGAAACAAAAAATTCATCTGTGCAAAAAGGTGACTCACGGCTCCCTGTGTTGGTACATGAGAGATGTAATACAAAAAGAAAGTAATTGCTATATAAACTCTATAATATCTTTATTAAAAAAACAAAACAAAATTATGAATTTTCTTCTATGTTAACATGATGAATTTTCAAGTAGTCCGATACATAGTTGTTTCCAAATTTCTTTTTGTTAATGAAATCGGAAGGATTTGATTGGATTTCAGAAATTATTTTCTGAATTTCATCGTTTTGTGAGATTCCTAGCTTATTAAATGCTTCGATACACATTTCCAAAATAGATAGATGACAAAATGATCTTTGTTCGATCGCTGAAATCCATCTTTGCAAATAATTATCAATTTCTGTAAAATCTCTAAATAGAATTAAAGAGACTAAGAATTCAACAAATGTAACTTCTATTATAGACTTATTATTTTGATACAATGATAATTTTTCAAATATTATTTGACAATTCTCTATATCTATTGAATTATCATTTCTAAATAGTATGCATACAATCCATATTGCATAACAAAGAGATATTTCATCAATTTGATCAATGTTGATTAAATTAAGGATAAAATTGAATATTTCTTGGGAAAATCCTTGTGAAATTATATCAGATACACTTTCTGATATACAGATTGCTAAGTCATCTACATAATTAATGCTTTCTGGATTTTCATTGAATATTTCAAAAATTAAACTCAAAATATTTTCAATTGAAGAGGGATATAGGGTCATAAGTGCCGATGATAGCAGTAAAGTATCAGAAATATCGCACTTTGCTAAGTTTTGGATCAATCCGAAAATTAATTCTGCAGAATTTTCATCAATCTCTCCTAAATTCTCCAAAAATTCAATCAGAAATGATATGGAAACCGATACTGAATCTGAGTAATCAATTGGATAGTCAAGAAATCCAATTAATTTTTCGATTATCAAATGAAAGTGTTCTGATATCAAATTCAAAGTATTTTCATCTTTTCTTTCAACTAGCATCATTAAAACTTTCCATCCTGATCTTGTATTTATGGAAAGTGTAGATTGAAGAATAAATTCTAAGAAATTCGACAAATCGTAGTCAGGATAGTATTTCAAGATGTTTTTGAAGAACTTTGAAATCAATTCGTCCATAAAATACATCTTGCCGCATAAAGGGAATGGAATAAAACGGAATAAGATCTGAATTGTGTCTAAATTACAAAAAGGAATGATTTTCGTCATCAAAAACAGATAAGATGACATAATAAAAGGTATTTTTGCTTCTTGAAGACCTTTCGTAATTTTCAAGAAAAGTGACATTAAATTTTGTTGTAAATTAAATTTTCTATCGTTCTTGATTGAAGCTGAAATTACGGCTGCCAAAGTTATGCCTTCTTCTGATATTGGCAGGCCATCGAGTACACAGATCAAATCCTCATCAGACATAGAAGATGTCCATGCGTACACAAATTCTAAAAGGGCAGGTCTAAGTCCATGATTTGAGTAATTATGCGTGGAATATACGGCAGAAGCAAATAATTGCGGGTTATTTACGGTCTCTGCAATAAAAGATTGAGATATAGCTGACATTTGAAGGATTTCTTCAAAGATATTCAGTGGAAATTCAACTAAATCTGAAAATTTCGTCAAACATCTCACGAATTTACAAGTGATATGGGCCGGTCCCATCTCTTGATATGCCTTAATTATCGAATTCCAGAGTCTTTCTGCAATAGAATTACCCCATTCTTCGTCATATTTATATTTTTCTGTGTCTTCAGCTATTTTCTTGATATAAGAGGTAATTTTCGACATTAAATGCGATAATTTGTCTGAGTGTATCTGTATTTGAAGGAATGAATCGAATAAAGCTATGAATAAATCTTTGATTTGGGAAATTTCATCAGGAATCGTTTGTTGAGAAAAAATTGTATCGCATACAATTGTTAATGCTAGTTCAAGTATAACACATCCTTGCGGTGTGTTTATTCTATCAATTTGAGACAAAATTTGTTCTGCAATTGAAAGTATTTGTTCATTGTACGATTTTAAGTTAATAATAGCTTCTGCAAAGCATTTGAATGCTATTAGTACACTAGTTATTTCTGTTTCTTCTTGAATTGATTTCAGATCAAAAGAATTTACAAAAAATTCAAGTCTTTCATTTATAAAATCAACGGAGTTAATGTCCGAAAGTAGTGAATAGTAAAATTCTATGAATATATTGAAGATTTTTCTTGAAATAAAGTCAATAATATTAATTTGTTGAATGAATGATACTTTTGTGTCAACATTTAGGGCCTTCCATGCATTTTTCTTCCAATTTTTTAGTGCAGCGATTCCATAATATTGAATTGAATCATTGTCAATATTATGAAGTAAAATTTCATACAGATCGGGGCCAAAGCATGGATCTGAATACTTTTCCTGGAAGAATTCTTCGATATGTCTCCTCTCTTCATCTGTGCAATTACCGAGAGAAGCTAAAAGATTTTCCATTCATAGAAAATGAACATAATCATCATAAATTAGTATATCACACATCAAAACTAGCCATGTGATTCATGAAAATCCATTCTCAATTTGTATATATAACTGATTGAATATATTTTCTGGCAATAGCCTTCAATGATAGTAATATGTCATTATTAAGAAATGTATAATTAAATCCATAAGATATGTTTGAATTTAACACTAATAAGTTATTAATCTCTTGATTGATCATTGTTATTCATTTGATAGTAATATGTCATTACTAAGAAATATATAATTAAATCTATAAGACATTCAATATAACTTTTGACAGGCAAAGTGCAATATTGATAGGTGATTGCACTTTGCCTGTCACATACATCTCGACAGAGGCAACATTCGATATGAAAGTTTCCTCTGTCGAGAAACTTCCTCACACCTCAAGAGATGCGAGGAACTTTTGACAGGCAAAGTGCAATATTGATAGGTGATTGCACTTTGCCTGTCACATACATCTCGACAGAGGCAACATTCGATATGAAAGTTTCCTCTGTCGAGAAACTTCCTCGAAACTCAAATTTTTCTTTAGAACTACAATATCTTAACAATTAGCTCATCAAAACACAACCTATAAACTTTAATTTTTACTTTTGTTTTTTTCAATATATGAACTAATTTTTTTTTTTTTCAAATTACTCCCACACTGGGAAAAGTATTTTAACTCAGATGTTGCCAACCTCTTCATCATTGCATTAACAAGTGCTTTGACTTAGAGGTTGCCAGCCTCTTCATCATTGCATTAACAAGTGCTTTGACTCAGAGGTTGCCAGCCTCTTCATCATTGCATTAACAAGTGCTTTGACTCAGAGGTTGCCAGCCTCTTCATCATTGTAAAAATGTATTACCGCTTTTTTTTAATTCAATCGTAACATCTCAATTATCCCGCCAAAAATTATTGGGTCTAAATTGGTTTTTATTATTATTATTTTCAGAAACAAACTAACTTGTTTTTTAGGAATTTATCATTCATAAAGTCTTTATGATATATTTTCAACTTATAATGAATATGAAATTATAATTGTTATTTTGAAAAAAAATTATTCATGATCAATTCATGATTTAACCAGTTCCTTCAAATTAGGAGAGCATATTCAAATATAATTGCTCATTAAAATCAATTTTTATGTTTTTTTTTAAATCGAAATTATCTCATCATAAACCATGCAAACTGACTATTTGTTCTTATCACCATGTTACCAATATCAGAATTGTCTTTACAGCCAAAATTTCGCTCGATAAAAGTCCATCCAATAGTGAGATAATTGAGCAAGGAACATTTTTCCATATCACAAAAACCTCCGCCAAAAAAATCTTAACTTTACAAATCTGAACAAAATTAACGAGAATTCCGATTACATTCTTTTTATGCACAATTCGAATTTGCCTATATACAGAGAAACATTAAGGAATTCATTCTGAATCTCACTTTTCAAGTTTGAAATTTCTAACATCTCCTTCGGAGGAGCCCTTTTATCCCAAAACTCAGAGACAAAGTTTATAGTAATTCTGCGACTATTAGCATATCATAAGGATTAGTTTTTTTTTTTTAGAATTTTATAACGTAATTTTTTTCAAAAATGCGCGGATTTGGGCAGAAAAAGCCCAAAATAAGTTTGGCTCTACGCGCGGCCGCAATACAACAGCATATGGAAATACGAATGGGTGAAAATTTCGATCCAATTATAAAGCCAAAAACTCCGAAAAAGATTACGAAACCTGCCGCCCCAAAACAACATAAATGTTCATGTCATCATCAACATTTTAACCCAATACCTACAAATTCGATATTTGAATCAGAAACTGTACAGTCAAAACAAAAAAATTATAATAAAAATCTTACTCTTGCAGAAAAACTTGGACTTGTAGAACCACCACCAGCTCCACTAACAGATGAACAATTCGAAACTGTTAAAATTGAAGCAGAAAAACGTGGATTTTTCAATGAAGTTTGTCCAATTTGTCTTGAAAAATTTGGTCCTGACAATATGGTATTACTTTCATGTTCACATCTTCTTCATGCAACATGTTTGATGAATTTTAGAAAATTTTCTCGAGGTCAGGAAAATAGATGTCCAGTTTGTCGTCAGCCATACGAATTTGTTCGCGTTAAAGCTGAATCAGCTTATAATGAACGCTGTGCAACTACAATTCAGCGAGTTTTTCGAGGATTTTTAGTTCGTAATAAACTAGGTGAACTAGCTCCAGAAGGAACAGAACTACATCGCAAATGGGTACTTAACAAGGCTCATCTTGCTAGTGATATGCTTGTCAGTGCTGTTGATAGACAATCTGACGCAATTGATGCCGTTCTTGGATCTATTGATCACGACCTTGAATGGGCACGTAATGTCATGAAAGCAGCCGAAGAACAAGGCAGGCAAATTGATTGGGACGTTGTCAAAGAAACTGCAATGAATCATGGTGGATTCGGAGATTGCCCTGTCTGTTTGAGACAATTGAAGCCAGGAGATTCTTCTGTTACTTCTTGTGGCCATATTTTCCATACAACTTGCTTGCAATCATGGGTTTCTTTCTGCGAAGGCGAAAAGAAACCACTTTCATGTCCTTGCTGCAGATCTCCATTCCAATACAAACCATGGATCGAGAAAGTCAAAGAAGAGAAAGACGAAAAAGAAGAAGAACCACAAAATGACGACGAAAAACCTTTGCAGCCTTTGAAAGAAAGCAAACCGAAACCAAAACCTAAGAAACAACTACCAAAGAGAAGTGGTTGGAGATAGTGCTAAGCACCGGAATTTATTTGATTTAAATTCCGGTGTATATAAGAATTTTATTTTTATTTTTTTATTTTATTGTTTGTAAATCATATTCGTTTGATAATTCAAAACATTTTTAACAATATGTAAAGCTATTATTTCATTGATTGGGTTATATAAAAAATTATATTAAAATATTCAATAAAAATGTTATAAAAAGATATGACAACTATAATTTCGGATGAAACAATTATACTCTTATTTGATGGCCATAATAGCAAAGCGATATCAAATTTATAAATTTGCTAAAACAGCATATTTTATTTTTAGTAATGAATTCTAGTTTTAACTAGAAACAATAATGTATTCATATAACAAATTGACTTGGTATTTATTTTGGAACACCAACTTGGTAATTTTCGTTGAGAAGAGAAACACCTTCTGGAGGAAGAACTACCTCTGGAACATCTGGAATAGGAGGCATTTTCTGTGAATTGATTTTGGCCGCATTGCTTTGTAATGTTGCTAAAGATGGCTGTTGATATAAAGACTGAGAAAGGGTCATTGAAATGCCACGCTTTAAATCATCTTCATCAATTTCTGAGCCCTTTCCTCTCTTCTGTGATGAAATACGAGCTTGCTTCAAAACATCTCCAACATGGCGGTAGAATAACTCAACAAGCATATGTGGAACAGCTGGATCATAGTCATTGATGTCCATAGAAGCAAGAAGTTGCTTCATAAGTTCGAGAATATTCGCAGGTTGCTGAGTCATTTATAATTTATTTTGAGAAGGAAAACTTATAATTGTTCATGATAGCATATCCTAATCTATATTTATGTATTAAATTAGAATTCTACAAAAACGGTTTTTTGAATGCTGTAAGAAAAAAATAATAATAATACAAGAAAAAATGAACTTTCAATATCCACAAACAAACCTGGTAAAAGACCTTTCTATAACAGGTTCACATGAAGAGTTCTGGACGTTTTCTCAAGTATCTCAATGGGGTACTCACTGGAGATATTCTTCCCTTGAACAAGATAAAGATCATCTTCAACCGGTACTTAATACAGTCATGAAAGCTCGAACATTAGGCAATAAGCATCAGTGCAAACCAAGACTAATTCATTACGCTCAACTTTTAATCTGGCGCTTTTATAACAAAGAAAAATTATCTGATTATCATCCAAACTTGATTTTACCGCTTGCTTTTGACTGTGCTGCACAGATTCTAGAAGTAGAATCTCCAAAGCAATTAATTGCTCAGGATTTGGCGGCTTCAGGTCAAATTGAAAACAAAAATAAAAGTTCCGAGTTTGGACTTCACTTCGCGCTTGTAACTTCTCTCGATTACAATATTCGTATTCATCACCCATTAGATTATATCTGCCAGTTCATTAATGCTAATTTTACCCAAGATGAAATGAGATTAGCAGAAATAATTATTTCTGACTCTTTCTTGATACCGTGCTGCCTTGTACACCGCCCTGCAGCTATCGCTGAGGGAGCAGCAATTATGGCTGCCGGAATGCTGGATCGTCCCGATTCAGTTATACCAAGAACATCAAAAGCCTTATCTTTCATTCAAGATATGAAGTGCTTCTACAAACAAAAGCAGAAACATTAACTGCTTTTTTTAATATAGAATTGTTTTTTATGATTTTAATTTAATTGTTTTACAGGATTAAATATAATATGTCATTTAAATTTTCATACACTGTTTGTTTCGTCTTTAGAAATATCCTAAATTCAAAAATAAAGATTTCAAATTATATTATTATGTTGATTGGGTAGAGATTCAAAAAGAAACTAGTATTTTCGTTAGTAAATACAATTTTTTAAAACTGAGTTAAGTTAAATAATTAGTTATTAATAATTCAATGATTTTATGCTTTTTTATTGTTTTAGAATCTTTCATTTCATTGTCTAGAATGAGTTTATAGCTATACTTGTCATATGAATGCTTCATCCTGGAATATACTCATGAAATTGAGTGAGAAAAATTATTGTTGAAGTAATCGCAATTTTATATTTTTAAAATAAAAACAAGACAGTGATGCGGAAGTGTAATCTGGACAAATGCTTCACGCTTGAGAGTATAAATAAGAATACTGTATATATTAAACATTTATAAATATACAGTCCTCCAAATGTTCTTTCAATTACATTGAAAAGGAGGACAAAAACAATTTAAACTTTTGGAACATCAGTTGCTTTTCCATCAAAGAACCTTGGTGGATCATTCAACTTGACTCTTGGTGATACTGGTTTTGGTGGTGGATATTTGAATTCAGCAGGGAAAGCAAAATCACTTTCGTGAGTTTTCCAGAAATTCAATTCTTGAGCTCCAAGACGAGGTTCGTTGACTAATTGCTGAGCTTTCAAAACCCTTGGAGGAGGAGTGCAAACCGGCTGTACTTCAAGTCTCATTTCTTCCTCTTCTTCATGAGTATTCTCCATTTCAAATATTCTATGTGCTCTAGTAAGTATTGATTGAAGTGAATCAATAAAAATTTTCTTATTATAAGCGAACTCGTAAGTAGTGCCTTCTGCTAATTCTAAATCTGTTCCCTGGTTTTCTTCTTCTTTCTTCTTCTTATTTGATTGCTTTTGATTCTTTTTAGGTAAAACAAGTCCTTTCATGATTGCCGATCTTTGCATTTTGTTAACTGATTCAACTTGCACATAAACTTGTGGATTATCAACTAAAGAATGCAAAGTTATAACATTAATGCTTTCTCCTGATGGATGACTCGAACTTTCTTTCTTGATTGTGAAATCCTTGTCATTCAAAACAGCATCTTCTCTAAAGAACTCTGTTACAGATAAATCATTATAAACAACGAAAAACTTTGGCCTGTACAAATTGTGTAATTCAATATGATTTGGTTCGAGTAAATTCTCTTTGATAGGGACAGCATTTCCCCATTTTGTTTCATAGAAGGTTGCCTTCTTCTTAATTTCAGTTGCTATCTCACAAACACTTTCTATTCCATCATCAGTTGCAATAAGGACATTGTTATCGCATTTAAATTGCATCTTTTTAGAAGATAATTCCATTTCGCCTCCAGGAATTGTTACAGAAACTATTTCTTTGTTGATATTGAAAGAATAACTATCACTTGTAAATGAAGATTGAGCACCATTAAAAGTGATTGTATATCTATCAATAACAATGATAAATCCACCAGTCTTGGAGTATTTGATGACTGGTAAATTAGGAATTTCATAATAAATCTCTTCCTCATTTTGTCCGACATCCAATTCCATGTTAATCAGAATTCTTCTGAAACCATTTCCATCAACATAGTATTCAATGTTATCTGGTCTTATCTGTTTTGTTACCTTCTTATCGGCATCAATTACATAAGAATGAGGTAAATTCAAAGGGGTTTCAACTCCATTTTGTTTTGTAAATGCTTCACCTTTGTTATCAACATATAACCAATTAACACCATTATATGTTGCGATTGTTCCGTTTGGCATCACGATTCTTTTAACTTTTCCTTGATCAACAATCAAAGAGCCATCACCTGCAATTGCAATTGTTTTTTCATTCGTTCCTTTAGATAAAACATCTTTTCCGTCATATAAAATTGATTCTTCAAGGAAAATAAGAGAAATAGAACCTTTCGAATCAATTGTCAATCTTACATCTTCAACAGTATTTAATGTAACACTGTCTTCTGTTATATAAATCTTAAATTCGTCTTTATAATAAACAGTTGCAGATATTTTTGTTTTTTCTTCTGTTACATCTCTGTCGATTCTTACTCTCATTCCATTCTTGAAGAAATAAGGAGTTGAGAATTTAGTATTATTCATAAGATTTATTGGCAACCTATAGATTGTATCTTTATCTTTGATTTGTTCATAGAATGTCTTTAATAAATCTTTCGGATTTCCACCATTTTTAAGAATTTGAGCTGGTGTTTGTTTTTTAGTGGATAATGGTTTCTTTTTCTGTTCGTTTTCTTGACTCTCTTTATCATAGATCTCTTTCATGTAGTCAGTCATGCCTTTCATCATTGGTGGCATGTAATCTTGTCTAATTACAGTACCAATTGTTCTTGCAATTGGTTCTAATGCCATAACCCACATCATTCCGGTCTCTTTTTCCATATCTCTTTCGATTAATAATACGGATTTGAGGTGTTCCTCAATAAATTCTGTAATTGAAGGATAATCAGCATATAAAGTCCACTGAGACCAGTCAAAATATGCAGCAGGAAGGTTAAGAACATATTTCTTGTTCATATTTGATACCATTTGGTCAAATTTTTGACCAGCATATGCATGGAAATTTGATGGTTTTATAAGGAACGGCATAATTGCACTTGTAGCGACTGTAACTTCTTCGGTTGGCTTCCATTTCATTAAATCGCCAAATACAGTGCAAATATAAGGACTATTTTTGTTTTCAAAGAAGATATCATCAGGTGGTGGAGTTTGATTGTAAGCAACAGCTCTTGAAACCTCTGCTCTGTTCTTTTTAAATAACTGTGCCATGAGATCTCCTTGAGATAACGGTGGCATTGGCTCGATTACGTTGAAATTGTGTAAAGATAATTCGTAATACAATCCATTTAAGTATTGTCCTTGATTTGCAAATGTATATGTCTTGAAATCTTCAATATCAACTCTATTTGTTGCTAACGGTATTTCTTTTAATTTGTTTTTTACATCTTCTACATAATGATGTCTTGATTTTGAAATTAATACAATTTCTGATTCAAGATTCTTAAATGTTGACTCAAAATCAGCACCAACCTTGACTTCCGTAAAAGGAACAACGTCATTTGCTGTCAATTCAAGTGATTGCCAGCGTGCTGGTGGATAACAGTCAGGATTGTTAGTATAATCGAGTTCTAGACCTGGTATGGTTACTTTCTTTGTTTTATCACTCTTAGATGCCTTTTCTAGTTGATGATATTCGTATGATTTTGGTTGTGGTTTCTCATTTTCTGGTATAAGTGCAATAAATGCGCAATGAGACATGTGTGATTTCATCATTAATTGAAGTTGATCTTTAAAATACGGATAGTTCAAAATTATTATTAAAACGTCAATTTGACCTTGAAAAGTTTGCGGAGTATCTGTATTGCCTAAGGATGACTTAGACCTTGACTTCGATCGTGAATGTTTTGGATCTTTTCCTTTGGATTCTGCTGCAACTTGCTTTTTTATTTGTTCATTTACCTTTTGTAGTTCAGAGTCAAGCTTATTTTTAAGTCCTTTTATGATAGTTTCGTTGGGATCATGTTTGGATCGATTAGATAATTTTGCATCTGTTTTAGCTGGGCGAGATGTTTCTTTTTCTGCAAAAGCTGCCGCATTTATTATGATAATTTCTTTCTTGTATGTGTTTTTTAAGTAATCAAAGAATCCATTGATATCAATACAGTTGTTTACAACATCTATCATTATATAAAAAGGTCGAACACTCATTTCTTTTGAGTGTTCTCCCATTTTTTTGTAATAAATAAAAATTCAATTAAAAAACGGAAATCTCCATTTATTTTGTTACATTCCCCCTTAGATATTTTTTTAAACATTTATGGCAACTCAATTTAATCAAATTCACCCATCTGCTTTAGAGACGAAGAATAAAGAAGCGAAAAGTTGTCTCGATGCATGTGTCAAAGGCTTTTTCATCAATGGAGAAGGAAAAGAAATCAATATTAATAATTTATTAAATAATTGCTTAGCAAATACGAAAGCATATGCTCCAGATTATCAATTTCATGTAATACCTGTTGGTGGAGAAGACTGTAAGATAGAAATTAGAAACGAATCTATATTAGATGCTGTATATAGATTAGTAATTACAGAAGGACGTCAAAATGTCTGTGCACTAAATGCCGCTAATGCCTTTTACCCAGGTGGAAGTTTCCGTACGGAAGCACGAGCTCCAGAAGAGACGCTTTGCAGAAGTTCTGCATTATATTATTCGCTTATTCAAAAACCAGAGTATTATGATTACAATATGATGAAAGGCTCAAAAGCAGCTTCGAATTACATAATATATAGTCAAGATTGTCCAACTTGGAAAGTTGGAAATTACAAAGTTCTCAATGAACCATTTTTGGTTTCTTATATATCGTCCTCTCCTGTAGATCGTTGGGGGTCAAAGCCAGAAGACGATGAAAAGCTCAACGAAATGAACGACGAAAGAATTAAATCAATTTTACTTTGTGCAATTGAAAACGGAGTTAAAAACCTTGTTCTTGGAGCTTATGGGTGTGGAGCATACAGAAATGATCCGGCAGTTATATCAGAAACTTTTAGAAAATATTTAATCGACCAAAATCTCAAAAGTCATTTCCAGTACATTACATTTTCTATTACAGGACTCTCTAGAAATATTGAAGCTTTCCAAAATACCTTCCATATTCATGCTGTTTAGAATTTTTAAAATTTCACCTGAAAATGTTTGGAATTTATAGCATTTATCAACGTGTTTTTGTTTTTGTTATTTATAAAAATTATGATTTAAATCAGCTTTCGTCCATCTTTAAAATATCCTATTGCAAATCTTTAATTTGTGATTGATTTTTTATAAACTTTATAATAAGTTGTAGGTTCACATGTAAATAGCATACAATAGCGAAACTTCAAGATCGAATTGTAAGCTGCGTTCCAAAAGGCCAATATATATATTAATTTTTCAGTTTTCTTTATCGAAATGATAGGGTATGCTCTGAATGAGTCAAATAGTAATCACCAAAAATATCTATTTACTACTTGTACTACTAAACTACACTATTTTCTTATATTACGCAGAATTATATTTAAAAAGAAGGTTATAGATCACAATTTGCAAATCCAGCTACTTATTCTGACGTTTATCGGTATATTTATAGTGAATGTTCATATGAAAAAATAAAATTAGAAAATATTATAAAAATTCAAACAAATTTTAGTATGATTCTCTAAATATATTTGTAAATTGAGGTAGATCTGATAATACAACCTTGTATCTTTTGATTTCTGTGGCAAAAACCTTGAAATTACTTGGAAATTCGTCTGGCTTGGAATCTATTAACTTTTGGAAGATTCCATGGACTTCCTCTTGTATGAAATCATCGAAACATGTTAAAGCAACCTGCATGAACTGAATTATTTCTGATGTTGCTGTCTGGAGCAATTTTCTAACAACATAAGCGTAATTTACTAATGGAGGATTCTGGTGGTTCATAGTTGAATCAAATATAAGAACAAGGGGCTGAATAAATGGTCCTAATTCTTCACCACAAAAAGTGACAAGATTTTCCAAAATTTTGGCACTTTTTTCTTCTAAAACTTTATCATCTGTCAAGAAAGTCCTTGATATCCATTTCAAGGCAACAACAAGGTTTTCTTCATTATGGAAGAAGGATTGATCAATTTCCCACAACTCGTTCATTATTAGAACGAATTCTTTCATCCAAGAGTTTTCATCAACGCTTTTAATGATTGTAAAGAAGATTTCTGCGAGTTGGTCAATCATGTTATCACCGAAGAATCTCATGGCCGCATAATTTACGTATTTTCCTGTAATCATGTTTTCTAATAAAATTATCGCACTGTTTATCTTTTCAGTTGAGTTTTCTAAATCGCTTATGAGATCTAGTAAGTTCTTGCACATATGCACTAAGATTAAAGAGTCTTCATTACAAGTTTTTGTATCAATTAAAAATTTTGAAACAGATGTATAGATTTCGCATATAATTTGAGCTAGGAGAACATGTTCTCCACATGACTTGGCTATTTCGCAGAACTTCTGATTATGATCTTCCGAAATAACAAATTTAAATGCAATTTCTTGGATTTTCTTAGGAGAACTAATGAATCCATAGATTCTCCTTAGTAGTATAAGACAGTTGATATGATCATTTACGTCAATTGACACCAAATCCTCGTGAAAACTATTTAATAAGTTAAAATTCAAGTCAGAATTGTTTGTATAGCTTCCCAGCTTAATCATTGTGTTGATTATTGCGAAGTACTTCTGATATAGGAAGGATTGGTCGAAAGGATCAAGAGTTTCAATATTTAATCCAATTTCGCCCGAAATATACTTGAAAATGACCTTAGACTTTTCCGCATTGTATCTTATTTGGTATGATGATATTAGGTATTCAATACTTTGCAAGTAGTTCGAAATAATGTCGAAATCATTTGGAAATCTTTGTAAACCAAGGAAAAGATTCTTCAAAATAAGATATTGTAAATGATCAACATCTTTGTGTGTTTTATCACCAATTATTCGATTAATCTTCTTTTGTAAGGAACGTGAATCGCCGATAACGTTTGGCAAAAAGTGACGATCGTAAACATCGATGGCCTCGGAAATTAAAGGGAGATTTTCTTTGGGAATGAATGTCTTTGAGAGGACATTGATCGCGGTGACTGAGCTAATGATAATGTCTGCATATGATTTGCAGAATTTTGGCTCTTCAACGTAAATTAAAATTTTTCCTCGAATATTTTCTGTAAATAACAATGCGACTAAGGAAAGCATCATAGAAAGTTGTCCTAATGAACTATTTTGTAATACTTCTATGAAATTCTGCATCTGGGCCATGAAATCGAAAATTGTTAATTCCCAAACGCGGCCAAACTTAATATCGAACAAAGGATCGAGGATTATATCTGATATTAACTCTTCTGGAAGACTGGATAAGAATAATACAAAATGCCCAAACAACTTTCCTGAAATTGAGCAAATTTCATATTTTTCGAAATTTCCTTTGCATTGTTGATGAGCATAAGTAGATAACTGAGCCCATATGTTAATTAGAATATGAACTGAGTCAATATCCGTGATAGATTCTGTAAAAGTTTGAAAAGATTCAATAAATTCATTTGTAATGTAATCTGATGATGTTAACTCTGTAACTGTGCGGAGTATTATACAGAGAATCATTGCAGAATTATCTTCTGTGATACTTTCCTTTAAAGCTTGAAATGAATTTTGAATTAAAGCTTTAACTTGGGATTTAATGCTTGGATGAGGTAGCATAGTGATAAGATATTGAAAAACTTCGGCTGCTAAGCGTGAAAGTTCTTGGTTTGTTAAAACAACGTTTAATATTTGTTGTGCTGTCTCAAGAGTGGCAAATGATTGGAAAGAACGTAAGTAATTTCGACTTATTGGCGGTTTGAACGACCAATAGTTATCTGTTCCGATATCAAAAGTAAAAATTGTTAAAATAAGTTCTAAACCAAGCTTTGTTGAGAGATCAACAAGGCTCAGTAGGTTGTAACTTTCTTCGGTAAGTTTCCTTCTAGCATTTTTAAAGCTTGAATCAGTTTCAAAATATAATTTTGTTTGGAAATAATTGAAAAGTTCTAATAATGAGTTAATAGAAATCTCTCTAATAACTTCATTTTCCGGATATCGCTGGAATATTTGGAAAATTCCTGTGTTCTGGTAGATTGAAAGATGAATTCTGAAAATTGAAGCAATTACATCTGAAGCACTTGTAATTAATAGTTGATTTGCTTTCATTGCCTCGGAATTTGATTGAAAAAGTTCATAAAATCCAAGAATTTCTGTATCAAATTGGTCTTTTTGAAGGATTGCACCACGTTTATGAAGGACTTCCTTAGCCATGAGAAGGCACATGTATGCAATATGAACATTATTTACATTTTCTTGGAAAATTTCTCTGACCAATATCAATGTCTGAATAGAATTCGAAAACGCGTTTAGCTTTTGATGAACTTGTTCGATTTCTTCATTTGAGACTTGCTGTGTTTGCTCAAATAAAGAAATCAATTCATTTTTATTCATATTTTACCAACACCAAAAAAAAAATTCTGACTAATAAAAATTTTAGACGATGCTACAATTTCGTACTATGTCAGGGCGAGCAATAACTCTTCCTGCAAATAAATTCAAAGCACTTGGAGATGTCAAAGAAGTTCTTCAATCCAAATACTTTATTCCTAAAGATGATATAAAATTTTTATTCGGTGTTGAAGTTTTACCAGACAAGAAACTCGTTTCCGAAATCGAACTATCTAGATCGGACTTTATTATGATTCATCAATCAAATTCTTATTCAAAATCCCTAAATAGTGAAAGCAAACTTAAATCTTATCCAAGACAAACAGTGGGTAATCCGGAAAGATTTGCTGATCATTACTCAATTGTTAAAGAACACGCTGAAACTATTGAAGATATTCAATCTTCGAGAAAAGGAATCGATATTCAACCTGAAGATCCAAGTAACTTTCGTTTATATGTTCAACAACTTGTTGAAATGGGCTTTGAACAAGATAAAGTTGTTGAACTTCTTAGAAAACACAACTATAATGTTCCTAAGTGTCTAGACATATTAATCAAAGGCGTGGAGCCTGAAGAGAAGCCGCCAGAGAAAGAATATGATGTTTCTGACTTGGCTAAATACAATTTCCAAGAATTCTCCGAACTTCTTGATGATTTGACTAATCTTGAGAAACACAACTTATTGATTTTATTAAGAACGCATTTCTCTGTTCCACCAATAGAAATAATCCAGTTATTCATTTCTTGCGATAAAAATATGGAAGCTGTAGATCATAACCTCTTGGATAACTGATAATTTTCTTCTATGTTAATAAAAATTTGTAACTGTTAAGATTTAATGTCTTAGATCTAATTTTTGAATGAATAAAACGTAAAAATTAATTGATGAATATTATTTTCCAGCTTTTAAGTTCTTTTGTTTCGAAAAAGATCACTTCATCAAAACTACTAACGCTATATGGCAAAAGAAACACGAAAAATTGTTTATGGCTAAGATATTCTTCTTCAATTCTAGCAACTTCACTCGAGATGCATTGTGAAACAATCAAATAATCCATAATAACATCTGCAGTTTCATATTATGGTGAGCGCAATCGGAATGTTTCAAAAACAGATGAAAAAGCATGCAGTACACTCCTTCGTGCTATATAGATCATGAATATCAAGTACATCAAAAGAATTGCTTTTCTATATTGTCTTTTCTCTTTCTACTTGGTCCGTCATTACAAACAAAATGAGAAAATTCCTTTTTAAGAAAGTTATCAACGTTCCTTTGTCTTTTTCTGCTTAGGGAAGTTTTTTGGATATTAGAAATACACTCCAAATTTTTTGAGCTTTGCATGAGGTGTATTTACTAATGAAATTCATCTTCGAAAATACCAGAAATAGAATAGCATCTTATGTAAGAACATTATTTTCATCATGTGAAATGAGAACATCAGCAGTTTCTGCATTATTTTCATGTGCTGCAATATGAAGTGCAATTCTTCCATTTTCATATTTTTCATTGATATCGGCGCCATGTGAAATGAGAACTTTCGCGACTTCTGTATAATTTTCACGTGTTGCCATATGAAGTGCAGTTTTTCCAAAAGATAATAATAAAAAATTAGGCTGCAGAATTCATTTCTTTCTATTCTGGCATGTCGAGTAGAAAGAAAGCGATCAGTAATTCTAGGAAAAAAGAAGAGTAGTGTCACTTTTCGTAGATTTATAAAAAAAGTGACTAACGAAAATCTAACGCAAAAAATAAAATGGCCGGAAAACAGATGCTTCCTGGTTGTTTTTTCGGTACAATATTCAAAATCGATTTTATTAAGAACGAAAAAAAGCCAGATGAGTTTACTCCTTCAATATTAATCACAAATAGAGATGCATTTTTAATTTTATCTCGAGACTGGAAAAATCAAGTTGCCCGTGTAACATCAGATCAAGTTAAGAATGCTCAAATTGTTGATATTGGTGTCAAGCTTACTTATAGATCAGATAACAAAGATACTACAGTTGTTTTAAAGACAGCTAAAAGTAGTAAGCTGATAATGGCAATTTTACCAGAAACACCCGAAAAGCCACTTCCTCCGCCATTTTTATCCACAGCAAAATTGGCACCAACTTTCAAATTTGATCAAGCACAAATCGATAAACTAATGAATAACTTTGCTGGAATTGTATCAGCATTCTATGGACCATTCATGGTTGATAGATTACCCATTGTAATGTTCCCAGATTTACTTATGTGCCTTTACCGATTCAGATTTTCTCAAAAATCATTGCCGGATTTCCAAGATAACTGCAAGCAAATACTTAAAGAGCTAAAATTGCACTTTTGTATCGAATGGGCTAATGGAATTAAGAAAGCTGCTCAATTTGATCCAAAACAAAAGAATGGATACGACTACGCATTACGTATTGTTGTTAATTCAACAGCAGATATGAATAATAACCAAAGCTATTCTAATTCATCGCCAACTGACTTTTTCAAAACAGTTTGCGAGTTAGCAGAGCGAGGAGATGGATCCAATCTTACAGCTGAAGCTAAGAAATACGTAGCAAACGTAAATAACGAGCTTCAGGCAGAATTTCAAAATACTCCATGTGTTGATACGAAAATGGTCGAATTATATTATAAATTACTTATTTTGTTATTCTGCGGTACTCAAATTAACATTGCGGCCCAAGATATCGAAAAATTGACGATACGAGCAATAGATTTTTGTCTGGCATATTACTCAAAGTATCTTGAGGAAGACAGGTTCAGACACTTAAGAAAAACTGTAGATCTTTATGCTCACGAAATTATCAGATTAATGGACAAAAATCGATATGATCCTGTATTCCGATTTGCTTTTATAGGATTCCACCTTTCGAAGGAAATCCTCAGAATCAAGCTTTGACTTTGTTTTGCTTTTGTTTAAATATTGTTTTATTTTTTTATGGCAAATAGCCTTTTTATATATAGATTTTTGCTGACTTTATGTACTCAAGCTCAGAAAAAGGTATTTCATTCGGATATGATAAGAAAAAAATAATCATTCCGATATATTTTTTTAATAAAAATGTAAAATGTCAGCAAAATTGATTGTATATTAGAATTGATTTCATTTGTGCTACTCAAACACTAATTAAGTGAATGATGTAGCAATGGTAGTAAAATATATGAAAAATTTTAATTTGAAAATTTATAAAATTCGATAAGGTATGTGTGCAAATATTAGATCTGTGATAAATTTGAGAAGATAAAGTTCAATTCTAATATTTACACAATAAATTTGAGGTTTATTTGTCCTGTTCTGCTTGCTGCATAAGGGTATCAATCGAACTTTCGAGCTCGTTGATCTTTGAAGACATTTCATCAATACGCTTGAGAACTTGTTGAGCCATGTCAGTGAATTTTGATTCCATTTGGCTAAAAATCTGATCCATGAAGTTAGCAAGATCTTCTGGCTGTGTTGGGAGTTGTTCTTCCTGTGTAGCACCAGTTGTATTCGTATTTGTAGCAGACATCCTAAAAAAATAAGCCGACAGTTTACAATTTTCAATTAATTTTATCGGCGCGCAGCGCCCATAGATTAAGATTTTAAAACACTTGCTTATGGTCCCAAATTTTATTACTATGTGGGATATTTCCTCGAGCTTTTCCACTGGTTTCGTCCAGCCTACATTATTGCATAAATATGTTGTGATTATCCAAAATCTTATAAATGAATGGGTATTTCTACCTGTAAAAAGGCCATAAATACTATGTAATAGATATTTCATATCAATTACTCTCTCATTATCATAGAATTCGTAAATCAAAGATTCTTTCAATATCTTGATTTTGGTTAATTGATTTAACAGATGATGTGAATCCAAATGGACAGATTAATACAGTCATTATACCTAATGAAATCACTTTTTATTAACATACAACATAAAATTAGGAATATATAATATAAGTGCATGAAATCACCTTCTTCCTCTACCTCTATTATTAGTAGAGCCACCACCTCTGCCTCTTCCTCTTTGGCCACCTCGACCTCTATATCCGCCGCGGGTTTCATTATGCGGCTGTTCTTCCGGTGTGTCGTGTGTATCTGCTATATCTGTATTTACAATAGGTACATTATTTAATTCTTGAGTTGGGAATAAAAATCCATCTCGAGGATCGTCAGTTTTAATAGTTTTTGCGTTAATTTCCTTAATTTCATCACAAAGTGTAACAAAATCTTCCAAATCAAGTGGATCTTCTAACGTAAAACCTCTATGAAAATCAATTGCAGCGTAATTTTTAATAAAAATTGGAAAACCTTCATTTTCCTCATCAGGATCGTTAATTCGCGTGGTTGAATATAGTGAATCAGATGGATTTGCCTGGTGGCTTGTATTTGATTCAGGAACTGGATGTCGAAGAGTTGTAATTCTGTTACTCATTTCAGAATCTAATATGTCATTAAATTGTTGCCAAAATAACGGATACTTGTCAAGATATATTTTTCGATACATATAACTGCGTGATTCTTTCGAATCAGAAAAAAATTGTTTTGTTTGTGAGCCTTTTGGAATTTCGCGAAATGAATTGCGGCCTGCATGTCTGCGGAATTCCATTTCACACTCACTGTGTCACTTTTACACAGCTTCTTTATTAAAAGAGTTTAATTAAGATAGTAATATGGCCTTCTAGGTGTGTCAAGTTGTTTTTCATATAAAATGGTTGATCAATCTATGATTTGAGAAAATTTAATTTATATTCCATGTATTTTATCAAATCTTATCAAAAATTGAATGATAACGGATAAATTAATAAAAATACTTAATTATCCTAATTTTTGCTTAATTGATAATATTTCTAAATGAATTTATATTTTGAAGAGAAATTTTCAATTTTTGACCTCTTTTTCATGATCCCAGATAAAGTTGATTCTAAAAGCCAAAATTTGGATGTTGATGTACCACTTCAAACCAACTATGGACGGACTGTTCATTCAAATACATTAGTCCTTGTTGATACAGATGAAATAGATCAGGCTGTTGACCTTCTTCAAAATCTAGAAACATTACAAGCAGGATTAAACCAACTTTTAGATTATTCCGCACGACAAAGAATTGATTTATCTAACGAAGTACTTCAGATTCTTTTAAATATTTTAGACCCCGATTTTCATGCTCCAGAATTTATACACAAAATTGATTTGAAACTCATAAATGAGTTAATATCTTCTGATGCTAATCAATACATAACGTTTTATGCAGGTCCTAACAAGATTGATGTCATTTTTCAGATGTTTCCGATGATTGAAGCAGCTAGATGCTTAGCATCTATCATGTTTAGGGCAAAAGGAGTCATATCTAGGTTAGTTGAAATTGGATTATACGATAAGATTAATTCTTTGATAAAAACACATTTTGAAGCCTGTTGCCTTGTTTTAACACAAATACCTAATCTATACGAGAACGCAGATCTTTTCCAGTATATTTTGACACAATTAATTCAATTTCTTCAGAGCGATGACAGTAATTTCGTTAGTGATTCTATTCAGACCATTTCTCAATTTTGCTCACAAAACAAGGAGGCCACTGAATTTGTTTTACAATCAGATAAATTTGTTCAATTGATTAAATCTGATCTCGATGATTTAATGATATCTGATATATTTACATTGTTTACAAAAATTGTTGAATCCACAAAATCTGCATCAATTCTACAAAGCCAGATTATTTTAGAGTTTTTGTTTAACACTGTGAATGAGACCGGATGCATTGTCGAAGTTTTTGATTTCATATCATTCTGTAATAGATATCAAGACTTCGCGGAGTCAGCAATGTCAGAAATTTTAATTAATATTTTATTTGAAGTTGGAAAGGGAAATTATTCTTTTAAAGTCAAATGCTCGGCTATAAAAGCCCTTTGCACTATTATTATGAGCTGCAATCCAGATTTTATTGATTATAATGTATTTATTGAAATTATTGAAGAAAATATAGATTCTAACGATCGTCAATTAGCGCAAGTATTGATGGAATGCACGTTGTACCTTGCTCATTCATCCAATACGGAAATATCATCACGAATATTAGATTCTGAAGCTATTCGCGAAGAATTTGAAAATATTAGCCCAGACATGGTATCAAGTGATATGTATGAGTTAATACAAGAATTTTTAAATGTTGAATAAAGTTATATAGAGATTTATCAATAAATTAATGTTTTTTTGACATGTTTGCTTTATATATCAGTTTAAATGCATATCGCTTTAACAAATATCTCCTAACTAGCGTCGAACTGATTGTCCAAAATCTTTTCAGTTTATATTTGGTTTACCCTATTCAATTCAAATTCGGCTTTTGAAAGCTTGAAAATTAAAAAAGATGTATTTTTAAAGGAGATAAACAATACATAATAAACTAAATTGAAGCACCTTTCAAAAATTCGTACATAAAAAATAATGAATGAGAAATTCCGAGAACTGGAAGAATATTTTAAGCAACCAATTAATAACTCATTTACCAAGCCCAAGCAAGAGAGAGTCTTGATTACAAGCCAAGGTTCTGTCGGAGATTTTTCCATGTTTGATAAAGAAATTTGGGAACCAAAATTTAACGACAATAGTAAAGGAAAGCACTTATTCAGGACGAGGAAACCGGTTGATGTAACATGTAGAGTCTTCTTTTCACTCGTAAAACCACAAGGCGCTCCAAATGGAACAAGATTTATATTACTTTACTCACCACCATTGTATGCCATATTAGATCAAGCCAATGAAGAGTTAGAGATGATCCCTAAAGATGCGCAGTTCTATTTTGAAGGAAGATACATAATTGTTTCATTTAATAACGTTGAACGTATATACTCTATCAAATCAGATGCGAAAAAGTTATACGATCTTACAAAGAACAATAACTCAGATGAAGTCCTTCAGTTTTTCCTTTGTTGCCAGTTAAATCGGTACTTGGTTCCTCCAATTTTCCTTACTAACCCATTTTACAACAAAGTCGTCAACAACGAACGTTTCTTCTTCCTCGCATCAAAATATCCATACGAATACTACAATGATGAAACTCTTGATAATTATATTCGTGCTTCTGAACCATTCATCGATACATTACTTGAACTCCTTCTCGATGAGTTTATCAAACCATTAGAATACGAAATTTCTCAATTTCCAAAAGGTTCTTTCTTATATCATCTTCTGTTAATGATGATTGATGAAGATGAGAACATAACAATCTTCAAGACGGCGTGCGAGAAATCCCGCAAGCCACAGGAAGCTTTTGTCCTTGGTTATGAAATTATGCCATTAAATGATCGAAGCAAAATGGTTCTCCACCTTGTATATAGCGTTTGTGAGAAATACTTCCCGGGTAGCACACTCGGCATCAAATTGATTAACTCAATTATGCTGAATGTTATTGCCAATCACCTCAACTTAAAGAAACTCGGATTTAAGGCTGATTTAATATTACAACTCGAAAACTTACAACAAGGTACTTTAACTCCAAGCCTTTATAAGAGATATACAATAATCGCAAATGAATTTAAGAGTCAGCCGGCCAATTTCATACTCAATAGGAAGGGAACATTCTCTTATGATAGCTTTATCATTATGGTTAATTTTACTTGGATGCATATTACTGATTTCATTAAAATTTGTGAAGCAAACAAAGTGTATTGAAATAAACATGATTGTAATTTTATGCTCATCAGATAATTTTATTTCACCTTGAAATTAATGATTTTTTATGAAAAAAATAAATTTAATAAAACAATAATTTGAAATAACTTTTCATAAGTCTATCTCAAATATGATAGTGTCTTGTGAGTTCATAAGCTAAGGCAAGTTAGTCATAAACAAAACAAAATAAGAAATTTGTAAAATAATTATTTTTCTATGATCAAAATGTAATGAAAATCTTTGTAAAGTATGGTTGTGCAATCCAAAAAGTTATTTTCATTGTTAGAACTTAAAATCAATGAAAATATTTTCCAAAATCTAGCAAGTTATTATGAATTTTTTGCCTTCGTAACATAATCATTATTAACTGAGTAATATTTTCGAATTGCTGGGTTTCTTTGTACCATGAAAACGAATTGTTGATCAGTAATTGATTGTGGGTGGACATATTCTTGTTTTTGCTGATCAAAATACATAAGCTCTTGCAGATTTTCAACTAAATTAGTAACTAAAACCGGTTCTTCATTGACATTATTTTTTAATGTAGCCAAAACCGCATCCTGATAAGTAAGATACATTTTTGCTGGATCACAATCATCTGTGTCTTCATCTTCGGAATCATAAAGCTTACTTTCGGATCGTCGTCTTGAAACTTTCTTTCTCGTTGTTGTATTTTTGGAAGGGCGTGCTTGACTTATAGAATGTGTTAAGGGTTTCGTTTTGCTAAAATTGTCACTTTTATAGCATATTTGTTTTTGGATGTTTTGCGAAACCAAAAAAAAACTATGATATACAATGTGTGTGTAAAGAAAATACTTTATTTACTAGTTAAAAAATCATTTGGTATTGATCAAGTTATTTTTTCTGGATAAGATATTATATGGATAATTGGATAGAAAATACAATTATATAATCTTGTACCTGGTTTAATTAAGCTAATTGTCATCAGAAACTTGTAATTTTTATGAATTTCAGATTTTCTTTTCATTACTGCTTTTCTTAATAGGTCAAGTTCTTATTTACGTTATAAAGTATGATATTTACAAATATCAAGTTATCGTGTTTTTTGAGAAATTATGAGAAACAAACAAAAATGAAAAAGATAGGAATAGCAATGAATAGTGATGTGGGTATAGAAAATGTAAGAGATATGAATGCAAAGCAATCAGTATTGAGGACATTGACCATAGATTTCGAAAAAAAAATGCTGCATATTGAGCGAAAACTATGATTATATTATAAGGCTGTCATTTAAAGCATAATGAAACTATTCCCTTTTCATTTTAATCGAATAAGATAGTAAAGATTTTTGAATTAGCTAGAAACTGATGAGATGTTTTCACAAATCAGATTTTTAATCTCTATAATGCATAATTCACTCAATATCTCAATTTTGATATTGCGAGATATTTTTGCTATCGGTTTCGCAATTTTGACACAATAGCAAGAGGGTTCTATAAGCATTATTATCAACGTAGAATCTGAATATCATATCAGAAAATGTCGCAAATCTGACATTTACCCGACCAAATAGCAAAAATAATTGAATACTTTTCGCAAAAACTTTAAAAATCGATAAAAATATGAAATATAGATATTAAAGAGACTTTTTATATAATATTCATAAAGATTTTCCAAAAATATGATACCGCAAAATTAAAAAAGTGACGTCTTGAGTGGAGTCAAAGGTCGAAATTGCTAGCTAAATGTTTTTTTAGCGAAATTGCGTATTGTACGTTTTTTCGCAAAACGAAACCCTTAAATGTGTTGAAATAGCACACTCCACAAATGGGGCATCCTTAAGGGTGCACACGAGAGGATCATGTAAACTTCAGAATTTAGAACCTTATTTTTAGGCATTATCTTGGCTACCTATTTAGGCTCGAAAAGCAAAAAATATCAAAAAATACAACTTGACTCCATTATGACCCTTTCATTGAGGTAGTTTTTATCCGCTAGTATTTTCCCTTTGAATCTCTTTACAATTCGAAATCAAATTCAAAACTCAGTAGAAGAAAGGAAGAATCGACTTACTATGGTTGTAATACGAATAAATACATATATTTAATTATTTTTATTTACATAATAATTGTTTGAAGCTCATATTCCATCAAATTTTTAAATAAAAACATTAAAATGTTGAAAATGTTCATATATTTTAATAGGTTTTTGGCACTTTATTGAGGAATTACTACATACATAGTCGAACTGAACTTGATATTTTGAAATTTAAATTATTTATCAAAATTAAAATTTAACTTGAAATTTATAATTATTTAGTCATATTTTGCATAATTCTAAGTAGATTTTGTAAAAAATCAAGAAAGAAAAATCTAACGTGCTTTATTTTTTCTTTTTTATAATAATACATATTATTATATAATTAACATATTCATAATGTTTCACCCTTTCAAAAATATAATCCTCCTCCTCTCAAATAAACGTACATACGGGTGGCCTCTTTTTTCAAAAAATTAAAATTTGAAATTTTGGGCTCAAATATTAGAGATTTTTTCAACCTTCAACGATATATGTTGTCTATATCTAGGGCTGTACAAAATCGAGAAAAACATTGCCGTGCGGTAATATAGGGTCAAAAAAATCGCGCCTCGGCGGCTCCGCCGCCTCGGCACTATTAAGTGCGCATTATATTTAATATGTCCTTCTTTTTTTTCTTTTTTCTTTTTTCTTCTTCTTCTTTTCCTTTCCTTCTTCCTCTCCTTCCTTTTCTTTCCTTCTCCTTCTCTTTTTACAACAACGTCGAAGATCTTCGAATTTGATTGTTGGAAAAGCATCTATTTCAGATAAAGGATGCCTTTCTCACAGTCAACATACGAGGGTCCTGGCTGAAACGTTCTCAAAAAGCCTGAGATGGTAATTCTCTGATCACTCATAGCTGGGCAGGTAGTCATTGCTGACAATACCTGTCTTTATGCATGCACGCTTTCATGTATATGGGTTTACACTATCAATTCGCAAAGTTGTTCCGAATTCTTCCAAAATGGAAGGACCCGAAACAACTTTGCTTGTTAACGATACAGACGCATTACTTTGCATTGATACTGTGCTGAGTTGTGTAGAAAGTTTGATTAGATTTGTTTTGTTCTGGTATTTCTCATCTTCTGATGAGAGAAATCAAAGCAACACAACTCTAATGAGTTTGTTTTCACTCATTTGTATGTAGGTTTTTAGTTCGATTGGAGCTGCTTCATAATGAGATCTCTCATCAATTGATGAGGGAAATCATAACAAAGCAGCTCTAATGTATATGCTCGTATTAACCGGGTTGTAATGCGGTGTAACGTCAGCTTGTAGTTCGTTTGGGGCCACTTCACATTGAGATGAGAAGAAATGATTAAAGGACTCTGAAAGGCTTTGGCCGTTGATGTTGTAATCGCATTACTTGGAACTACCTGGATGCTAAGCTGTGTAGAATGTTCGATTAGAGCTGTTTTGATATGATTTTTCTCATCATAAGATTGGAGGAATCATAGCAAAACAACTCTAATGGGTTTACCATCATCTACTTGTATGTAGATGTTTGGGAAATTGTCTTGTTAATCGATTTTCGAGATGACTTTCAAATGCTATAATCAAATGACAAACAAGTCTAAGATTTCTCGACAATACATCAAATCATGATGTTTGTAAGTGCGATGAGATTAGAGTTTTTGAAGGAATGACAAGAGAAGTAGGGAAGCTCGGCATTCGCCGAGCAAATTAAAAATTAACGTATGGATTAAATTTTAAGAGGAATTCAATTTTAATTACGGGTTGTTCAAATATTGATTAATATAAATTTATTAATAAGAATAAACAATTTTTGTTTTTGAATTTATTCAATTTATAGCTTTACATATAGTTTCAAAATTGTACAACTATGATTATTTCAACAAAAAATATCTTACTTTTTCACTTCACTTTCACCCTCACTTTTTCCGTAATTCAAATTTCAACATTATGTATTTTAATTCCTTATAGTATTTTTAACATAATTAATCAAATAATAATTGGAAGTTCTGAACTCACTTTTTCCGTAATTCAAAATCAAAAATATGAATAATATATCTATTTATTATATACTAATGCTATTTTCAACTAGAAGTGAGGTACGGTAATCTTACGGATTCCCGTAACTCAATTTTACGGAAAAAGTGCAGTAAACTACTTAATTTACGGAAAAAGTGTCGTAAACTATTGATGTGGCGGTAAAATCACGGTAATTCACGGAAAGCTATATGCGAAAATTTGAAATTATACAAAATCTATCGAAACACTTTTAAATAGGTTGTTCTCGTATTTAAAATACTATTCCCAGATTTATTGTCGTCAGAATATTTCCAAATTTTTGCCGATTTACAAAAAATGATTTACAAAGCATATTTTTTAATCTAAAAAATTCCTAAAAAAAGGAACCGGTGTGCGGAAACCTCGGTAAATTACCGCGGTTCCCGTTGGGACTGCCATATCTATATCAGACCTCCTTTCTTTTTGATACTTAACATTGTTCCTAAATCTTAGCCGTTAAGGCTGTTCTGAAAATATTTTTTTTCGAAAAAATTCGAAAAAAATTCTTAAAATTCAAAAATCCCTTAATTCCTGAGGATTTTGGAAAAAAGTTTTTACATGAACATGTGTATATTATATGAAGTATATTGATAAGGTAAAAATCAAATTTTATTGCATATTCATCGAGAAAATAAACTAACGAATCCCTCAAAATTGAGAGGGTAATCCTCCTCTCAAATAAACGTACATACGGGTGCACCCTTAAAATGTTTAATTTTACTCATAAAAAATGTCACTTTTGTCTTAAGGAAACATTGAAATTTATTCGATTTGACTTTTAGATTGGGAAATCGCAGTTAACGTATTATAAACTATTTTATCCCAATAATCTGTCCTAAACATGCTTTTTCTACGTATGCTAATGGTCTCTAGTTTGTTTTACTTTTTATTATGTAAAGAAAATAATAATTCAAATTGATGATAAATATTTTCTCACAGAGACTGAAGCAACATCGAGGGCAGATTTTCCATTATAATTCTTTGCTTCCTTATCAGCCCCAACTGAGATAAGATATTTAACAACTTCAAGTTGACCAATAATTGATGCCCAAATGAGTGGAGTATATCCAGAATTATCCTTTGCTTCTTTATTAGCTCCAACTGAGATAAGATATTGAACAATGTTAAGTCGGCCATTTTGTGATGCCCAAATAAGTGGAGTATATCCATCATTATCCTTTGCTTCTTTATCAGTTCCAATAGAGATAAGATATTGAACAACATCAAGTTGACCATTAATTAATGCATAAATGAGTGGAGTCCATCCACCATTAGACTTTGTTTCTTTATTAGCTACAACTGAGATAAGATATTGAACAATTTTAAGATGACCTTGAAATGATGCATGAATGAGTGGAGTATATCCAGAATTATCCTTTGCTTCTTTATTAGCTCCAACTGAGATAAGATATTGAACAACGTCAAGTTTACCATTTTGTGATGCCCAAATAAGTGGAGTATATCCATCATTATCCTTTGCTTCTTTATTAGCTCCGACTGAGATAAGATATTGAACAACATCAAGATTTCCGTTTTCACTTGCAAAATGAAGGACATTCCTCTCAAAATTCCAATCATATTCTATAGGAGCAATCTTTTGCCAAAGTCCTGCTTCGATTGATTTTGAAATCATTTCATTGTTTCCTTTCCAAGAAAGTTCATCAAGGAATTTGTAAACGGTTTCAAAATCACTAGATTCCTTAAGTTCTGTGATTTTAGTTAAAATATCTTGTGAATGATTATAATTTTCATTAGTTACATCGGCCGTCAAATCTTTGGTTACATTTCCAGTTTCATTTGGAAACGCTTTTAATTTATCTTGAAGTTTTTTAATTTCCTGTGTAAAATCACTCATTTCTTTCTCATTTTGTTTTAAAACATCAATGATCCCATCAAATATATTGAATTTCATGTATTTTTTGAGAGAATTCAGAATTAAAACAACTTCATCGAGATTTTGGATAGTAACTTTTGTATTTCGTGTACACACATATAATTCTTTGGCATTAATAGTTGAATGAGATTGTTTGAGAAGAGTAACGTACTGATCAGCGGTTAAACGTGAGTATTTCATGATTGTCTTGATGTCTCCGATCTTGAATGTATCGAAGAAGTTTTCATTCTTAATATAATTGCTTATATGAGCAGCAATGTCTTCGAAATTCAGAGTCATGTCAATCTAAACAAAATAAAAAAAAATCTAAAAATAGTTTAGATATATAATATTATAGTAAAAAATCAATTTTGCTATTTTGGATTATAAAATATGTAACACGTTAATAGTTCATGATGTTTGTAGGTAACCATAACTCAGGAAATCTCAAAAAAATTCAAATCTAATTCCAAATTATAAATTTTCAACTAAAAATTGGTTGATTTTATAAAGAATAACATAGTGTTAATAGTTTTGCATAAATAATGGATTCAAAAGTTTTTGACATGTCAGTGTTGTCAAATGACACAATTTTCAATGATTTTGATTTTTCTTCTTTCAGCTCAAGTCAATAGCTATGATAAAATTCGTATGAAAAAAGATAAGTGTCTAGGCAGAATTGTCAAACCATATCTTAATCCAATTTCAAACGATGAAATTCCTCCTTATCTATGGCAACATCTTATTGAATGCTCTGGCGGTCAACCATTTGGAGCAACACTTTGTTCAGTTTACGATGCCAACGTTAATAAACTTGAAAGAGATTATTCAACTAGTGATCTTAATTCACTTGTTGATCAAATTGCAAACGAGTTCAATCTTGAACGAAATAGAGTTCAAGATTATTTCAATCGTGCCAAATGGTCTTCGCTTTCCAAACAGCTCTTCAACAGAATTGATATGAATCAGCCAATTAATGGATATAGAGCTGCTTCTTTGGGTGGCACCATTATTAAAATTACAAAAGTTAATGGCGTCTATTACATTAATTGTCGTAAGGCTTTTGTTTCTGCAAAGCTTCAGCACAGCTATTGGCAAGTTTACCTTGGTCAAATGCAATTTATCCAAGCACCTATCGAAACATGGCAAGCACTCCCTCCTTGCGCATTAAATTATATTTATTATGAGCTTAATAGCAAGATTGAAGGCTTCCTCAACGTTTATAAGAATATCTAAATAATGTTTATTTTAATCATTGCTAGTTTCTCTATATTTATCTAAATAATTTTATAAAAATTTATATTATGAAATAATGAAAATTGTGGGGATTGTATCAATATACTAAGGCAAAATTAAGATTGATAAAAGAATCTAAGTCTGAGAAACTTGTTCAAATCACTTAGAACAAATTATTCATCTGATTGGATAATACTATGCACAAATTGCACCTGAATCTCAAATACTCAGAGAATTAGAATATCTACACACGGAAAATATGAAAAAGTTTAAAGAAAATTCAAATCTAACTCTTAATATTAATAAATATCAGCCAGAATTTATGATAATATACTTTGTAAGTCATAGATAGCTTATTCTATTGAACCCATCATCGTAGATATAAGTCTTGATTAAAATTTTTTCCAAGTTATAGCAAAAGGATGTTAGGCAATTTGGAATAGCAGAACATCTAAGAGCGTAGTTAGGAGATAATAAATGGACAACTTCCTAGCAACTCTGAGATTTGATCATCTCATAGCTCCTCCAATTTAGATGACATCAGCCTGAAATTTTAGCACTACATATTCATTATATAAAATATGGTGAAAATGTTCTATTTTATATACAAACAAACAAAATATTTAACGAATTAATTTTGGTCGTCGTTTGGATCTCTATATTTTGTGAAGTAACCAATTTTATCCTTATCTGCGTGTTTCTTGAGTGATTCCACGATGTCATCATCTTCAGGTTTATCAACAGCACCGAGTTCTTCGAGTTCTTTCTGCAAAGGATGAGTTGCAATTCTTCCTTTGAAACCTTCTCCCCAAAGAGGAGCAACAGGGAGTTGTTTTGCTCTCTTTTCTCTTTTCTCGACTGGAGCAAATGGGAACCAGAAACCGTGAATGACTCTTTCTGTTTCTGGATCGACGAATTTCGGTATCAAAGCACCTATGACTGCATCATCGGTGTCTTTCTTGAATACAACACCGTTTTCTAGTGCTCTCAATGCTCCTTTCTTTGATAAATCTTTATCAAACAAAATTCGACAAATTCCATCGCTACAACCAGCGTAAATTTGGTTTGTTGATTCATGCCATTGCAAAGCATTAACACCAACATTTGATGGCATCAAAACTTCATCCTTTAGATCGCCAGATAAAGTGGAAACAATTTTAATTGATCCACCTTTTTTCGAAGTTTTTAGAACTGATTCGCCAACTAAAAGATTTTCGCCATTTGGTGAGAAACATATGGATTGGCCGCGTGAATCACTAAGGATATTCCATAATGGTTCATTTATGTTCCTGATATCCCATAATTGGACACCTTTGTTAGTTAATTCACGAGTACAAACGTGATTTCCATCAGGACTAATAGCAATCGAGCCGCAGACATTGGGAAGAGGTATCTGCATCGATGCTTGACGTGAATTACCTGAATTGTCATATAATGAAAGAGTTTGGTCGTTGGATGAAACAAATACGGCATTTCCATCATTGGTCCAGCGCATTGCGTAGCCAGGGAACCTTATGCCGCCTTGTTTTCCTAATCTGTATATCATAACTTGCTCTTCCATGTGGTCGACCTTCCAAAAACGTAATGTGCCATCTTGAGAACAAGTTGCAAGCTCATCGGTAGATCCAGGACGAAATTGGAGCCCAGTAACTGCGGCTGTATGTCCGTAAGTATGAGTTGTGTCGTAAATATACATGTCTCCTCGTCGAGATTCATATTTTTTAAGTCCTTTTGGATCAAAGATACGAATAATAGGAGATCCGGATGCTGCTGCTATAAGTGTTTGATCTACGTTTGTATCGATGTCGGATATACTGTAATTTTCGTCTAATTCGATTCTAATTTGACATCTTACTCCATTTGCTTTCATTGATGATAAATCAAAGTAAAAAATGGTACTATTTTCTCCTCCTGTATAAAACTTAAAGCCAGTATCATTAACTTTGAGAGAAGTAATTGGTTTTTCATTTTGACCAACTTGAAATTCTTGAGTAACAGGAAAAGGAGGTGGTGTAGCCCTTTTAGGTGGCATTGGACCTATTTCTTTTAAAATTCTTTTCGTTCCTTCGTAAGGAACACAAATTTCGTCTCTATTTTCTCTAAACAATGCATTTTTTGGCTTGGTGTTATCATTTGTTAGACCACTGGCCCCATTTTTTCCAAATGAAACAGGAACGAAATTGTTATTTTGTTCCATTATGAAATTATAAAATTATAAAAAAATATGACAAAATAGAGTTTTAAAGAAGCAAAATCATAAACTACGAAAATTCTATATATAAAATATAGAATTTTTGATCTATCAAAGTAAATTATTTTCATCACATTAATTATCAAGTTTTATGAGAACAAATATGCATTACAATGGCTTGTTTTCACTTTTAATTGTTGTTCATTTGCTTTAGATGGCTATTTGGTGTAAAATGATGGATTTTGGATTGAAATTTGTTCATTTTCAAAAGAAAACATGTTTAGTTATAAAAAACAATTCTAAGTATAGTTTATTATTAATAATATTTCCGATAAAACATGATATTAAAGAAGATTTTGCTGTAATTCGTCGACGGCTGGATCATTACCTTTATACAAGTGCGCGATCGACGAAATCAATGTTAAAAGTGCAGATCCAATGCAAATTTTCACATTTGTCTTAACATCAAAACTGAAAAGTTTGTATGAAAGATATGTGAACGCAACAGCGATTACTGTATTCTCTATGGGTGTATTTCCGATATGATCCAATGCCAAACGGCCAATTTTTGTCAAAATTGTTCCGACCATTAATAAAATGAAAACTAATGGTTTTGAATCAAAGGAAATATGTATTACAAGGGATATAATGGTAAGCAGTAGCATTGAACCAATTAAAATGTAAACTGCTTTATTATTAATATCAAAGAATGAAACTACTGTTTCTGCGAGGTATGTCATAATAAGAGTGATAGCAAATAAGTATTCGAGTGGAATTACGCATTCTGAGCGTGTAATATATTGCTGAATTCGTGGTGTGAAGTAAGTTTCTAAAATTGTAAAGAATAAGATAATTGCTACACCAGAAACGCCTGGTTTCGATTGCTGATGTCTGAATGGATATGGTTTCTTCTTAATTGTAATCAGAGAAGAAGGAATTATTACTAAACAAATAATGGTTCCAATGAAAAAGATTTGCTTGTCTTCGTAGTATGTTTTGAGATACTTGCTAACAAATGCTAATACTGTTGTCATTAAAACATGTACAGCTGAAACAACAGCGTTGAAAAATGCATCTGATGTTTTTTCATGAGAACCTTCACCGAGCTTCCAATCACTCATTGCGTATGAGAATGCTTCTCTTGCCATTGCTATTGCAACTTGAGCAACACAAAGTGTATCAAAATGCTTTTTTGTTCTTAATAATGTAGCTATTGATGCAAGTGCACCAGCACCAATAAGAAGAGGTGCTACACCTGTCATTTTGATAACACGTAATGGAATAAATTTAACTATTGCTTTGATAATTAATGGAGCTGCAAAAATTGATGTCATTTCTTCAGGAGTCAAATTGGAATCTAACATACGTTGGAAAATATATGGTTCTGTTATCATTATGCCGACATTAAGGGCATAATAAAGGAAACAATATCTGACTATCGCTTTCCATTGATCAGGGCCTTTTCCTTTTGGCATAGATATGATCCTTGCAACTTTAAATAATAGAGTGAAGACTGTCCCAACAATAAATGTCGCAAAAACTACTGTGTTCAAGGACGACATCTTCTGAAGTTTACAAAATTGCGTTTCGGATGTAAAATTGGTTGCAATTTAAACTAACATTGTTATAAAATAAAAATATTTTAATTCGTTTTGCTCAGATTCCAATAAAATTTTATATCAAGAAATCAAGCTCATTTAAACTGTGGGTTAGGAATGATCGAACGCCTAAAGCATAGGCAAAATGACAAATACACTGTATAAACAGCTTCATTTATGAAATTTCATTCGATAAAATTATTAATTTTTTGAAAAAAGTAGTACAATATATTGAAATTAAATCATTTACAAATTAGACAAATGCAATTTAATATCTTGGGCTAAGTGGTGACATATAAGCGCCAGGAGCTACAGGAGATCTTGGTGATCTAGGAGAACGTGGTGATTTTGAGCTTGGACTAGGTGATTTTCTTGGAGAAAGCTGAGAAATAATAAGTTTTTTATCATTCATTGAAATATCACGAGATGTAGCAACATTTTGAATTGATTTAGAAGGAGACATAGCAATTCCGATCTTTTCTTGTGATTTAACAACAGAACGATCAATCTTGCCTTGTCCTTCAATAATTTTAATATCGTTGAGTAATTGGTTGTAGAGGCCATCAAGCATGGATTCATGTCTTGCAATCATATTGATCATGTGTTGTTTGTAATGGTTATCTATTTCTTTGCACTCGTTCTTGAGAATATTGTCTGTATTTTCTTGTACGTTGTTTCTTAAGGTTTTGGCTTCATCAAAACACTTGCAATTAGCCAATACCTTAGATGTATAAAGAAGGCTTTCAACCTTTTGATTTCCAAGCTGTTCTGCACGATCATGAGAAGAAATCCATTCACTTCTGAGCTGTTCTATTTCTTCCAACTGAGCAGCCTTCATCTGGAGAAAACGATTTTTGTAATCTTTAACTAATTTCGAAAGCTTGGTATCAATCTCCAATTCGATCTGAATAATGCTTTTCTCGGCATCTTGATGATATCCTTCGATCAAGGATTGATTTCTTGCCAAGGCTCCATCAACTTGACGCTGTATTTCTTCCGAATTATCATTGTTTAATGAAGCTTGGAGTTTTCCAGCTTCTTCAAAATTCAATTCTGATATGGCGTGATCTATTTCAATATTTATATCATCTTCACCAGCGAAATCAACAAAAGAAGCGTTTGGTGTATAATCCTGTGTCATTTATTTATTTTTTTTTATTGACCGTTTTGCTCAAAATAAAACATCTCGTTTCTTTTCATATTTATATGCATTTCTTTCTAATACAATAAAAGAATCTCAATTAATGAATTGTTTATATTTTACACCAAAATTTGAAATTTCTAAATCACCTTATGTGTTTTATTGCAAGTAATAGTACTTTATAACATGAAATCACTGAAATAAAGCAAAATTGGTCGATTTAGAATCATGTTTTATTGAATTCCAATCCAATTACCATGAATATAAAATAAAGCATATTGAAATGATAACCAAATAATATTTTGCCAATACATAGATATTGGGACTGCTAGATTTTTGTCAATGGTGTTCTATCAATCAAAAACTACGAATTAAATCTACTTGAATTGAGGGCAATAAAATCTATTTTTTGAGGATATAAATCTAATTGCATTCAGGGTCAATACACAAGCAATACACCCTACTTCATGTATATGAATATATCTCTAAGTATTTTCTTATTATGCTCATTCAATGAAAAGATACATCCAATCTAAGCACCCTCAAAAATGAGTGATTTCACAAAAGTTAGAGATGATGTATATAAAGCCTAAATTATATGTATTCTACCGTATTCATGTCAGAGGTACTCACAAACATCTTAAATGGTTCTAATGAGAAGAAATAATGCATGACTTTTGAAGAACTCAAATAATTTTGTCACTTTTCAAAATCAAAATGAGCCAACTAAAAACTATTAAGCAATTTCAAAACGGCGAATTTGAAATTGCGATATCAGTGTATGATACAGATGCTGTCGTTATCATTCACAACGGAATTCCAGGAGTTGGAACAATTATCAAAACTGAAAAAACAGACGGATATGTTGATACAGATGTTATGATTGGCTTAGAAAATCAAATGTTCGAATTATTATGCATTGAATTGACGAAAGGATTGAAATTTGATTCAATAGTATTCATTTTGTCCTTTAAGCCAGAAAAATTGCAAAACTTAGCTGACGTTCGTGCATTTCTTGATGAATTTACAAAGAATATCAATCAAAAATGAATAATATAATATTTTCAAAATATATTTCTACTTTTATTGAAATACACCATACAAGTAGTCATACACTCAGTACTTGATGCTCTTATTATTAACTATTAGGACATATTTTGTAATAAAATTTTCATTCTTATTTAAATTTTAAATTTTCATAGAAATAAGATATCAAATATTTATTAATAACATTCTAACCAAGTCAGTCATCTAATAAAACTGAAAGTTCTGGGAATTCCTTCTTTAATTGATCTTTATTAATAGTACCTTTATCAGAAGACTTATTTAAGGCGTCTTTGAGGTCTGAGATATCATTACCCTCCATTGTATAGTCTCCTATGAATTTACTAATTTTTTGAAGTTTTTCACGTGTATTGAGTTTGGATGATTTCAATGCTAAAGAAAATGTTTTAACATCTAATATTTGTGATAATTTTTCTAAGTCTGTAAATTCGCCAATATTTTCTCCAATTAATTCGGCCAAAAACTCAAGAGTACGAGAGAGTTCTTCGTTAAAGCAAAAATCACAGTAGTCAAGAATATCTTCTGTTTTGATTTTTTCACGAATTAATTTTTGTAAGCTTTCGTTTAATACTAAAACTCCATAATATAAGGATATCTCGTACAGTCGTAAAAGGTCTTTGTTATCATCGTTATATTGAATTTTGCCGTCGTACATCCAGTTGATAACTCTTCTAAGGAGCTTTCCTGGATTTTTTGTAATAGGTACTTTGCCTGTTGCAGATTCTTCCATTTGTGCTGTAAATATATTGAGGAAAAATGATGAAGAATTTGCAAGAATTAATTTGTGCGCTTTAATTGGAGGCTCGCCATCATCCAAGATAATTTCACAGTCAGAAATTATCGAATTATCAAGGAATTCAGAAAAGTTAAATATAGGGGCGTAACATGGTTTTTGAATCATTCCAAAATAATGAAAATTAGATTCAAAAGAATTGATAATTTGTCTCTTATTCAAACACATGAAATATTCAATCTGAATTTTTTCCAATTTTTTTCTTCCATCAAAAATAATTAACTTAGATCGTCCATTTGGATAGAATAATATGAAATCCATAAATAGTCATAATTGAATATAAGACAAAAAGTTTGGAATTTTGAACATTGGAAAAAAATTATTCTTCATCTTTCAGTATTATTTAACAATTTTCTTAATTCTATATTAATTAAATGGGGAAAAATATTGGTTGATTAAAAAGATTTATTAAATAAAAATAAGTTTAAATTTATTTAGAAACGAACATATCAGGAGCTTTCTTTGACAATTCAATAACTTCCTTCTTCCTTTCTTCTACTATTTGTGAAATGTCCAACTCGATGAAGTCGATATTTCCATCTTCATCAGTTATAATTTCAAATTCACCGGAATTTGTAAGGGCATGAATTGCACTGTCGGTGTATTTACCAAGAACATCAGAAATATATACGATTTGAACAGATTTACATGTTTGAGCAAAATCACGAAGAACTCTAATAGAGTATTGGTGTCTGATAGGTTCAGCTAAAAAGGAAGCTTCTTTTGGAATTTTCAAACTGGCAACATTGTGGTCGAATTCCCAAAATTGTAAAAATTCTTGATCTGTTGCAACATCTTTGGCACAGAGGGTGTCAAATGATCTCTTAGAATCTCCTGCTAAGAATAAGGAAAGAGATAAGTAATTATTCGCAGATTTTTTGATATCATAAGAATCGCGGGCATAGTGAATTGTTTGCATGAAATATTGGGCAGCCACATCGAATTCTGAAAGATAGAGTCCGTTTTTGCCCATGTAGAAGAGTATTAAAGCTGAAATTCTTAAATCTTTTGGAAGAGTATATGTATCTCTAGTAGGATGATTAGATGCGATGCATAATGCTAAGTGTAGTACAGCGTACATATGTGGTTCCTTTTCATTAAGAATTGTTTTAAGTTTTGGATTTTCATATAATTCTTCAGCTTTATTCAAATGTGATGCAGCCTCAACAAGTTGGAATGCAAAGTTGAATTTAATTTTATCATGGAATTTATTGGTTTCTTCTAAAATTGATAATGCATATTCGTAAGTATGTTTGTATGAATATGAAGGTGGGATTGATAACAAGTATAAAGCTTTCAATATTTTTGCTTCTGCGTCTTTCGCAGCTGATATTTTTTGTAGGAAAGTTTTTATAAATTCATCCTTTTTTGCGTATTCTTTAATTGATAATATCAAATTGTAACGATCTTGTAATTTTTCTTCTGATATGGAGTCTAATGGTATTGTTTTCCATTGCTTACTGTTCTCTTTTTCTCCTGACATAAAAAAAAATTAGAATTACCAAAAAGTGACAATTCTGAAAATTATGACTAATTCTACCTTTCAATGTAATTCTTAAATGAGAGTTTGAAAGATGAGCTTGTTTCGCATCATATGGATTTTGTGACATTATCAGAGAATGAACATTGCAGAGAATTCAATTTTGTATTCAATGAATTATTATACATGCAATATTTTGTTAATTTAAATCAAAAATATGATATTATTGCGTATCAAAAATCATTTCTCTTATGAACATTTTCTCTTTCAATGTGCTTATACCCTTAGTATATATAGAACAGGTTATACTGACCTTCATTTTGCAGCAGAGAATAATAATATAAAAACAGAATTTGAGGAAATACATCATCTTTATGCAGCAATACATAATTAAAAAGATAGTTCAGAACATCTTTTTCATATGGCTTTAATACTATGAAATTTCTTCTGACGTATGAAAGTTATAAACAACAATAATTATTGCATTGGCAAAATTTCATTTTGTGCATTAAAAAATAAGAGGAGATAAACTACCTATTTTTATATAACATGGTATTGATATAAATTTATAATGATTTTATCCTTGATTCATATAACTCCCACTCATTAATGGAAATCAATGGGGAAAAATGCTCAATTTTTAGAAACCAGTCAAAATTAAAGATATAGATAATTGAAAACTGCTTATTATTAAGTCTTAGGGTGAAATTACAAAAATTTTGAGATTTCAAATTTTATAGATTGAGCCTTTATGTTTTGTATTCATTTAGAAAACACATATGCAGATTGTATATTTTACATCAACATAGATAAAAGTATAATTGAATACTGATCGTCTTCCCCTGAAAACGGTTTTGACGAACATGATTCAAATGTTCTATTTGTTCTTAGCAGCAGCGCGCTCAGTAAATATTACAGAGCTTACCTATACAGAGTTTGTAGAAAGTTATATCACTAATTCATCACACACATTTGCAAACAGAACAAAACCAATTTATTTCTGTGCTAAGCAGCCGTTCGATACAAACTGCGCTCATGATAACGTCAGTCATCTTGTCCGCGTCGTTGCTAACTGGGCTGAATATGAAAAGATCAAGCAAGCAATTATTCCAAGCACAGAAAATGTTACATCAGAAAATGTTACATCAGAAAATTGTACAGGAAATTTTACATTAAAGAATGTCGTCTACGTAGAACTCATTCAGAGAAAGCCAAAGCCAGGAATCTCTCTTGTTGGTAACTTCTGGTTCCCATTCTTCTCTTGCATGCTCGGCGGTTTGTCCCTCCTTGCCGCATACTACTTATGGTGCGGCGACGATTATGTTAACCAACCAGAAAACTCCCTTATCTTCGCTACAGAAGGACAGAAGTTAGTTTCTGGCAAGTAATTCTTTCTTTTTTTTTAAATGATTTATTTCTTTTCTTTTCATTAGGCAAGATTTTACCATTCATTGGACAAAATAAAGTTAACTATTTATTTAAAGTATTTGTGTTTTTTTGACAACAAAACAAAAGGGCGATCTTATAATTCGAGAAATTAGGCTTTAATTGCTATCTAGTTGGTCAATATAAGGCATCCTAAGGTTGCTTATTTAACTTCTCCGTATTACATTATGGATTTAGCATCTTTGAACAATTCCAAAAAGCCATATCCTTCATTTTCAAATAGTTTTAATGGGAAATTTTGTATGATTAGAATAATTGTCATTCAGATCCAGATAGTTTTATATATTGCAGTTTTTTTGGTGAGAGAGAAAAAAAGTAAAAATGAAAATAGAAGAGTGTGCAATGTGTATAGAGCTTCTTGAAAAGATATTATCAGAGCCATTAGGCGAAGGATTGCAGCTCTATATGAAACAATTTAATTTCGAGGTTCCTTTCTTTAAAGATTTTTTTGAAATGCGAGAAAAGCTAAGTCACAACAAATTCTCAACTCCAACAGATTTTATTAACACATTTAATAAATGCATTAACCAGATTTTGCAAAACGTCGATGAAACGTCCGAAATGAAATACTGTATTCAATACTTGAGAGACAGAGTTTCAAGCGAATTTAAGATTTTTGATAAAGGCAATACAGAAAAATGGACAAAAGCTACAAAATCTCTCATCGAAAACATCAAATTAGTGGTACCTCAAATTCCTGATGATGTTAAAGCAACAGACCAAATTTTCAAGATTTCTCATGATAGCCCATCCTTTTCAGTACCAAATCCTGATCCTGCAAAAGAACACCTTAAAATGGATCAATTTGATGTTAGCTTTATTGGCAGACAAATTAGCTGTCTTAAAAGAGATGAAGATGCTTATGATATTATTCAGGTCATTTGTACTCATAATCCAGAATTTATTGCCGATGATAACGGAGACGTTGTATTTGATTTAAACAAGTGCTCTCCATATACTCTTAACTTGATTCAAAATCTACTTGCAACTATGCCAAAAGATAATTCAATTAATAATGGTTTACTCAATGCAAGTAGTACAAATGATGTTACTGAATTTGTTCAATTATAACATATAGATCTTGTTGTGTGTATTTTGACTGATTTTTAAGTCGGTTGTTTGTTAATAAATAATTTTTATATTATCATAAATATTTTCAGAATTTCAAAATCAGATAATTGTATAGCTTAAATTCCCTTCATGCAAATACTGGAAATATGAAAGTAAAAAAAAAATGAAATTTTTCAATGAATATAATGATTCTTTAACATGCTACAAGACAATTGAAGACAAGTACATAACAATTTTTATTTGGATAGATCTGAAAGCCAGTGGAAAATTTCACTTAAGCCAACTCCAACAACAGAGCTGGTTTCTAGGAAGGATAAGCGAGATGGATTTGGAACACGGTCAAATCCGATAATATCATCAATTACATTGAATCTAATGCAGTCAGGTACATCGCATTTACTTAAAACAATCATAATTGGCTTATTTTCTGTAACATGGCTTTGAAGAACTTCATTTAGCCAAACTATATTTGTAGCTGTTTTTGTCAAATCAGCAGAATCAAAAACATAAACTATTGCCTTTGCTGTGCGAGCATTTGATTCCCACTGTTGAATACTATCACCAGAAAGCTCTTTGAAAACGAAGCTATCACGATGATACTTGAAATTTTGTGTATCAATTCCTTCTGTTGGGTTAGTTGATGGAATTTCATCAAATGGAGTTAACCTTCTTTGGTCTGTAAGAATTTGGAGTCTCTTGATAAGCAATGTTTTTCCACATGATTTTGCTCCTACAAAGAGAATTTCAGTCATTCAAAAATTAACGTGTAAAATTTGATTTACAAAAAAAAAACTCAAAGGTCTGAAAAATGATGAGAATCTACCAACAAAATAAAAACTTCCAGAAGCAATAAACGATATGAGAAGACAGGATACAATATGCATGTTGCATCAAACGAAAAAAGAAAGATATAAAATGTAGTTTGTTTTACTTATTATGATGTAAAAAAACATTTATAATTATGAACAAATAAATCAAATTGATGATAAATATTTTCTCACAGAGCCTGAAGCAACATCGAGGGCAGATTTTCCGTCATAATTCTTTGCTTCCTTATCAGCTCCAACAGAGATAAGATATTTAACAACTTCAAGTTTTCCATTCCATGATGCATAAATTAGAGAAGTCCAACCATTTTTATCCTTTGCTTTTATATTAGCTCCAACAGAGAGAAGATATTCAACAATTTCAAGTTGACCATTTCTTGATACCCAAATGAGTGGCGTCCATCCATTCTTATCTATTGCTTCCATATTAGCTCCAACAGAGATAAGATATTTAACAACTTCATATTTATCATACTGACATGCCACAATAAGTGGAAAATTTCCTTCTTTATCTTTTGCTTCTTTATTAGCTCCAACAGAGATAAGATATTTAACAGTTTCGAGATTGCCAGCTCTTGATGCCCAAATGAGTGGAGTAGATCCATCATAACCATGCGCTTCTTTATCAGCTCCAACAGAGATAAGATATTTTACAACTTCAAAATGACCATTTTCTGATGCCAAAACGAGTGGAGTAGATCTATGTTTTTTATCCTTTGCTTCTTTATCAGCTCCAACAGAGATAAGATATTTTACAACTTCAAGATGACCGCTTTCTGATGCACAAGCGAGTGGAGTAGATCCGCCATTATCCTTTGCTTCTTTATCAGCACCAACAGATATGAGATATTCAACAACTTCAAGATGGCCGTTTCTTGATGCATAAATGAGCGGAGTTCCATCATACGAGTTTGCTTCTTTATCAGCCCCATTACAGATAAGATAATTAACAAATTCAACATGACCATTTTCTGAAGCAATTTTAAGTAGACTATCTAAAGATTTTATTTCTTCATAGCTTTCATGCTCTAATAGTGATTTAAAAAGTTCGAGATTTCCTTCTTCGCAGGCTTTAGTAATGGGATCTTTTGAATGCATGAAAAAAAAGACTAGTCTAAAAAATAATAATAAACGTACTTGTTTCGAATGAACCAGTAAATACTAAACAATGATGTAAAGATTTTATGATTATTTTATGCATGTATTGTAGCATAAATCCTCAAAAAATGAACGTAGGCTTATAACTCTAATTTCAATCTTAATTTTTCCAAAATAAATATCGAGCAGTGCTTTGGATACATTTCATTTATTTTTCCAACGAAAGACTACCTCATATCTATTATAAAAAATAGAAATCTTTAAACATGAACTATTTGAAATGATATACTGTATACGAGCGTATGTTTGTGAGATAGAAATAATGTTTCTTTCATTTAATCCCATGATTCATCAAATTTAACTCAAATCACTTGAAAGTATGCATATCAGGATGGTATCTCTTAGATTTCACACAAATAAATAGTTTCTAAACCAAAGTCATGTAACTTGTTATTATGGGTTCCTATCCTATATTGATCTAATATCATAAATTTACTGATATTAACCTTTCAACTTTTGAAAATAATGAGTTTTCCTATAGTACTATTTGGTGTTGTATTAAACTCAAATAAATAAGTATGATTATGGATAAAATAAAAAATATAACGTGGGAAACGCATGCACTCGCAAGATATATGAATTCATTTGAGAGAAACATTGCATATGTTCGGGACTTATGCTGTTTGGTGCAAAATCAAATCGTAAAATATGAAAATCTTACATTTTTGAATCAAAAAGTAATTTTTTTTTTCTCACTTCAATTTAAATTTTAGATGCAAACTAATTCTGGAAATATTGGTTTCCCAGGGTTACCTCCACCTATGGGTCTCCCACTACCTCCAGATAATAATGGTTTTCCCCCTCCACCGCAATTACCAACAGGAAATTTGAATTCAGGAATAACCTTACTACCACCTCCTCCAATGCCTGGTATGCCACCACTTCCTCCTTCAGCGACAGCGAGTTCAAGCTCAAACTATATGAGTAGTGGTACACTTCCTCCATTTCAGCAAGTTTCGAGTGGCGATTCAGGAATGGTACTACCACCATTTGTTGGCCTTTCATCAGGTGGTTCGAATGGTAATTTGCCACCTTTTCCAGGACCAACAAATACAATGCCGCCGACAAGTCCAGGCTCTGGCTTAAGTTCAGGACAATTACCAATGATCAATTCTTCATCACAATCGGGATTTTTATTACCTCCTCTTCCAGGACAAACTGGATCAGCATTATATCAATCATCATCTCAGTCATTATTACCTAGCCCACCAGCAACAGATTCGAAATCTTTAAATTCGAAAGAAAAATCAGAAAAATCAGAAAAAGTAGATTCTTCGGACTATGATTATGATTATAGCAGCTCAGAATCAGATAAAAAGAAAACTACACCTCCAAAAGCCCAGAATACCCCTCCTGGCTTTCCATTACCACCTCAACTCTCCCCTAAAGAACAAAATACAAATCAAACGCCACCAATACCTTCATTTGGCGCTGCAGCCTTACCACCCATGCCACAATCCAACGATTATGGTCAACCCAACTCAATGTTTAAGCCAAATCCCCCTCCTTTCCCAAGTGGCGGATTACCACCGATGCCACCTCCTCCATCACAAGAATTACCATCCAAACCAGTACAGCCGCCATTCCCAAGTGGTGGATTACCTCCAATGCCACCTCCAACTAGTCAAGATAACATATCGAAACCAATTCCTCCATTTTCTGCCGGCGGAATGGCTCCTCTTCCATCTCCAACATCTGATTCATCATCTAAACCTAATCCCCCACCTTTCTCTTCAGGTAGACCCTCAGCAACAATTTCTCCCTCTGCAAAACAACCATTTGCCTCTGGCGAAGGAAATACACGACCATCATTACCACCATTTGCATCAGGCATTGCTCGTAACACTGCACCATTAGATCTGGGACCTCCTCCAAAGCCAACACCCCCTCCTTTTGCATATGATTCCAGGTCCGGCCAAAACCTTCCTTCTTTACCTCCTATGCCTGGATCTGCTCCTGTTACACCTACAGCCGACAGCCGCTTCAACTCTCCTTTCGCAGCTCTTCCAAAGAACACGAGTTCTAACATGAACAATTCACAAAGAGATCCATCAAGGAAAGATTCACTTCCTCCTTTCGCAGGTCTAAATATGATGCCTGTAGAAAATAGACCAAGACAAAGTGAATCACAAATTGTTAACACATCCAAACAAAGCAGTTCAAGTAGTGATGAAGAAATGCAAGAACAAGAACATGAAGATTTGACTAATTTACAATCAGTAGGAATTGCAAATTATACATCAACATTTAATGGTCCATTACCATTACAAGTCAATCCAGATCAATCTGTTCCTATTGCTCCTATTTTGCAGCAGTATCCAAGAAAGGAAACATCGATCATGTCATCAGGAAAAGTGTTTAATAATCAGCCGAATTCGAAGAACGCGAAGAATGATGATTTCGAGTCAGTCATTTCCAGTTTCACTGGAATAACAAATACTATATTACAGCCTCCAACAATCGGAATGAGCCAAATGAACTATGTACCAAGGAATTTCACTTTAGAACAAGTTTCCGGACCAGAAGGAATCGAAATTCCTAAGACAGAACTATATGTCAGTCCTTATTCACCGATGAATCAAACGAACAAGATCGAGTTGATGCCTCCTCCCGATGAAACAATGATCTTTGGATTCACAGGTCCTGTTGTCCGTGCAAATGTTTTATCAGCAGCTGCAGGACAAGTCTGTGCAATTCCCGGCCAAATCACATCATATGATAATGAACCACCACCTTTTTATCATCCTTTTGTTGCGAATGTCATCAACTTGCCTCCAATCACTCCTCACACACCAGTAAGAGGTGCAAGATACTCTCCGAACATGGGCTCAATACAATCATTCATCGACCAGCAGCCTCCTCTTTCCATCATCGAAATTCCTGCAGGAAGATACAACGAGAGTTTATTCATCAGGAAATCATTGTTCATAAGAGGTGCCGGTGTTGAGTTCTACTCAACAGGAGACATCTGTTTGAATGTCTCTGCACCTGAAGTGTTCATTGAAGGAATTAAGTTCGTTAACCAGCCATCAGGAAAAGAATCAATGGTTCAGAACTGCGCGTTCATTGCTAAATCATGTGCTTTCATTGGCGGAACAAACGCTGCATTGAGTTTCAATGGAAAATCATATGCAACAATTGATCATTGCCAGTTCTCTGATGCAGGATTCGGAATAAATATGATGAGAACAAGTTGTTTATCAATTTATTCCTCAGAAATTCACAATATGTCAGGACCTGCAATTTACGCTTCAGAGCAAACACGTCTTCACGCTGAGAACTGCAATATAAGGAAGGTTGGCCAAGGTATCAATCTCTCCAAACAAGCAATTGCATCTATTATTAAATGCAATATACAAGACGTGAAAGATATCGGTATAGATTTGGTGACAAACAAATCCGATATTTACATTGCAGATACAAAAATCACTTACTGTGGTAAAGCAGGATTATACATGAGACAATCATCGCGTGCAACAATTGCTGGCTGTGAATTTATGGGCAGAGTTGCAATTCTTATGGAGCTCAATTCTCGTTTGATTTCTTTCAAGAACAAATTCACAGGAACATCTGCAGCAAATCAAATGATTGGTATCAAAACAAAAGCGAGATTCTACTCAAACGATGACACTTTCACAGGTACATCTCAATTTTCTATTGTTGCAAATGGATATTGTTACCTCAGAGGCAGCAATTTCACAGCAATAGAAGGAAATGCAGTTATTGTTGATCATGGAGAGTCTACATTTATTAACTGTTTGTTCACTTCGATCAGTAAAACTAGTATCAGAATACAGAATGGAAAGATCAAGTGTTATACAAGCAGATTCACTAAATCAGGAGGTCCAATGCTCGCTTTAATTAAAGCAGAAGGATTCATAAAACACTCATCATTCTCTGCCTGCAGTGGATCATCCATAATGATGAGTTTCGCGAACGATTTATTGTTGGAAGATATCGAAGTCACTGGATCTGCAAACTGCGCAATGGAACTTGATAATTCATCACCGAAAGCTGTTGATTGTCAATTCAGAAACAATGCAGAAAATGGTGTATTTGTTGAGAAGAATTGCAATCCAACATTCGAGTTCTGCGTCTTCTCTGAGAACAGGAAAAATGGAATTACCATCATTAATCATTGCAACGCAACATTTGTTAATTGCCTTGTTAATGGTAATGAATCTCATGGTTTGGCGTTGAATAGTGATTGCACATTAGTTTCTACGACATTCTCAGATAACTCTAAATACAACATGCAAATCGATGGCGGAAATATCACAATGACATTGTGCAATTTCAAGAAATCAGAGACAAATATAGTCATCTCGTCGCAACAAGCGAATGTCGACATGAAACACTGCGTTGTACAAGACGCAACTGATGGTTTGGTCGTTCAAGAAGGAGCAAGAATCAGCATGGTTCAGACACAGGCTATGAAATTTAGTCACGCATGTTTGACTGTTCAAAAGGGTTCTTTCGCAACATTGAACGGCTGCACGTTCAGCAGTACACAAGGACCAGGTAATGTCTTGGCAACTTATGATGCAACAATTAACTGCACTGGAGGTTTGGTCACTAAATCTCAGTGCGGATTCAATATCTCAAAGAACTCGAGGTTGAACATCGATGGCACTAAAATCTGCAACTGCACACAAGGAATTGCTAGCACTAGTTGCATTGTTAATGTCATGGAAGCTGAGATAATTGAGAACAAGGATGGAATGAGATTGATCAATTCATCTGGATCTGTAAAGAAGTGCAACATCAGTGGAAACAATGGCTACGGTATTGTTCTCGAAAAATGCAACGACAATGTAGTTATGGAGATGAACTCGTTCAATATCAACAAACAAGATAACATTCAAGTAAAATAAAAAATAAACATTTATTATTTATTTTGGAAATTCCATTTAGTAAATTTTTAATCAAACAAAATTTTGTTCATTTTTTTTATTCAACAAATTTCAATAAACAAAATAAAAAAAATCATTCGTCAGCTTCTGACTTTATTTCTTCTTCTTGTGGAGCGTTTTCTGTTTCTTGATTTTCTTCTTTAGGTGTCTCCGCAATTGTTTCTTCTTTTATTTCTTCTTCTTTTGGTTTTTCTTCTTCTAAAACTTCTTTCTTTTCTTCTTCTGTTGCTTCAATTGTTTCTTCTTGTTTTGGAGTTTCTTCTTCAGCTTCAACTTGTTCTTTCAATTCCTCTTCTTGTTTTGGAGCTGTTGTTCCTTCCTCTGCATCTTCATTTGATTTTTCTGCAGATGTTTCTGTAGTTTGAGCATCTTCTTCCTTTTCTTCTGTAGGAACTACTGCTGTATCAGTAGTCTTTTCTTCTTCGACTGGTTTTTCCTCTATGGTTTCTTCTTTCTTTTCTTCTTCGACTGGTTTTTCTCCAGTAATTTCTTGATGTTCTTCCTCTTTAATATCTTCTTTCTTTTCTTCATTTTCAGTTGGTTTTTCTTCCTTCTTCTCCTCTTCTTCTTCAGGATTCTCTACTGGTTCTTCTTTCTTTTCCTCATTTTTAACTTCTTCTTCATTTTCTGTTTGTTTCTCAACTGTTTCTTCTTCTTTCTTTTCTTCTTCTGCAGACTTCTCTACTTCTTCCTCATTCTTTTCATTATCTTTAACTTCCTCATTTTCAGCTTGTTTCTTCACTACTTCCTCTTCTTTCTTTTCCTCATTTTCTACTGTTTCTTCTTTCTTATCTACTTGCTCTTCTTTAATTTCTTCCTCTTCTTCTGTAGACTTCTCGGTCATATCTTCTTTAACTTCTTCTTCATTTTGTTTCTCATCTGTTTCTTCTTTCTTTTCCTCAGCTTTATTATTTTCTTCTTTAATTTCTTCAACCTTTTCTTTGATTTCCTCTTCTTCTGCATGTTTTTCACCTACTTCTTCTTTCTTTTCCTCATCTTTATCATTTTCAATTTGTTTCTCAACTGTTTCTTCTTTCTTTTCTTCCTCTTCTTCTGCAGAATTCTCAAGAATCTCTTGATTCTTTTCATCACTTTCTACTGTTTCTTCTTTCTTTTCTTCATTTTTAGCTTGATTCTCAATTGTTTCTTCTTCTTTCTTCTCCTCTTCTTCCTCTGGAGATTTTTCAACTGTTTCTTCTTTCTTTTCTTCATTCTTTTCCTCTTCTTCTTCGTTCTGTTTCTCTTCTAAGTCTGAGAGGTCGTCACGAAGAATTGGATCGTCATTCTTTGGTTTCTTTGGTGAAGGGAAGAAGTGAAGTTCACGGCGGAACTGTCTTTCCTTCTCTTCGATGTCGACACCTTCTTCCTCCATCACAATCGACTTCAGAACTGGAGAAAGTGGTGCAATCATGTGGAATTCTTCGTAATTTGACTTGACTGGACTTGTAACGCGGAGTGGGATCTTGGACTTAGCTTTGGTGCTCTTTCTGGCTGCTTCGATGGCTTTCTGTGGGCTGGCGAGGAAAGATGCCGCTTTAAAAATTTCGGCAACAGATTTATTAGTGTCAATGAGCTCTGCTGCCTCTGCAACTGCTGGTGTTATTTCTGTAGTGTCGAGTTCTGATGCCTCATCGTAGTTTTGTCCTTGTTTTGGTGTAGATAATAAATCAAGATCGCTGTTTTCGGCCAAACGGCTTTCCATCATCGTAGTAATTTCCATGTGAGTCTCGCGACGCTTCTGTGGAGAGTTGTAGAGATCATTTGCCTTAAGATAATCTTTTGGAGAAAGATGTCTTGTAAAAGCCTTTTCAAATGGGCTCATCTCTTGGGGAACTTCTGGTTGATTGAATTTGGATGGAGAAAGATAAGGTGCATAATCAATTTTCTTCGGAGATGTCATGATTTCGTCAACAACAACTGTTTTATTGTCCAATCCCATCTCGGACTTGACTTCATTAACTTGCTTAGCAAATTCAGTAATAATTGCTGTTGTTTGTTCAACTTTAATTGTTGAAATATCTGACTTTTCGCCATTTTCTGGATCGATTTCTATTTCTGTTTCACCTCTGGTGAGAACTAGTGGATCTAATGATTTAATTGTATAGCCATCGTATAAATACTTTTGTATCAAAGGTAAATATTTTTCTCCTTGTTTTCTCTCTTCATTTGAAACAGATTCGGCATCAATACTTTTAATATTTGTTCCAATAGTGCATAAAAGCATTAATCTGTAATAAGGAAGTTTTGTAATTGGTGAATCATCTAAAGAAATATATTCGAGGTTAGGATGAAGAGGCGCTGATTGAACATTTTGAATTAATGTATTTCTAGCATCAATGCTTGCAAGTTTACTAAAACGTTCTAAGAGTGTAAAGTCTTTTACTGTTGAATTTGAAATATCAATATGGACAGAACTCAATGGGATGTAAGCCATTTTGATAGTACGACGTTTTACTTCTTGTGGCTTCACTACTGGTGACTTTTCCCCAGGACGTGCAAATAATCTTGTTGGAGTTTTCACTTTCATTTCGATGATTTCAATTTTAGCCGTTTATTAATTAAACATTTTAGAAATTTTTTATTCTTGGGTTATTTGCAAATAGATAGTCTAACGCGAAATTGGTTCATACATGGAATTTCTATTTTAAAGAACGATATTCGACAGAGAGCTCCATTTACAACATTTTTTTGGATCAAATAATTGATTATCATGCATTTGAACTATATGCAATATATATTAGTCCATATAAATGCATTCTACAATTGAAATTTCCTAATGGGCTCTTTTGATGATGAGATATAAACGCTTAAATTGCCCAAAAAATTGAGAGGTGTAAATTTATAAGTTCTTGCATTCTACCTCCATAAACATAAACATTCTACATTATCCAAACATTCTACCTCCATAAAAATTTCATTTACTCAAGTAGATGTCCTTATCCAAACTAGATTTATTAATAACAATATACTCGATTATCGTTAATTAAAAAAAAATATACAGAACAATTGTTTATTTAGATATTAAAATGATTCAAACAAGCATAAGAAGATCCAGAATCTATCATTGATTTGATTGCATACTTTGTTGGTGTATAGGATACAGGGAAATCTTTGTAAGTTAACTGTGAATTCTTTTCCAAAAAGTGGCAATGAGAAATTAAATAAAGAATCAATTCATTATCTTTTGCAATATGTTTCAATTTGCTAATAAAGAATCTCTTATTCATTATTTCGCCTCTGAAGAAGATATGTGGTGGTGATTGCCTCCATTCTTTAATTTTATTTGTAAAATTTTGATAAATATTCAATACTTTACAATAATCGTTGAATTTTTTGACAAATTCCTCAAAACCTTCCAAAAACATATTTGAATCGAAGAAATCAAACACAACAATAGGAGCAGAAGCCAAAGCAGAAAATATAGAATAAGAAACAACACGTTTTGAGTTCGAATTTTGCACAGAAATCCTCATCAAAATCTTATTTTCGATGTTTCCAATTTTATCTAATTCCTCTTGTTTGCATGATATAGATACTGATGATTCCAATTTATCTATTGTTTTAAATCCTTCAATTTCAATTCTCTTGCCTTGTAAATCAACAAAAGTGACAGGAGACGACTTTTCTTCACAAAAATATCTTGTCAAAATCATTTTCGGAAACTTTTTCTTGACATCAAAAATGAACTGTTCGTAAGGAATGTCTTGGAAAATAAAATCTTCCAAATTGAACCAAAATTGAGTTCCATTAAATAATTCATAGAATATCTTTTCTCCTTTCAATGCACATTGATTTTGATGAGTTGTTTTTTCATCTATTTTCTCTAAAAAATCTTGTAAATTTGACTGATTTTGTAAATCTGTCACTTTTTGTAAATTTTCAAAATCAATTTCATCATTTTTCAAAAATAGTTTAGTTATTTCATGATTCTTCAGTAACTCGTTATTGTGTTCAGCTGCATAGTTTCTGAACTTTGATAATCTTGTTATTCTGTCTATTAGTTCATGGAAATTTATAAATTTTTCATTTGATTTTTCAATTTTTTTGTTTTCCATTTTTATTGAAGTATTTCCAAGATTTATCAAATAGTTTGAGTACAACAAGTAGCTCTTCACTTTATGATCATTCATTATCAGAAAAATAACATTGTCTTTCCCATCAAATTCGAATGAATAATCAGTAATTTCGTTTTGAAATTTTGATTTGGCAAAAACTGTCAAATTTTGTCTTCCAAAATTCATTCTTGGAGGTAATATTTCGTCAACATTAGATCGAACGAACATTGTAATGACTCTGGAGTTCAATTCTGTATCATTGTAGTCATAACTTGAGTCATCATCCATTTGAGAAACAACTAAATATCCGTCGTTTGCTTTATAAACAGAAAAACCTCTGAAATTCATTTGCGGCAAGTAATCTATATGTTTCTTGTGACCAATTTGTAAATTTACCAACTCATTTCTGATTTGTGGAAAATATTTTCGATTTTTAATGGATTTTTCTGGTTGTTTGAGAGTTATTTCTATTGTATAGTTAGGTAAAAGCATAATTGATTGAATAGATATTGAATTATGAATTGAATTTTTATTTGTCAGAAAATTGTATCTTCTTGCAAAGAGTTCACAGATAAAATCGTCATCTTTGAGTTTATCTGCCATTTTTATGTACTTTTCTTCCAATTTTGTTTTGAATGCAATGTCGGATTTTTCAATTTTGTCAATAAATTGAATATAATTGTAGTAACATTCATTTTCAGATCCAACTATATCAAACCATTTTGAAATCATTGCGTTTATTTCATTGTTTGAGTTTTGTTCATTTATTATCATTGTTTTAATGAAATCTCCTGTTTTATGTTGTTCAAATAAGATACTTGTCATTTTGTTTTTGTCTTTGACTTCTTTCTTCCAGATATTATAGAAATATCCAATGATTTTCAAAGGAATTTGAGTTGTGTTGAATAATATTCCATATTCTGAGAAATTGATATTAAATCTTGGATCAATATATGTATTACGCTCTATAAAATCATAAAAACTGAATAAATCAGAAAAATATAAATTTGAATTTTGAATTATTTCTGTTTTAACTGAAATTTGTGATTTCTTTGCCTCAGCTTGACTTGTATCTTTAAATGATATTGGTCCTGATGGAAAAAGATCAAGAAAATATTCAATGATCTTACAACTGAAAAAATTATCAAAAGAGAACTGTGGAATAACTAACTTTAAGATGATTTCGTTTGCATTTTTGTCTTCAAGATAAATTGTTGGTTTTTTCGTTTGATCTGAAGTATATTCAATGTTTTTCTGTATTTTAAATAGTTTTGAACTTGTGTCAGTAAATTTTCGAATTATATCTAATGAATACTCATAGTTTGGAACAACTTTTTCTCTATCAATATCGAATGAAATTAATTTTATTGATTTTGGGATATCTGAATGAATGAACTCTTTCAATTGTTGAGTGATCATTACGTGGTTTGAGTTTCCTAAAGGAATATATGTTTGTTTGGATACCAAAAAAATACTTTCCTTATTTTTGTCATTACACTTAAAAGCATTGATCTTATAGTTGTCAAATGTATAAACATAAGAGAAATTGTTCATAAAATAATCTAATAACATAATTTCAGATTGAAATTGTGAAAAACAATATACATTTGGTTTTATGATAATACCAAGAAGCTGCAACATTCTGTTTATTATTGAAAACATCTCTGGATCATGGTTATTCGATAATTTATCAAATATTGAAATATCAAGAGGAACTTGAAAGTTATTCCAGTATTGAGTAACAATTGTGAGCATTTTAGAGGCAATGGTTGTATCAGAATAGTCAATATGATCAATAACAGGAAGTTCCATCAAATATAAAATCCAAGTTCGTGGTTTTTTTTTCCTCTGACAGAAAAAAAAAATCGATTCATCTTGGATTGAAGATGATAAGATCTTTAGTATAAAACATACATCACATAAGCTGATATCTAGTATCGTTTCCATCTCAAAGAAGTTCATTCAAATTTGTTTCTCTAACAAATTTTGCTAAATTAACAATATTGAGCTTTTCAGTTATGTGTTATATGGGATGTTGGTAGGAATCAATTAATTCAAGCACAATATTAAAGAGAATTAAAAGAAAAATTATAATCATATAATTATTTATTGTGAATTATGTCATTAAATTCTTACTTTTAGATAGGATTCTCTTAATAATCTGTGGTCTAAAGTTATGGTGACTCAAAACCTTGAGAATAAAGTTAAAGATTTTCAATTTCTTTGAATTCCATAAAATAAAATAAAAAGTAATTGTATTAAAAGCTAATAGTTTACGAAATTTCCAGACATAATAAAGTTTTTGATTTTTTGGTTGTATTATATTTATTTCTTTGAAGGTTCTGCCTTCTGGGATTCCTGGATAAGGGCAATAATGCCGATATCCTTCGGGATTCCCTGGATAAGGTCTTGTATGCGTTTATGCGGGATAATGTTTGGTGATTCTTGGTAAGACTCGACAAGTCTAATGAACTTGACGATTTCTGTGCACTTCTTGAAGTTGATGAGTCCATCAATTGTATTCGGGAACATTTCAGTGATATATACGAGTTCTTTCTGAAGAACGCCAACGAAAGGAAGGCATCTTGCAGTATTAGCGAGTTTCTCTTTGTAGACCTTGAAATTGCCAACTTGGTTAATGAGTTCGTTCATTTCCTGGATATGAGCGTTGCGAACCTTGTTAGTCCTTGTAGCGAACTTCTGTGTTTCTGTAAGACGATTGATTGATGGGTGAGTGACGCCGTACATAATTGCGAAGACGGCGTGGTAATTTACGAATTTATTGTAAGGAGCTGAATCCTGTTGCTCCGGGTTAAGGCATATGTAAGCGATGTCGACCCAACGCTTAATGACGCGAGCTCTCTCGTGTGGATCTGGGCTGGCGTTAATAATTGATCTAGAAACGAAGCAAGAAAAGTCGTTGAAGTAGTTAATCATTAATTCGAACTTCTCCGAGTTATGCTCCTTCTTAGAGCCCCAAGCTGTCGCGAGAATGTCTGTGGATTGAATTTGTCTAAATTGCATCATAAAGAAGTAGTTAAGCTGTCTGGCAAGTTCAATCTCTGGGATATTCATCAGAGTCCACTCATTCTCTGGGAGACTGCTCAAAACAAAGTCGTACTCGACTTTTTGAGTATCAACCTTATCACTCTTTCCTTCAAGAGTTTTGATGGCACTTTTAAGAACCATAGCAAGAGATGGATTAACAGAAGTCATAATTGCTTCTGCAAAGAACTCAATGGCCTTGAATATTTTTGGATTCTCGAGTTGGTAAGCGGCATATCTAATCCATGTAGCTTTGATGATGTTGATGATAATTGTGCGGATTGTGTTGAGTTTATCATCTTTAATGTTGCAACCTTGCTGACTAACGTCCGCGAAGAATCTAGTAAACAAGGCACCGAGCACAATATTGGGGGTGGTAAATGTTGGAATGGTAATAATGAAATCAACCTGGAATCCCTTAGGTTGTTTAATTGGATCAGTCAAACAAAGAAGAAGTTGAGAGAGAGAAGCAGCGGATGGGAAGTCTGGGCTTTCAGGCAAAGGTTTCCATTCGGCTTCGTTGGGGAACGTAAGGAAATTCAGCTTCTTGCAGAATTCTCGAGTTTCTTGATCGAGCTCAAGCATATCATATAATGTTAAAAGTGTGCGATTTGCATTGGCCATTCCTTGTGCAGCGCCGTCCGAAGCGTCATTAACGTCATTCAGGTATTTTTCGATTGTTGATTGAGATGATGCTTTCGGTTGGTTTCCTTCTGTATAAGAACGAAGTCTATATTTAATAACGCGTTGTTTGACCCTCCTGCTGTGCTTATGATGATGATCACTGTTCGACGAAGAGGAATCTTCGGACATTGAGAGATTTATCAACTTTTGTAAAGTTATGTATAAAAATTTAGATTTATTATGCGATGATTTAAAAATATATCAAAAATTCACCCTGACTAACAGTTCAATACCAATTTCACTTGATTATTGCCAAAAGAAATTGAAAAATTACCCTCAAAGTCATTAATTTGAGTTGAAATTTGAGATTTTTGCGTGAAAGTACAGTTTTCGTTTATTTTGCAAATCGATTTCGTTTCGAAATAACCGTTGTAAAATTGTATAGTTTACATTTCGTTTTATTCAGATCATATATTTTATATGATAGATTTGTAATTTAAAAATTAAATTATTTTCCGATCGCTTTTTATATTTAATCGTTTTTATCAGAATTGAATTTATAACAGATTAAAACTCAGCATAGGTAATCAATAAAAATTTGACCAATTTTTTTTATTCAACATAAAAAACCTTAGAAATTTGAGGGGTGGTTATGAATAATGAAAAAAAATAATCGTCTTTCGACGAAAAATGAAAATAATCGTCAAAATCACGACGATAGAGCTTGAAATGCCGCAAAATCAATTATAGAGTTAAATTTTTTACAATGTTCCTTTAGGAACAATTAAAGTATTGGATGAATAATTCATTCATGTAGCCAAAGTACTATCTTGTGTTTTTTTGTTATATTAAATAAAAGATTTAATAAGATATACTAATATTTGGACATAAATAAGTAATGTGCAAGATAATTTCATATGTAAACAATATGTTTATAACTGTGTTATTGTGTGAAACCGTATCAACAATACCAATTGATTTGTTACAAAATTAGACAGCGTGTTTTTTGTGCCAATCTATATTTTTTGTTCTTGATAGCAATAGAAACTATCAATTTCAATGTGAATTTGTTATAATGCCATGAAATACAAAAATTTGAGATCAAATGAATAAAATATCTATTTTTAAAGGCGCATTTATCATTTATATGATGTGTAATATGATTTTTTGATATTTATTTGCCATATCTACATAAGATTAAAAATTTGTAATAAAATTCATAGTAATTCATTAAAATATTATTACTAATAGCATTCACATATGATATGATAAGTAATGGTTTCATCAAATATAGGAAAAAAAAACATTTAATCAGAAAATTTAAATATTGAGAAATGAACAAATAAAATGTATGTAAAACATGTTTCTTTCTTGTGATGGTTCTATTTACCATATATATGCTGAATTGTAAAGCTAATAGAGTTAATATTTCAACAATTTATCCGAATATAGATAATATAAAAGTATATTTCATCAATCCAATAAGAACTTTGATAAAAAAGAACTATTTTGTTCTGAATTGACATTCAAATTGGTAGTAATTTGAAATACTCCTAAAATTGTGCCGAATATCTGATTAATTCATTAGAGAATACAGATAGTTATCTATTTCTCATTAGTTTGGGTAGTTGTTATCTCTTAAATACTATTGTTATCAAATTTTATTTCTAAATTTAATCATTTTCTAATTAATTTCAGTAGTACATATATTAGCATTAAAAAATAATTCTAATTAACGTTATATAAACTTCCAAAATAAATCCAAAAATTCGATTTTGAAGAATTTTTCGTTAATTTTTTAATTCATATTTTATTTTTTGAAAAAATTTTGGAAAATTATCATTGCTATTTTGATTTTGGAACACATAGAATTCTCTTTTTATGCCGATTTGTCACTGTTTCTCTTATTTTTAGATAAAAAGAAAATATTAAGCTTTAATCACCACACATTTATGAAAATAGCAAATAACACTGATAGATTTTGCTTTTATATCAACAATAAATACTGATTCTATTCATATTTATCCATTATATCTCGTTTCAGGTTTCTAACGTATTCATCGATTTCCAAAGACGGGGATATATGCATTAAATATTAATGCAATGCAAAATATATTCAATACCCAGTCTTAGTTAATCGATTGTAATACATATCTCTGACTTAAAAACGATTTTTTTTAATTTAAGCATACCAACTCCTAAATCATCCGCCACATAATTACAAACTTAATGAAATTCGAATGCTTCACTTAAAATACAACCATTACGATAATTTAAATAATATATTTTCGAAAATCGAATTTTTAACGAAATTAGTTATACTACAATGCTTAAAACTCAGATATACAAGCATGACTCGCATGTGAAGGCTTTTTCTCAAATCGTATATTTGATTTAAAATTATTCTAAATCTCAAGCAATTTAATACTCGGATTATACTATAGAAGCATTTCCACAACCACTTACTTTAAAAAATTCGACTTTCACAAATTTTGATTATAAATTTAGTCGAAAACATACTTATGTCAATGACATATGTCATTACCATGTGGAAAAATATCCTTTTTATACTTTCTTATCTTTTTATGAATAAAAATTTTATTTATATTTTTGATTTCATTATCCAACCTTTTTTTCATACCAGCATATTTACCTTTCATAGGTGGTTTAAGGTTATGATGCTTACATTCTATTTACCCTTCTTCTTGATGAAATTTATTTAAAAAATAGACATATTACTTTATTATTGAGTTTTATGATATAGAAATATAACAAGTAGAATGAGTTTTATAAGATCCCAAACAATAATCAATCTATCACATATATCGCATAATTATTATTTTATATAAGAATTACATCTATGAACAAACTTAATAAATACCTCATCCTAGACGAGTTCTGATCTGAGGATATATTCATTCCTTGTAAAAACCAATATTTGGTAATCTCACCCTCTATCGTCGTGATTTTGACGATTATTTTCATTTTTCGTCGAAAGACGATTATTTTTTTCATTATTCATAACCTCCCGAAATTTGAGAGATACTAGTTGTTCATAGGAGATAGTTTGGTAACGACATTTATATGAAAATTTCAATCAATAACGCTCTAAAATGCATTTGTCAATATAACGAAATCTTGAATGTAATTCTGTGACTAATTTGTGGAGACATTTTACATGCATAGAACTAAATTAGCTAGGTTGATGCAATGAAGCAATAAAAACCTAAGCCTGGTTTAAAAAAAAGTTTTTGAAGAATTTGATGTAAAAATTACTTGACTTGATCCGGGCTAACGTTAATACAGATAAAGAATCCTTGGAGTTTGCCTGAATTATCGTATTTTGCTTTGAAATAATCTTCTAATCCCATTTGATGCATTGTTTCACCAGCTATTTTAAGTAATGGTTTGGTGTATAATTCATCGTCTTTGGAATCAAATGTATATTCATAAACAATTTGGTCATCAGGATTTAAATTTGAAATCAAGCGCACAAGTACTGATTTTCTTGATTGTTCTGATTGACCGTGAAAATTCCATTGGAATTTAATTCGTTGAAAAGTAGGTTTAGCTGGAGATTTAGATTCCAAACTCAACGTGAATGGTGATGTATTATCTGTAAAAAGGCATTGTCTTATATATCTTCTGCAACTCAGGTCATTTATTTCCTTTTCTTTAAAATCAAAAATCCATGAATTTTGAATAGGATCATTGTTATTAACGCAGCCTTCCTTATAGGCACAGTATTTTTCCATTAGTTCATCTTTTGTTAAATATTCTTCAAAGGCTGGTTTGCTGTTATTCTCTAGATCATAGCTCTCAAAATCCATTTTAAAATTGTTCAAAATTTTTTACAATAACTTTTCCAGCAATAGAGCAAGGAAAGTAGTAGGATAGGAAGGGTTGTGTGACTTTTTTTGTTGCATCTATATATAGACGAAGGTATATTTTCACATCTTCTATATATAAATGATATAAAAATTTTTTCTTACGTTTTTTAAGTCATGAATTCGTAAGAAAGCGCGACATTATTAAATAAATTAGTAATAAATATTTATATACTAAACACATTAAAAATTAACACATTAGTAGTATATGTATATGGGTTGTGTGACTTTTTTTGTAATCGTAAGAATTCTCACATAATTGAATGATTTTTGAACATACTTCTGAATAGCAGATTTTAAAAATTTATGAATAATTTATAAAAAGTTTTTATTCCTACAATTCCTATATTACCATTAATAAAAAGAATATATTTTTGCATAGATTCCAAATATGGTGTCAATTTTATATTAAATTTTTATTTCAATGAGTTATATCAAAAATAAAATTCTTGAATAGAGTAAAAAATTTAAATAATTTATTTAAATATTTTCTTCTGACATTTATGAATAATTTATTTTTTTAATTCGTAAGAAAATGAGTGGATCAAGATTCGTAACCGTCAATCAATTAATGGATGCTCTTTCACCAATTCTTGAAAATGTTAAACAAGTAGATGTTTATTTCGATGATTATGTAGAAAGTTTATATTATAAAGGTAAACATAATATTAAACCCATTGCTTTTGCATTTGATAATAAATTAATTGAAAATGCAAAAATTTGGGAATTAATTCCAGATATTGAATATATAACGAATATAACTAATAAATGGTTCAAACGAATTCCAACCACAAAAGTTCTTTGTAAATTAATGATCAAAACTGAGGAAAAAGAATTTTATGAATTTACATATCATCCAAATAAATTTCAGAACTAGAAGAAAAACTTCAGAAAAAATTAAACGATAGACTTTCAAATGATCGTATTGAAAAAATAAATAAACTAGCAGAAGTTGCATTGAATGATGAAATATTTGATGAATATAACCTTGAACTCAGTGATGGACTTTAAGGACTGGGCACATTGTGCCTTGGGCTTTAAGGACCCGGGATCAACGAGTCATGATTTATGATACCAATTATTTGATTTATTCTTTCTTCAATAATTTTTATTCTTTTTGTTAAATCATCTATTTTCATTAATGAGGTGATTCTTGATTGAGGAATAGATTTCAAACTAACCACCCCCTTTATTTTTGAAATTTTGAATCCATCAACTTTAAACATTTTATTCAATTTACATGTTGTCAATTCTTCAAACAATTTTTTATTATTAGCATAATAGTCATTAAATTCTTCAACAGATGAAAAATTTTTTATTTCAGTAATTGGTTTAACAACGTTTATTTTTTGTGGAACATCTTTACTTTCATTAATTTCTTCCTCCTCTGTTTCATTTATTTTTAAAATTGGCTTCATTTATCATTAAATAAAAATTAAAATATAAGTGACGAAATCTATTTTTTAATTAATATTAAATCAAAAATGGCGGCAGGATTCTTTAAAAAGTTATGGGAAGGAATTAAGAAAGCTGCGGGTTGGGTTCATCAAAAGATTATTAAACCTGTTGCAAACTTTTTGGCACCAGTAGCGAAAACGGCAGGAACTATCATAGGTGGAGTATTAGGTACTAAAGCAGGTAATCCGGCGATGGGAGCACAAGCAGGTAACGCAATTGGTGGAATAGCTGAAGGAATACTTAATAAAATAGGAGGAAGATAGTGGAAAAATAAATAAATATTATTTTTATCTTAGTATCGGTTGTAGTCTTTGATAAACTTTTTCTCCTTTATTTAATATTTCTCTTATTGGGGCGGCTTTTGGTGTTATTGATTCAGCAACGTCACTAATTGCTTCTTTATTCTTAAATATCCAATTTGCTCCTTTCTTCATTGTTTCCCAAACTTTATGCGCTCCTCTTTTTACTTTATCCCATAACTTTTTAAAGAATCCTGCAGCCATAGTTGATTATTTCATTAAAATTAAAAATTCATTTTCATCTTTTAATTTTGATTTTTTATTTATTAATAAATGACGACTAACTATTTGGTGCCAAACACTAAACCGATTAATGGAAATGTATTTCATTCATTCGAAAAGATAAATGAAATATTCGCAAAGAATGACGGTAGAAGATATTATAGAGAACTTGAAAGTTCATGCTATGACTCTGATACTCCATATTTTGATGATAAACAAACTCATTTAAGAATTACAAATCCGGCTCATGATGTGAACCAATTAGGTGACACATATATTAAACGCAAAGTTAAAGCAACTCTAGTTTCAAATAAAGCTTTCACATGTGATGCCGCTTTTAAATGCATGCGTTTATTCGTTGGTTACAAATCATCAAATCAAAGCTTTAAACAATTAGAAGTAGAAACTGAAAGAGGTGATGTTATCTTCAGATGGATTGCGCCCGTGAATCTTTCGCATTTGCAACATATAAACCAAAATCAGAAAGGAAAGTTAAAAAGTTTGTTCATTCGTTATATAATAATGTTCAAAAATATGATAACTCAGTATGTGGTAAATATATTGACCCTTCAGAAGTTTTCAAGAAAGCAAATGAAGAAGTTGATGTCACTTTTGATATGATTATTCCGGTAAATGATTTGTTAGCATTTCAGGCGTTCGATGATTATCCTAAATCATTTGGTGAAATCATTCTTAAATATTATGTTTTCAGGGATACTTTAGTATTTTGTCAGGTTGACCCGTTAAGAGTTGCTGATTTACAAAATTACGTTTATGAAAAGATAACTGATGAAAATTATGAAAAGATTATGAATCATGTTTATAAATATGATCGCAAATTCCAACAAATCGGACTTCCTGCCAAATTAATTACAAGCTTAGCCGCTACATCTGCTGACGCAACAGTTGAAGACGTTATTATTTCATGCACAAAGATGGAAGTTTTAGAGGATAAATGCATTACACCAGGATACGGTTTAATTGAAGAATCAGTTAAAGCAATACCACGTTTATTCAGTAAGGAAGATCCATTCATGATTCCAGCTCAACATATTGACGTTCGTTCACTAAATGGAGGTTGCATCACTCCTGAAGGTATCAGTTCTGATTTCTCATACGCTCTTCATAATGTTACAGATGTTGTGTTAACATTTCCGAAGAATGCAATGCAAAGAACGGTTTTAGAAAATCCAATGCTTCGAGGTCTTCAGGTCACTATAGATTCCAGAAACTTCCCCGATCAAGCGATGACCACAGTGGGTGACATATTCTTTACACGCATGCTTCAAGCTTCTGATTTAGATGGAGTGAATGAATGCACAGAAGAATACGAGGACTCATTAACTAGACCACTGAATGATGATAATGGCATGCCATTAGCTAGAACATGGAAAGACCAGACTTCATTCTTATGCACTATTCCAGTTCAACGTGATGGAGCGGGTATATTCTTTGATGGATTAGAAACTTTCAACTCACAAGTTACAGTACAAGTGAAAGCTTATCCAATCATTCAGGGTGAAAATGACACTTACTGTTCAAAGGTGACAAATCCTCCTCAGGTTTGGTTTACTAGGACTACGTATTGGACATGGACACCGGATGAAGGTTTGAAATATCATCCAACAGGTACACCACCACAGTATAGAAGTTCATATGATGAAATATTGATGAATAGAAATGTTTAAAATTATAAATTTATTTTTGATTAAATGGATTTAAATTCTGAAGAATTAGCGGGAGTATATAATACATACGTAGATGATATGATTAATGAAGCATTGAGTGATAATAGAAATGCTCTATCTAAGGAAAAATTAATGAAAATTCCATATTCTGAATGTTATTTAAATTCAATCACTGCAGCAATTGGTAAACAAAATAAAGGTAAAACATTAACGATATTAAAACAAATTATCATTATTGCTAACACTTCCCCCCATTCACATGTGTTAATTTATATCAACCGTTCAGGTTCACCTTCAGATGATACATTTGAATCTTTAAAACATTTAATCAAAATTCCAATTATTTATTTATCACAAGAAGAAGCAGAAGATTATTTAAAAAACTTTTTAATGTATAAAGAATTATATAATACAATCAAGAAGCAAGGATTAGAGGATAAAATTATTGATAAACAACGGGATGAATTATTTGAAACACTTTCTATTTCAAATTTTGATAAAGAATTTTTGCATTCACTAATTTTTCTAGATGATGCGGTGAAATCAAAACTAATAACAAATGAGAAATCATATTTTAATCAGTTATTAACTCAATGTCGACACATTCAGTGTTCATTCTTTATGGCTGTTCAATACTTTAAAGCATTAAGCACAAACATTAAATCAAACCTGTCCACCCTTTTCATTTTCAGTGGTTTTAGTCGTCAACAGTTGAACGTTATGCTTTATCAAGTGAATTTACCAATGAGCATTAATGAACTTTACACACAATATCAACAATTAGGTGAACATGGAAAAATAATAGTTGATTTAAATAAAGGAAGTGTTAAATTCGAATAACTTTTTATAATTAATTTTTATTTTTTATTTATAATTAAACATGACAGAAATAGCAAATCTTCTACAGGTTCCATTAAAACAAGGGACAAACAAAAAGGGTGCATATAATAGAACTATGAAAGTTCCAGACGGAATGAAAGAATTAGTCCACATTGTTGCCGGTCTTCAAAAGGATGTTAAACAAATGAGAAATGTTTTAACATTACCAGAAGCTCAAGCATATGCCAAACGTCATGGTCCAAATTGGGAAGCACATGAAGCAGACATTACGGGTCCAAATGGAAAACCTGATGGTATAAATGAAGTTTTCGTTACTGATGGTCAAGGAAATATTAAAGTCATAAATGGGTATAAATTAACAATGACGGATTATCCTAAACGTAAAGCATATAATGAACGTTATCCTATGCAATTTGATGAAAATGGAAAAGCTGTTAAACAATACATTGGAGAAGGTGAAAATGGTTCAATTAATTCATACCGTCATAATCCATATTCTTATTTCAATGCAGAATTAAATGCTATTCAAGAGGGACCGGATGGATTACCTCAATATGTTAATCAGTTTGATGGTCAATATGCAAATTTAAGACATGAAATTTCAGCTAAGAAATTCTTTAAAGTTGCTTTATTCGATCCAGTGTTCAATGAACAGAAAGAAGCAATGAAAGCAGAATTTAAACCAATTCAAGTGGCAAGAATTTCTTCATCTTCACTTTCAGAAGCGTTCAAGGAATTGATAAAGAAACCACTTTATTCTCAACAAGGTTATAACTTTGATTTAATTAAAGAAAGTGATAGACGTAAATTGGAAAAATCAGATGGTTTTAAGAATGCATGTAATGAAATGATTAAAGATATTGTAAATGATAAAATAAGACTGGAAGAAACTCAAAGCATATCAATAACATAATTGGTGCAGTTACAAAGAAAGTATAAGCAAACAATGAGGAACCTTGGGATATTACCGTAACAACTAAATAAAACTTTAAATATATTTTTCTTTTTTTTATTCGATTATAAATGAGAAGACGTTTCACTAGTCAAAAGAACACTAACGCAAAAGCAGAGATTACGGTTGGTTATAACGTAAATGATGATAAATCACGAATTATTCAAAATGTTAAAGTTAATGTTAGTCCTGAATTAACAAGGTCAGCAACTCAACCAAATTTATTAACTCGTGACTTACCGAAAGAGGAGGAGGAGCAAAATAAAGAAGATGAACCCGGTAAAGAACCTGTTGAAATTCCCACTTATCCAACATACCCAGCACCACTTGATAACCCATATAAAATAGACATTAATTCTGAATTAATGAAAATTTACCGTGATATAATAACTGATAATTATGATTCAATAATAAATTTAATTGACCAATCCGGTTTAATTATTTTACCTTATGAATCATTAATTCACATTATTGCCATTCTTTGTGATGTTCAAGATTCAGACGTGAAGATTCAATTTTTCATAGATGATGAGGTTTCATGCTGCGGAACAGTTGCAAAAATAAATCCTATAAAGGATATTAGCACAATTAAGATATCAAAGAACGGAACAACAACTGAACTACATTTAACTTATAATGATATTTATAATAAAATAGTTGATGAATATAAAATATCACTTGAAAAATTCTTTGTTAAGGCTATTTAATATTCAAGCATTAACATTATCGAATAATAATCCTTTGAATCATAATCAATAATAATTGACCTTTCACCGGTTTCTATCGTTTGTTTTATTTCTTTTTGTTCCCCACTATCCGGATCAGTCATTGTAATTGTTTTTGTTATAGTATCAGCTTTATCTTTAACTTCAATCTTTTTTCCATCAGGATATTTAAACCAAAATTCCAAAAATTCGATATTGTCAACCTGTTCATATTTTAATCTATCAATTACATTTTTAATACCATCTGAAAATCTTATGAAATGGTCATTATATGGGTTTGATTGAACTAAATTTGAATGAAGTGAAATATAACCTGTTGATGAATATGACATTGACTCATATTTTCTGAAAAACACTAAAATTTATAACATGAATGAATTTCTTATTCGTTGAATTTATGAATTCTTGAGGTAATCTTATCCTAGTTTTATTTATCACTGGAAAATAACGCTTTACCATATTTTTAATCGTAATAAAAATGTCAATATCAATATTATTTCGAATAATAGCTGTGAATTAAATTTAACAGTTAGCGGAATTTATAATGTTACTCTCGTTTCTGTGAGTGGTAAATTTAATCCCATTCTTTTAAACCCTTCAGATTATATATCATTTATTAAAGATGACCATGAAAAAACGTATGATATGTATATAAATAATGTGATAGCGAAATGGGATATTAACATGATTTTAAGTTATTTAAATGAATCATTTATCGTATGGTATGAAGAAAATTTTAAATCAAAACCTGATAAACTTTTTGAACTTGATGAAATAAATAACCTTATTAAATTTCGCTGAAAATTAAATTTTGTACTCCTCATCTTCGTTCATTGTTGGGGATATTAAATTTTGGAAAAAGATGTTGGGGATGTTTTGTATTCTGACACTGGTTCCAATTTCATTTTAATCAAATGTGATAAAGTTAATACCCCAATGAGATTTTCACATCAAACATTAGACCCTAACTCTTACCCATCAATACAAAACATTTTATCCATCAACTTAAACACATTTTCTTTATCATATCCGTTTCAATTATCCGGGAATTCATTTATTCTTCATTCAAAAGATTTATCAAATATTAAATTTAGAATAACTGACCTATTTGATTGTGATTTAGAATTCATGAATGAAATATTTTGGCAATTTCAAATAGAAAAAATAGCTGATGAGATAACGGATTAAATATTTATTTTTAAATCATAATAAAATGATTAAACAACAACAGCAACCACAGACCATTACATACGCCATATATGCATATAATTCAAAGACGGCAGAACAAACGCAAAGGTTGAAATATGGAGATTTGGAGATAGTATTGAAAAATGAACATTTCGAATTCGTTTGCAAAGGTGGTGCAGTGATATCAAATATAAAAGAAATTTTATTTATGAATTCTAAAATTAAAGGTATAACGGATGATATAACATCAATTCCGCCAGAAGAACAGAGATATTACGCATTAAATGCATTTCCTAAAGTTTTGAAGATTGGAAGATTTAATTTAAATGAGGAATTCATAGAAGGTTTCCTAAATGTCATAATGAAGAAGGTAGATAAGGAATATGTGGATGAAAAAGATAAAGAAATTAAAGAAATGGTTGAATGGTATCATGAATGGACATCAAAGATTTTAAAAACTAAAGCTAATACAGGATGGGTTTCAGGATGTTTAGACCTTAAAGCTGATAAAACATATGTTAACGATGAGTTAGAGAAGAAAGCAGATAAAACATATGTTAACGATGAGTTAGAGAAGAAGGCAGATAAAACATATGTTAACGAAATATACCAAAGTTTGATAGGAACAACGAAAAATATTGAAACTATTGTTGGTGACTTTTCTGTCGATGAAGAAAATAAATATTTTAGATGGCAGTTTGTACACTCCTTAAAAAATGGTATACTGTGGAAACTCATTCCGAAAAATAACAATGAAATGTATGTAGGCTATATAAAGAATAATGGCACACAAGTTAAAGTTCCATTAGACAACAACTGCTACTTAAACTTATATGGAGACGAACAAAAGAAATATTTAAGAGTTTATGAAATGGTAGATATGACATTGCCTGACCCAGCTCCAGCACCATATTATTATGACTATGGTGCTGACGCACGTGTAGACCCAAAAAAGCAAACATTATATTTAGAATATTATAGATATAAAAGATATAATGCAATAGAAAAAACGAGAATAGTATATTATTATACAGATGACAGAAATAAATATTATAGTCAAGATTTTACCTACCCTGAAAACATAAGATTATATTATAAAAAATATTCTGACACAAACCAGAAGAAACCTGAAATAGTTACACTATATTTTAAGTTCAAAAGAGACAATCCTATAATATCTCATATGTTTGATTTAATGAACCCAGTAGGTTCTATTTATACATCTATGGAAGCAAGAGGTCCTCAAGTAATGTTTGGTGTTGGTGCATGGGAACAAATAGTCGACAGGTTTTTGTATTGTGCAAACTCTTCAAAGGAAACAGGTGGAAGTAAAACGATTTCAGGTGAAAATTTACCTGCACATAGTCACTACATAGATTTAAGTACATCTCAAGCAGGTTGGCATAAGCATAGATATTGGGATTGGTCAGCAATGACAAAAGGTAAAGGATATGATGTTAAAGACAACGTTAAGTTTGCTATAAATTGTTACTGGAGTAACACTGAGGGAGGAGGAAACCATACACATCGCGTTTCAGGGTATACGCAAACAACGGGACAAAGTAAAGAATACATGCCACCTTACATGACAGTTTACGCATGGTATAGAGTTCAATGAACACACTTAACCCAAAGGGTTTAGGCTTACCGAATGAACTAAATATATTTTATGTTTGTAATTAATTAGGTAATGAAGTAATGGATGAACTGCAGAAAAGAAGTTAAAAGCTTGGGGTCGTTTTGTACAAAAATATTGTGAGTAAATGATTTAGGTTATTCGATAATTAATTATTTTTGAAGAACTGGAGGTGTCACCAGGTCACCAGGTAATTTAACTTCTCTGAAAAAATGAGACAACATGACATTTTGACAACATCACAGGAGGAAGGCAGTTATGACTTATTTTTGAAGAACTGGAGGTGTCACCATGTCACCATGTGTCACCAGGTCATTTAACTTCTCTGAAAAAATGTGACAACATGACATTTTGACAACAACATGGGTTATTCAATAATTAATTATTTTTGAAGAACTGGAGGTGTCACCATGTCACCATGTGTCACCAGGTCATTTAACTTCTCTGAAAAAATGTGACAACATGACATTTTGACAACAACACAGGAGGAAGGCAGTTATGACTTATTTTTGAAGAACTGGAGGTGTCACCATGTCACCAGGTCATTTAACTCATGACATTTTGACAACAACATGGGTTATTCAATAATTAATTATTTTTGAAGAACTGGAGGTGTCACCATGTCACCATGTGTCACCAGGTCATTTAACTTCTCTGAAAAAATGTGACAACATGACATTTTGACAACAACACAGGAGGAAGGCAGTTATGACTTATTTTTGAAGAACTGGAGGTGTCACCATGTCACCAGGTCATTTAACTCATGACATTTTGACAACAAAACATGGGTTATTCAATAATTAATTATTTTTGAAGAACTGGAGGTGTCACCATGTCACCATGTGTCACCAGGTCATTTAACTTCTCTGAAAAAATGTGACAACATGACATTTTGACAACAACACAGGAGGAAGGCAGTTATGACTTATTTTTTGAAGAACTGGAGGTGTCACCATGTCACCAGGTCATTTAACTCATGACATTTTGACAACAACATGGGTTATTCAATAATTAATTATTTTTGAAGAACTGGAGGTGTCACCATGTCACCATGTGTCACCAGGTCATTTAACTTCTCTGAAAAAATGTGACAACATGACATTTTGACAACAACACAGGAGGAAGGCAGTTATGACTTATTTTTGAAGAACTGAGGGTGTCACCAGGTCACCAGGTCATTTAACTCATGACATTTTGACAACAACATGGGTTATTCAATAATTAATTATTTTTGAAGAACTGGAGGTGTCACCATGTCACCATGTGTCACCAGGTCATTTAACTTCTCTGAAAAAATGTGACAACATGACATTTTGACAACATTTACGATAATTTGATGTAGTCCAAAAATAAAGTTAGTTTTAAAATTATTTTTATTTTTTTATTCCTATATAAATGACAGCAACAAACAACAACAGCAACTTTATCGTTTCTGATGAAAAAGTTATTGATTCATTAGCTGAGGAATTAGTTGTGGCAGAAACTAAAACCCTCAACGAAAGAATTGGTAAAAACAAGATTGATTTACATAACTACCTCAAATACGATGGAGGAAGAGGAAGGAAAACTGGTACAGCTTTATTAGTAAATAAAATTTCAAATTTAACGATTATAGATGTTGATATCAATAAATCGTACAATGATGAACTTAAAGAAACAGTTAGAAAAGACATTTTATCAAAACTTTCGGATAAAGATGTTATCGTTAAAACCGCTTCAGGAGGTCTTCACATTTATTGCAACACTAATTTCTTCTATTCAACCTCGAACAGAATGATTAAATGTTATTCCTGCAATGATTATGATATTGACATAATGACTTCAATGGATGATTCAAAACGTTCTTTAGTGGTTATGGCTGATTCAAGAGTTCGCAAGAATGCAACAGAACCAATCAATACATACTCATTCATTCGTGGAAGTTATGATTCAACATTAACCAGAACAGTGAATGATATATTAAATGATTTGAATATTAAGGTAAGAGTTGAACAGAAGAATGAAGAAATAAAGAATATAATGAATGAAGACAAAGATGTAAACATTGACGATAAACTTGCCCAGAGCATAGTTGATGGTATTAGTGATTTTGAAGTACATAATGACGGTGGAAACATGAATTTAGAAAAAGAAGTTACATTATTCACACTGTTTCAAGCTATTAATTCGTTACCTAATCATTTAATTAATGAAGCATACGATAACGTTTATAACTTCTGCAGTTTAACAGAAAATGCAAAAAGTAATTTTGAAAAAGCACGTGATAGATATGCACATTTAATGACTTCTCCATTTGTTTTGGTAAAGATTCTAAAACTATATCAAAAGGAATATTATGATGAATATGTTTTACCTTTATTACGTAAGCCAAAAATAACATTTGATATCAAACTTGATGACTCGTTTTTGATAACAGATATTAGACGCAAGGCTGAAAATCATCAGTATAAAAACAGTTCTGAAGTAATTGAGGATTTATCACGTGTAATCCGTTTTGTAGATTGTGGAAACAAATACTTCATTCAAAAAGATTACAACATACACGACAAAATGAATCAAATATCATTCGTTCTTCAATCAAACATGAAAGAGTCACTCAAAATGATTAAATTATTTAATGAAGAAGGTAAAACAACAACAGCATGGGATGTACTATTAAATCAATTGTCTTCATTAACTGTTAAGGGTGTTTGCTTTAAATCTGATTCTCCAGATGTTTTCTCAACGTTTCAAGGTTATAAATACAACGTTCTCGAAAAGCTTGATTACTCAAAAATTGAGATGTTTATGAATTTCATTAAAGAAGCCATTTGTGATAATAATGATGAAGTGTATAAATACCTTCTCGGGTGGATTGCATCAATGATTCAACATCCTGGAATCAAGAATGAAACAGCAATTATTTTGAAAGGACTTCAGGGAACAGGTAAAAACAGATTTACAGACATTATTTCTGAACTTCTCGCTGGTTATTCATGTAAAAACATTACCGAAATAGGTGAGCTAACGGGTAATTTCAATTCAGTTGTTGAAAATAAAATGTTTCTTGTACTTAATGAACTCAAGAATGTAGGTGAAGACAGACTCGCAAACTTCAACGCTTTGAAATCAATTATAACGGATAATGAGATAAGAATTAATGAAAAGAATCAACCCAGAAGAACTGCTCAGAACGTTGCCAATTTTATTCTCGTAACTAATAACGTCTACCCTGTCAAAATTGAAGTTGGAGACAGAAGATACGTAGTTTTAAGGGTTAATGGTAAATTCAAGGGTCAATTTGATTACTTCAAGAATTTGATGAATTCATGCACAAAGGAATTTTATGATAATTTACTGACGTATTTTATCAATTACGACCTTTCATCATTTAATGTACGAATCATACCGATGACTGAAGCCAAACAAGATTTAATTGAATTATCAACAAATCCTTTAGATGAATGGATAAATACACATTATGATGAATTGTGTGCAGGTATGACGTGTAAAAATGCTCTATTCTGCAAACCATCAGACATGAAAGACAAGAATTTTCAAATGAGTATTAAGGATAAATGTGATAGGAAACAGATAAGAATAGATGGTAAACAAACATGGTGTTATGTTTTGAAAGAAGAAATGAAAGGATTATATAAACAGGTTGAACCAAACGATAATGAGGAATCATTTACTGACGATGAAATACCTGTAAATGAAGCTTTATAAAGTATGATTGGAATTTATTTTTGCATTCTCTTGTACCTGTTGTCAAAATGTCATGTTGTCACATTTTTTCAGAGAAGTTAAATGACCTGGTGACACATGGTGACATGGTGACACCTCCAGTTCTTCAAAAATAATTAATTATTGAATAACCCATGTTGTTGTCAAAATGTCATGAGTTAAATGACCTGGTGACCTGGTGACACCTTCAGTTCTTCAAAAAATAAGTCATAACTGCCTTCCTCCTGTGTTGTTGTCAAAATGTCATGTTGTCACATTTTTTCAGAGAAGTTAAATGACCTGGTGACACATGGTGACATGGTGACACCTCCAGTTCTTCAAAAATAATTAATTATTGAATAACCCATGTTGTTGTCAAATGTCATGAGTTAAATGACCTGGTGACAGGTGACACCTCCAGTTCTTAAAAATAAGTAGCATAACTGCCTTACACCTCCTTAGTGTTGTTGTCAAATGTCATGTGTCACATTTTTCAGAGAAGTTAAATGACCTGGTGACACATGGTGACATGGTGACACCTCCAGTTCTTCAAAATAATTAATTATTGAATAACCCATGTTGTTGTCAAAATGTCATGAGTTAAATGACCTGGTGACCTGGTGACACCTTCAGTTCTTCAAAAAATAAGTCATAACTGCCTTCCTCCTGTGTTGTTGTCAAAATGTCATGTTGTCACATTTTTTCAGAGAAGTTAAATGACCTGGTGACACATGGTGACATGGTGACACCTCCAGTTCTTCAAAAATAATTAATTATTGAATAACCCATGTTGTTGTCAATGTCATGAGTTAAATGACCTGGTGACATGGTGACACCTCTCCAGTTCTTCAAAAATAAGTCATAACTGCTTCCTCCTGTGTTGTTGTCAAAATGTCATGTTGTCACATTTTTCAGAGAAGTTAAATGACCTGGTGACACATGGTGACATGGTGACACCTCCAGTTCTTCAAAAATAATTAATTATTGAATAACCCATGTTGTTGTCAAAATGTCATGAGTTAAATGACCTGGTGACCTGGTGACACTTCAGTTCTTCAAAAAATAAGTCATAACTGCCTTCCTCCTGTGTTGTTGTCAAGAATGTCATGTTGTCACATTTTTTCAGAGAAGTTAAATGACCTGGTGACACATGGTGACATGGTGACACCTCCAGTTCTTCAAAAATAATTAATTATTGAATAACCCATGTTGTTGTCAAAATGTCATGAGTTAAATGACCTGGTGACATGGTGACACCTCCAGTTCTTCAAAAATAAGTCATAACTGCCTTCCTCCTGTGTTGTTGTCAAAAATGTCATGTTTGTCACATTTTTTCAGAGAAGTTAAATGACCTGGTGAACATGGTGACATGGTGACACCTCCAGTTCTTCAAAAATAATTAATTATTGAATAACCCATGTTGTTGTCAAAATGTCATGAGTTAAAATGACCTGGTGACACATGGTGAACACCTTCAGTTCTTCAAAAAATAAGTCATAACTGCCTTCCTCCTGTGTTGTTGTCAAAATGTCATGTTGTCACATTTTTTCAGAGAAGTTAAATGACCTGGTGACACATGGTGACATGGTGACACCTCCAGTTCTTCAAAAATAATTAATTATTGAATAACCCATGTTGTTGTCAAAATGTCATGTTGTCACAAACTTTAGAACGGCATAATTTAAATTTTTATTTTTATCATAAATGGATACCCCACAAGCTCAAAATTTACCACGAATCATAACAAGGGAGGAAATGATAAAAATGATGCGAGAACATGTTAAAAATAACAAACCACTAAAACTGAGAAAATGCGGTTATGCAGTAATGATGGAAAGAGAGATGTTGTCAAAGAGGAATAAAAATTAAATTTGGATTGAGTTTAAAAATTCATCTTTATTAAATTCATCTCTTCCAATCAATTTATTTATTCTATTAAATTCTTTTATTTTTGCTTCACTCAGTTTAAGGATTGAACGGTAAGTTTCTAATTTTTCGATTATTTCTTTATCGTTTTCAACCCCACCACATTGTGGCTTCTTTTTGTAATAGCATATTTTTGATTTAATTCTGTTTAGTTTCTTTTTATATTCATCGTCACTCATTTCTTACGAAATAAAAAAAATTAAATATTATTTAAATATAATGGAGTAATAAAATAAATCGGAATTTCTATTAATTTATTGTCAACTTCAACTAATGCATTGCCGTTAATATATCTAACAAATTCAGCTATTGTGTCAAATCTTCGTCTTCTTTTTGTCATTGATTTATCAGTTTTTCCATAATCGAGATGAATCAAAACTTTATCCCCTTGTTTAAAATTCATGAGCCCCGAATTAATTTGTTCACGTTTAACATCATTTAACTTTTCCATTTGCTTTCTAATATATTCCCATTCTTTTGAAATATCATTTTTCATTTCCACTGGTTTCATGTTAATAGTTCTATGTCATGTATTATTGTAATAATATACTAACTGCTGTATGATGGAGTCATGATTTCCATCCCAGTATATCTGACCGTTAACCCCTAACGCATCTCTAAGAGTTCTCATTACTGCATCAACTATTTTATTATGAAACGTATATGGAGAGGATGAGAAGTAAAAATTAATTTGTGGGAAATAATGAGTCATAACTGCCTGAAATCCTTTATCACCATCACCCCTGATATTATCTACTCTTTCATGATCTAGTAAGTATTGTATAGCTCTTCTTGTTTCCTGTTCTGTTTTCCCTTTCACCGGAATGCAATATAAATATCTAGTGTTAATGTTAATGGCAAATAAATAAGTAATATTTCCTTTTGAATATTCCAGATGATCAATTTCGTATGAATAAGGTGAAGGTGCAAATGAAGGGCGACTAAATTTTTCCTTTAACGGTTGAATTTTCGGGTCAATTGGTTTATTTAATATCTTGAAACCCTTTTTAAAATCTTTTTGCTTCTTAAATGTTTGAAATGGATATAATAAAGTGAATGATGAAGGATTAACTGAAGGAGGAGGAGGTACTACTGTTGGGGGTTTTGGTGTTGCAAGTGGTTTAATTTTATCTGCTTTGATTTTGGATTTCATTCCCCCCTTCATTAATTCTGGATGTATTCTATTCATTTGTTTTAAATATGCTGTATATAAAGGTTTGATATACTTTCCCGCTTCGAGTTTATGTTGAAGGATGAATTCCAAAAGTTGATCTTCATTTAAAAGTCGGGCTGAATATGGTTTAACTAATGAATCATAAATTAAAGCTTGTGCATCATTTATGAGCTGCTGAACCTGGGTGTTTTGCACCTTTTGTTTTTGTTCCTTTGGTTTTTGTGGCTCAGGATTATATAATTTATATAATTCATCAATATCTTCTTCTGTTAATACTTTATTTTTGAAATCTTTCAACTGTTTAAGTTGTGATTTCGTTTTTCCCTTTGAATATTCATTATTTTTAATTTTGTCTTTAATTTCAGAAATTATTTTATTATGATATTTCAAAATTTCATTTTTATAATATGGATAATAATATTCCATATCATCACCCGTTATATTGTTATTATGTTTTTGGAGATATGATTTTAAATCGTAATAACTAAGAAATTTTTGATTAAGTACTAAATCAGCAATTAAATTTTTTAAATCTGTGTTATCCATTTATATAAAAATAAAATAAATGTTTAAGGGTGCCCACCTCTTTGAATCATAGTATCAAAGCCATCATTAACGGTTCCTTTTGTCTCTTCTGTGGCATTTCATTAAATAAATGGCATACAACATCCATTTTCACAACATACAGCCTTAGTGTGTGCTCCTGTTAATGCAGTCTTACCAATTGTTAAGCGAGTCATTGACCCATTTTTAAGTTGTAAATTAATATTTTGACCATCGAAAATGACTTTATCATTTATTATATCCAAATAATTTTTTGGTGTTAATTGCTTATTTTGTCGTAAACTAACACCTTTCATTTTTTGTGCTATCTTTTTGAAGGAGTCTTCACCAATCATTCCGTTGAATGATGTATAACACTTAGGACATAAAGCAACCATGTTATCACCTTGTTTCTCAATTGCTAAACCCAATAACTTCTTCTCATGTGCTTTTTCTTCAGCTTTATTCTTTAATTTAGGTTTAAATTTCTCATCAAAACAGAAGAAATCAAATGGTGCGAATTTGAAAATGTTTTTATCATAAAATTGTTTATCGGTAACAATTGCCTGAAATGCTTGAGTGTTAGGAAGACTTGGGTCGCCAGCAATAGCCCAATATGATGAATCAGTATCACCTTCAATGAAATGAAAACGATTAAGATTCATGCATTTATACATAAAATCATAAATGAAAACCAAATACCAGTATTTAGCATTATCTAAAGTAAAAAATGCCTCTTGTAAACATGTTTCACATCTATAAAATCTATCTTTGAGCATCAGTTGATATGTATCCTCACCTATTTCTCTTATGTTTTTAAACTTATTTGACATACATGCAACGCGTGACTTCTGTGCATTATTATTTAGTCTTTGCGTAATTTTGTGTATTCATTCATTGCATCGTAACCATATGATCCATTAAGTGAAATTTTGCAAAATAAACTTTTTCCTTTATTTCCTTCTAATTCAGCCTTTTGTCTTTCGTTCATAAATTTGTTCGCAAATTCATTAAAACAAGTGTTTTTAGTAAATGTTAAAATTGATTGAATATCATCGATGATAAAATGAAATCTGTCTATTAGATACCAAAGATAATAAGAAGAAAATGGTTGATATTGGTTGTGTGTTGATGCTAACTGAGTTAATTTCCTCTGTTTCTGGTCAACTGGTAGATTGTTTGATTTCATGTAATTATACATAAAACTGCCAATTGTTTTTTCATCTGTGATAATATCTAAGTTTCTTATTATCGGTAAAAAGTTTATGTAATCATTAATGTATTTTTCATCAATGTGACCCTTTACTTCAGCCACGAATAAAGTATTTTTCTTCTTAATTATTCCCAGTGCTTTTGCTTTCTTTGTTGCTGTATCACAAATGATAACACCATTCAATCTTCCCGGCATATACATTTTATGGTCAGTATATTGAATGAAATCATGAGGATTAGATGAAAATGATGAAGGATATAATGAATTAAAGTCAACTCCAACGAAATGAGTCATGATGTGGTGTCCTCATTTGATACAGTTTTAGTTTCTGGATTATATGAAAGTTTATTAATGTGCGTGATTCCTTTAAGATTAACACGGTGTTGAACATTTGATAGACCACCAGTAATTCCATTACGGAGAATGTGATAAGCTTCAACTGAATCTAAAGTCATTGGTAAATTATTTTTTAATGCATAATTTCTTAAATTGATTCTTAACGTTGAACATCTTCATCTTTATTTGATTTTACGACATTGCAATAACAACACATTAACTGACAATTTTCTTTAGTATGTGGTTTTTCATTATCTATTCTATCCAATGTTGGTTTATTTGCATATGTAAACGCTTTACCACACATTTTGCATTTAGATGAAAGGATTAAATCGTGATAGTATTGAAAATCATCCATTGAAACATTATTTTTAGTATCTCTTTTCGCCTTTTCATCTTGTTTCTTATATGATTCAATTTTATATTTCCAATACTTTTTCGTTAATTCAAAACTTGATTTCACATTTTCTTCTTCTGGATATGTTTCATTAGGATTAAAGTCTTTATATGCTAAAGCGTAACGAATCATTGAAGCATTCGATGATAATGAAAGATTATGGAGCATGTCAATTTTATAAACAAATGTTTCTTCGATAATTTTATCAATTGGGTCAATCATAATTTCAACGTCTTTATTGCAATAATGAATAAAATATTCTAATCTATTCTTAAAGTTTTTAGCATCATTGAGATATATTTGATAATCTGAATCGGATATAGTTTCTTGAGTTAATGCTGAATAAAATGAATCTTGAGTGAATGGTTCCTCTTTATATAATTCTTCTTCGTAATTCTCCCATGTGATGAATTGATAAGGGAAAAAGGATTTAACACGTGACTTATTGTTTCCGAAATCTTGAGTGAATTGGTCTAATGTTCCACCCGCTATATAATTTCTGATGTCAATAAATCTCAATTCATATGGAACGTTTGTTTTCTTTACAATGATTTGCTTAAATTGTGAAGATGAACCCAGCATTGATTTTATTTTCCATTTTGCAGTGTTTAAATCACGAAGAATTAAATTTAAATCAAACTTTCCCGAATTAAAACCTATGATATTCACTTTATTGAATTCCTCATCTAGAAGTTCTTTAAATGCTTCCTTCTGTTTTTCATTTAATGTATGCGACTTCAATAATTCTTCATATTGTTCAATATTTGATTTAGCAACTAATGAACAGGTTGAAAATAAAAACTCAATCCAATCAGAGATGAATGAATCACTTGATGTTAAGCAAAAATTCCTCGTATACGTTTTATCGTTTAATTTAACCGTTGATGATACCATGAATGGTTTTAAGTAAGCGTTCAAAGTTGCACACTCAGAAAGTAGAAGTTCTTCTTTAGTCTCTAATGTTTCAAAGTCAAAAGTAATATAATATCTTGTCGGTTGATAATATTCCTGCAAATTGTGAGCTAATAACCACTGATATATCTTCTGTTTCGTAATATGTGGTGCATATGGTTGTTGTGTGTTTTGCAATTGAACGTCTTGAATTAATCTTCCATTATTTTCTTTACATTTCTCACAATGTTTTAAAAATCTTTTTTGGTTTTTCCTTTCTGGGTCATCACGGATAGAATATACTTCTTCTTTACAATATGGACAAACTCTATAGCCGGTGAGTGCTTCAACGTCTGTTATTCTGTCAGCGTGAAGTTTTCCACATGGACTCTGTGTTAATAAAATATTTACTGTTTCAAATTCTGGATCTATCATTATTGATTCCACTAATGGAAAGTCTACCTTATTTATGTCTACGTCTTCTGGTTGAGGATCACAATAATAAAAATCAATATTAACGTTTAACATTCTTGCTAATCTCTCACTTTCTGATGAAATGTCAAACCCTTCATATGAATCTATTGCTTCATTTAAATAACTTCTACGAGTTTTAGGATTAACACCATCAGGAATGTTATAGAAGCGTTTAAATAACCTTCTACCTTCTGCTCTAATTTGATTATCATTCATTTTAGCTGTTCCATTTTTGTTCATTTATGTAAGAATAAAAATTAAAAAAATAAAAATAAAGTTTATTTTTTTAAAGTCTGAGACTCAGAGAGTCCAGGGCTAAAGTCCATAAAATGAATTAAGAACACATAAATTTTTATCATCTGCGACGTGACGAATACATTTTAATTTACTCAAGAATGTGTACCTGATACATTAAATCTAATTCCTGTCTTATTTAATTTCACAACTTTGAAAAGGAATGTGTGAATAGCTATGAAATGATGACGAGATGATTTATGTGTTGCTTCCATTTTTTCTGAAATAAATGAATAAATATAATGTTTATAAGTTTTCATATCTTTTATGTTCTTAATAACGAATGGAATAGATCTTTCCACTTCGTCTTCCTTCGGAGCTGTTCTTTCATATGAAACATCAACGGTATCTTCAACAATGAAACCACAATCACATAAAATTTTATATGTACCAATTGTTTCTTTTGATATTTTATCTAACAAATCAAAAACTTTATCAACACCTGTACATTTATTTAAATAATAATTTGTGTAAATATCATGGTCTTCTTTCTTAATCGTATTTGTTGCATATGTCACGTTTTTCAGTGCTTTTTTGAATTTTTCAGAATCAAGAGGAGGTGAAAGTAATATACATGGATAATCTCCATCGTCAATAAATTGTAACTTATGTTTATGAATAAATTTTGTGCCTTCTTCTGAAAGTGTTTCGTCAATATCACCATCTAATAAATTTTGTGTTGATTCCAAAAAGTAATTTTTATATCTTTCCTCATGTGATTTTTGAACTTCTGATTCTGAAGCTGGGATATTCATTAAACCCTCTACTTCATTCTCAGCATTTCTCAATTCCTTAATTTTTTCATCTATTTCATTTCTTAATTGTTCCAATTTCTCAATCTCATCGTTATAATATTCATCTTGTTTAATTCGTTCTTCAAAATATTCAGGAGGTGTTTCAAGGCTCTCTGAGCCCAGGTCCTCTGGACCATAAAGAGGAATATTCTCCTGTTTTTCAACTTTTTTGGGATATAAATATCTCATTATAGCCTTTTTAGTAATTGGTCCGTTATATTTAAATTCATTCAACAATCTGGAAAACTCTTTCACATTCTGCATATATGTTGGATAAGAACCGTCTCCAAAATTTTCTAAAATATTTTCTAATTCTGAATTAGTGAACTTTAAAGATTTCAATGAATTAGTTGTTATACTCATTTATTATAAAATAAAAGATAAAAAATATTTTTGATTAATAAGGAATTAATTTCATTTTATGTCTTATAATGTGCGCATATGTATTTAAAAGGCATTCATTGAATTGCTTTTCAATCTCTTTCTTTTTATCATCTTTACTTTCATTAATTTCTTCCTCCTCTGTTTCATTTATTTTTAAAATTGGCTTCATTTAACATTAAATAAAAATTAAAATATAAAATTGACACCATATTTGGAATCT